CCGCCCGTCCCAATCCCCGCAGTTCCCGAACCCGAAGCCCGCGCAGTGCCAACTCCACCTCCTGTCGCCGGCCAGCCACCCATGCGCATCCGCTCCGACTACGTCCCTCGTGCCCAGGCCAAACGGCTTAACACCACCACAGTCCCAACCTCCATCTGTCCAAACTGCAAACAACAAATCCCCATCGCAGAAATGGAACAACACATGCGCATTGAGTTGCTTGATCCACGGTGGAAGGAACAGCGCGCAAAGGCCGAAGCCCGCTACGCAACTACCAACCTATCAACCGCAGATGTGGCAAATAATCTCAAGCGTCTCGCCAGCCAGCGAAGTGACGTGTTCGACCAGGTGATCACTCCCGACAATCCTCAGCCCGGGCAATTGGATGGGTCTGCCGTTGACCCCGAAGAAGAAGCTCGAAGGAAGAGAATGGCTATGAGTGGCGGAGTTGACACTTCAGGGATGCCCATGCCCATGCCGATGACCGCGCCTGCTCCGGGCTCAGTCCCAGCTCCGCCGGGCTATGGTGCTGGGCCGCAAGGCGCACCGCCAGGAATTCAGCAGCGGTTTGGTGGTCCGCCACCCCCTGGCCAGCCCATAAATATCGAGGAGCAGATTCGGCAGATCCACCAGAAATTCAAGCAATGAAGGGGGAAGTGTTGAAGCGAAAATTGTACTTTATATACAGACTTTGTGCGTTTTGCTGGGGTTATTTCGCTTTCTACGTTATGGGTATGAATTGGCTTTTAAGTACATATCAATCTGGATCGGGAAGGAAGGCCACAGGTTGTTTTATTGATTGTGGGTTTCCCAATTGTCTCTGCTACACTTCAGAAGGCAATCAAGAATCAAACTTCTGCATATCAATTCCAACCTTCTTTGATATTCGGCCCCATTTATATTACACCTCGCCCGGGGACAAGTGCCTTTTCTCCAGACACATCTTATTATGGACTACTCGGTTTGATCCCGGCTAAGGTCAAAGAATACAGTAGTAGAGGCCCTCATAAATATTTCCTTACTACCTAGGTCCGAAAATGGGGGATGGGCTCCAAAAAGTGCTAATATTTGTATATATACAAGAATTCTAATCTCACACTTATTCTCCCAGCTTCCTAATGCAATCTTAAATAAAGAAATTCCTCCTAGTCCGATGTTCTAAGGAAAAAGGGGGGATAAGCGAAATATATAACCTATGTGTAGCTACCATTCCATTCTGCAAGTAGTCCCGAAGTTGGAGGCCGGAATGGAAAGAAGAAGTGCAATACAATGCTGTGGAATTTCAATAAGTATTGACATCAATGCAAAATTGACAGAGAAAGGGCTGTGCAGCCATGCAAAAAGAGGTTTCATTGCCTCAGACTTGTACTCCATATCACCACTTGGAAGGCGGAAAGAAGTGATGAAAAAGACAATCAGATATAAAAATGGAAACAGTATAGAAGTGGGCATATGCAGCTGGGTGCCCTGACGCTTGATCAACATTGAAAGCAACCATGGATGCGCTGCGGGCGTTTGAGAAGCTATTAAAATATTTAACATTAAGTGAATAAATCAGTGCACAGCACCAGTATGGAAATTGGAAGTAATGAGAACATCAAGTTCCTGATGGGCGAAATTAAAAGCTTCGGGAAGAATGGAATGACGTCAATGTTGGTAGGGTGGCAGTTCAATGGATTAGGGATATTTTAAACTGCCGCTGGTATAGTCACTTTGAGCTTCGGCTCGATAGCACTGGCTTCGATGGATCCTCCAAGTGCAGGATCGGGGTTGGATTCTGTCGAAGTTGCGATATTATCTTTCGGAAGACGACCTGGAGGATTATCGTCGTGTTGAGCGTGGTTTTTATTATTGGATGTGCCGCTCACAGGCTCATTCAAAGTTTTTTCACTTTTCGCTTCTGGTTGCACAGTTTCTTCTCGAGAGATGATAGTGCCTCCGATGGATGCCCTATTCGTGTGAGAGACAAATGGGTCTTCGGGCGACACCCTGTTGTGAGTGGCACCATCCTCATCTCGCTTGCGTAACACAAGTGGCTGGTCACCGTCCGTTAAATTTCCATAACTTTTCTTTGTTGGAGAAGAGTCTATGTTTCGTATGGAAGGGTCCTTCTCGGAAGAATCCGCCTTGATGAAAGTAGGAACGACGCCGCCCCCGATTCGCGACCAGAACATACGTTCTCTGAGACGGACAGTTTCCTCCCACGCCTCTTTTTCATCCACTTCATCTCCAATGCGGACATGGCCATCAACAATAAGCCGTAAATAGCCAACAAAATCGCAACATGATCTCATCTTTTCAAGGCAGAGTAGGCAAAGAGGATGCTTTTGGGCCGAATCGTTGTCAGAGGTCCGGAAACGATGCGTCCGTGCATGATCATTGTCGCTTCGTTTCTCACCACATAGAGCACATGGCGGGGAGTACTTGACAGCAGCAGATGGGATTGGCTCAATTACCAACCCTCCATCACATATGCTACTTATCACAGATCGCCTTGTCAACCAGGATATACCAGGTGCGAGATCAAGTCTCAGCGTTGGTTCGATATCTTCCGTCATTACCCTTTTATAGAATTTTGACTCTTTAAGGGCAGTATATGAAGTGGATTGGCGAGGAGACGCCGAACTGCCGTTAGGCGAAGAAGTAACTGCAGAGGGCGTATTTGCAGGGGCACTGGAGCGATGTTGGTGTTGTGGAGAGGGGTAGTTTCCGGCCAGGCTTGCGAGACCTATGACATTCAGTCCAGCATAAGAACCACTGACCACCCTGCTTGGTGGTTTAGAACTTGTGGACAGATGTAGTAAAGCATGAAAATCATCATAGGCCTGAATGTCCGTTCGGCAGACAGATTTTATCAGGTGAGAGAAACTCGTTGAAGGTGCTGGGGATATATCTCCTGCACCAGGTGTAGTGGGAGACAAATTCATAGCTTCGAGCAGACGGCCTAAGTTTCCTTGCGATTGGACTGCAGCTGGTGAAGTTGGGGCAGTTGAAGGATCAGTACGCATGTCACTGTCATCTCTGTCACTGTGCATGTGCTGCATTACCAACTTTAGCTCTGCCAGCTGTTCTTGGTGCGACGCCAGTAGGGTTTCTGTGTCTTTTATCTGTGCTTGTAATTGCTCATTCCTTTTTTCAACCACTTCACGCTCTTTCTTTGCCGCAGCAACCATCTACAATTCATGTTAGACTAACTAATCCAATATATTCAGGTCTTATTCACTTTAGAAGTGAATACATACCTTATTGGCCTCTTCAAACAGAGCTGCGGTTAGATCTGCCAGTTCTTGCTCAATTCCTTTCTTTTCCCTCTCAACAATCATTCTGCGGCCCCTTTCTTCTTCCAGTTCTTTCTTGAGCTGCATTTTTTCAGACTCTACTTTGTCCTGCCGGATCAATATACCATTGGAAATGTCTTCCTGATGTTTCTTGTTTTCTTCCTCTAATTGAAGAACTCTTTCCCGAGATAACTCTAGTTCTTGACGGGTTGCCGCCAAGGTATCGTCAAGAACTGTTTGGTTGTTAATTGCTTGGATGAGCTTATCGCTCAACGCAGCCACTTCATTGCTCAGGTCTGGATGCCTTGGAGACGAGGAGGCAGTTCGAGACAAGTCCGTGGTACTCGCAGTTCTAGGATCACGCAGTGTATTGAGCAAGGAATCAGATTCAAAGGATTGGGGCTTGGCTGTTTTCGAGCCACCCAACATGTCAGACAGAGCGTTGGCTGACTTGGCTCGAAAGACTGTTTTGCTGGAGGTAAGGGATCGGAGCTTCGAAGTGGAGCGTGTTTCTCGTTTCTCTGGCCGTTCCGACACAGCGGACTCCGTTTTAAGGGGAGGGTGAGACCACCCATGAAGCGACATTAATCTGTCGAGCGGTTAGAGCTGATGAAAAAGAAGCCGGGAGGACCGAATGGAAAAGAAAAGGACTAGGAACAACTGACTCGGCCATGGTTTGTATGACAAAGGAATGACTGTGGTGCTGCGATCGGGATTAAGGTTCAGAATGACTGGTTCGTTCAAACGAGCGTATGATGATGATGATGATGATGATGATGATGATGATGCAGGTGAGGTGCGGTTGTGAGCTTCGGCGGTTCGCGGGTTAACCAATAAGAGGAACCATCTTTCGGGAATTGTCCAAAGAGAAGGATACGACCGACGTGGTGATTGGAACGGTTTCCTCCTCTTCCCTCCGACAAGACAAGTGCAAAAGGGGTCGAGAGACGGACAATGTGGTTTCTGTCGGAGGGGAAAGACAAGAGGCGAACGGCCGTGAGTGAGGTGAGCGGGAGAGCGAGGGAAACCAGGGCGGCTTAAGGCAAAGTCCAGGGTCACCGATCAGGCAAAGCGTGACGAGCTAGCTCGCGAGGTGGAGCCCGGGTAAAGCGTGCAAACAGTTTCAGCTGCGGAGATGCTCGTTGCTGGGCGCCGCCGGCTCGTCAGGCTGCAGCTGCACAGTACATAATGAAGGTCTGTGGCTATCCGCCAGAGGATGGGGGCTAGAGCGGGTAGAGGCGTTGGGATTGTCAAGAACAAGGGAAGCGCTGGAACACAGTTACTCAGGTTTACGGAGAGCCTGTGGGAAGGTTACAGGAGAAACGCAAGCTCCTCCCATGGGCCGAGTGGCAGTGAAACCTGGTCTCACCCACCCTTTATTTCGATGCACAAAGCTCGCCGGTGCGTGCGCCCAAGCACTCTGATGCTTATGTAACTAGTAGTTTAGTCGGTCAAAATTTCATGGACGGCGTGACTCGCTCACCGGGCGGGCAAGGCGGAGACTCTTGTCGCGGGATCGAGCTACATACATACTTTGGAGAAGCTAGCTGTGATCGACATGAACACAGCAACAACAGCTTGGAGATAGGTCAGAAAGCAAGCCTATTTACGTAGGAGTTATTATCGATCGATCGATTGCTGGTTTGTGACAAGGAAGCCTTCTCGAAGAACTGACCCGCCGCGCTAGTTAACCGTGACTGCGGGGTCCGGGTTCAGAAGATCATCACGCATCGAGGCTAACAAAAATGTCGTCAAAGTCTCCTCCGCCGCCAATACGACGCTGTCGTCGAGGCAAACAATCAAGGCTCTGACTTCGAAGTAACCCCTCCCTACCGGGGCAATTCAATACGAACAAAGCAAAAACAAGAATCCCGTTGCGTCAAGAGACCAGACGGAGTCCCTATCTCGTTCCAGATGGCCGACTCAGAGCTTGAAGAGGTATGCTTGGCTGATAAAAACCAACAAAAAAAAAAAAAAAAAAAAAGGAATCCCGTGCTTAAAACCCTCACTTTTAGATCAGAAGAGCGCGGCTCGCGCAGTTACAACAACAAGGGGGTGCTGGTGGAGCTGGCGCCCCCAACCCAGAAGAACAGCGAAGGTAAGGAAAAAAAAAAAAGGCCTTCTGCGACCCTGCTCAGTATTATTCACTGTGCTAACGCACTCATCTGAAGACAACAGGAAGGTAATGTATCCCTCCTTCCAGAGCCTGTGTTCGTGATAATACTCAACAAAGCGGCGTAAAACCCTTTCATTAGCAATTTCCGCTCACACGCTCTACAGCCGATGCTCGTCAAGCTATCTTATCCCAGATCCTCCTCCCAGAAGCCGCTGACCGTTTAAACCGCATTCGCATGGTCAAAGAAACCCGTGCCACCGATGTCGAAAATCGGCTGATCATGCTCGCACGAACTGGGCAACTCCGAGCAAAGGTTACGGAAGATCAGCTAAAGGACCTGCTTAATGCAGTCGCAGAGAATAAGGAAGAGGAAAAGATTATCATCAGTCGTCGAAAAGGCGGATGGGATGACGATGATGACTTATTGGATTTGTGATGATTACCGGACCCTTTTGACACTTTGACGACTGCATTTGCCACCACGGATGATCATTTGACCCAGCTTGAGTGCTGTCAGCTTCTAAATATGCATACTTGAATAATGAACAGAGAGGAAAGGCAAATTACCCAATACGCGAGATTCGAACCATGCCCTGTAACGCTATGCTATAGTACAAATACCCCGGTCACAAATACATAGTCATGACTTTATCACTGCCTCTTTTGCCGCTTTCTTCTGTTCTCTAACTTTCTTCCTTATGTCTCTCAAATCCGGAGGCTTCTCGATATTAAGTTCCTCCCTCAATTCATTCACATCTCTTTCTAGTTGTTCCTCCCAGTAAACATTGATCAGCTCTTTACTCGCCAAGCCGCTTCTAATGGCCCAAGGCAAGTGAATACTCCAAAATCTCTGCTTTTCTTCCGGCTTCAGCCTGATGGCCGCAAACACACTCAATCCAGTCATTGGAATCAGCGTGTTCATAAACTCAAACGCCTTCAGTGCGATTTCACCCTCCACCACGATCGGCAGGCCTGTCACTGCATGGTAGAAATCGTGACACTCGCGATACCGCTGCATTACATACGCGCATTCTTCATCATCGATGTACTGCACACTGCTGCGGGTGTCTGGGCTGACACCCTCCCGGTCGAGCCAGGTAGCGTAGGTGTACCCAACGGTGTTTTTAGGCAGGTTGCGGAGGTAGGGAAGGGAAAGTGTCTGTGAGGTTATTCGGGGGCGATCACGGAGGATTCGTCGGCCGGTGGAGTCCGCGAGCATGGCATCGCGGAGACGATAGATGAAGAATGGCGTTGCGGTGGTTTCGCCGACAGTTGCTATTAGATCTGCATGTTCGTTAGGTCGCATATTCCTAGCTTGAAGGCAGGAGATTGGAAGAAATAAAAAAAAGTTACCTCCCCGCCGAGGATTCAACAGTGATCCCACAGCCGACCCAATTGCTAGAGCTCCCCGCTCTATCGGTGTCAAAGGTATATGGCCTGGATAATTTGGTTGAGGGCGATTGAGAACGGAGAATTCGCGGGCAACGCTTCGCTGTGCGCATAAGACTCGTAAAGAGCGCAAGCCCACGGCTCTTGCTCTCACTGACTTTGCTATTGCCATTGTCGAACAACTAACCCCAGGAGCGAGATTGTAGAAAGGCCAAATCTGCGCCGCAGCACCAGCCGAAGAGCAAGGTGTGGGATGGGACGATCCCGGCGATCGGCACCTGCAGCATCGTTGGGTCCCTGGCGAGCGCCGTAACGAACTAGTCAAGTTAGCGTCTTTGCGCATAACTCCGCAAAAGTCCGTGGCTCGAAGCCAAATCTCTCTGGGCAACTCATCCTGCATACTCCCGCACCTTGTTATTGATTCTTTCAATGCTTACACTGGGAAAATGGAAACCATTAAAAATTACTTGATTCATTCGTATTTTATCTTTTATCCTCCACAGTAGTCCACTGAGATTCGTGGCTGTGGTTACCACAATGGCCCCTGAGACTTTTGCCTCTGCAGGCAAAAAGCATGAAGAATTCACACAGTGGGCCAAAGATCAGGGAATACAGATCAACGGCGTAGCTGCTGTTAGGTTTCCAGGTCGAGGGATGGGCATTGCTGCATTAAGGGGCATTGATGTATGGGATCTGCACGCTTATCGCTTCCTCAAGATTTCGTCCTCAACCCGTCTTCCACCCCCTTGTTTGGCCGAGTTTCGAGCATATATTTTTGTGTTTTGATTCTGTTTCTGTTTCGAAAGCTAATGTTTTAACTACTTTCGTTTAGGCTGGAGAAACAATCGTCTCTGTTCCCACATCCAGCCTTCTAACACTAGACAAAATTCGCTCGACGTTCAGGGAGAAGTTCCAAGGAGACACTCCTGTCCAGGGCATATTTGCCGCATATCTAGCCTGTGATGATGACGCGCGGTCCAGGTATGCTCCATGGCGCGCAACATGGCCCACCATGCGGGATTTTGAGGATTCAATCCCGCTACTTTGGCCAAAATATCTCATCGGGACTCCGGGCGATGAGCTCAAAGGCCAAGGGGAAACCACAGCGCGAGGAGAGGAGGTCTTTGCATCTTTATTGCCTCCCTCCATATCTGGTCACTTCACCTTATCGAATAGGGTCGGTCGATTTTCTGGTGATTACACCCCTGACCACCAGAACCTCCTCGAAAATCAGCGTAGCAGGTTCCGAAAGGCTTTCAGCAGAGTGAAACTGGCTTGTCCAGGTATAAACCTGGAAATATTCACTTATTATTGGTTTGCCACACATACAAGATGTTTCTTTTATGTAGCGAAAGATTCAGAAGTGCCGGAAGACCGTAATGATGCGATGGCATTGTGTCCGTTTGCCGATTATTTCAATCATTCAAGCAATGACCCTGGGGTAGGCCACCGGTTTTCCCTCCTTTTATTGAAAAATTTAGTATATTTTGCAGCTTTAAGCAATCCGATCTGATCCATTTTTGTACACGTTGTGACGTGTAGTGCAAAGCTAGCTTTGATGGAGGTGGATATACATTTACAGCAACAAAATCCTACGGTATGGATTTGAACCCAACTACCGACGCTGAATCTGATGAAGTCGTACTTTTCTAGCGAAAGGAGAAGAGGTATTCGTGTGCTATGGGAATCATACAAGCGATGTCCTACTAACGGATTGTAAGTGAGCAGCTTCCACATGTATATACAATATCTCCCTGTCTAAGCTATGAATAATATAGACGGATTTGTACCGGATGAAAATAAATGGGACGCAATTTTCTTGGATGACATTGTGCTCCAGGATATCAATAAGATAAAGAGACGCTATCTCAAAGAAGATAACTATCTTGGGTAAATCTAACCCTCACGACACGAGTGAAAGCTTATCTCCTGCAATGATAATGCTGATGTACCGAAAAGCAACTATCAAGTCACACGTGCCGGTCCATGTTTTCGCACCGAGGTGGCCGCTTCACTGACGTATATGTCTGTAGACGACTGGAGTTTATATGTCGGAGGTACCATCCCATCCAGCTTTCACTCGGAGAAAACGGACAGAATCGTGGCTAGCTGGATACGCAAATATCGTGACGAGGCCGATTTGGCGATTGCGAGGGTAGAAGGCATGGTTAGAAGTGGTATATACGAAACGGCTAATCGGCTCAAATCCATTATTTTGCGATGGAAGCAGATAAGAGAATTATGCAGCGTCGCATTGGATTCGTTAGAGCCGTCAACTTGAGAGTCAATAAAAGTGATATACAAATAACCACATCAATCGAGTCTAGCGCCAGCACAAAATGCTATAGGAATGACATAAACGATATCAAGTCGAGCCGATATTTCTAGCCGGCTCCGTAAACTAGACAGCGGGCCGATCTTTACTCTGGTACCGAGGGATCAAGTGGAATCTGGCCCTGCATCTTCTTCGAAAGCATCCTCGTCTTCGCCAGTACCATCTGAACGAGCATGTAATTAAGGGCGCATTTAACACCCAGCTCTTCTCCTCGTCGAACAATGTACCCATTAATGTATTCGATCTCTGTTTCTTTTCCCATTCTCATATCTTGCAGCATTGAACTCGTATTCTCTGCAGTCTTATGCATGACGCTGACAGCCAGGGTACGTAATCTTTCAGGTGAAAATCGAGCCATAACACCAGGTATGCCTTGCAGTTCGGGAAGAGCACGAATAACGGTAGATATTTCGATGAGTAATAGTTTTTGCACTCGGGAAACATTGTAATTGTAAAGGAGATCGCCATTCTGGCAGTCGTTCAGAGCAGTGAGTGGGTTGATTACACAGTTGATGGCAAGCTTTTCAAGTTGAAATTGAAGCATTTCATTCTTGTTGATTCGAATTGCAGTTAACTCGGGCGAACGAGTTAGCGTGTTGGTGAGGTAGATCGATGAGATAGCCCAATAATCTCTGTCGTTAAACTTCTCCCCAGGCTTAATATTTCCCGCCTCGTCAACTGGTGCACGTGGTCGTTCCGGATACACGATACTGAAAGCGGATGTTCCAACTCCAGCGTGGGTGATGTGATAAGCTTTCGTGTAATAGAGCCCATGCGATGTAATGCCCTGGATATAATTCGGCCTTGTAGCAGGATCCGGAAAGATTTTCTCATTAACTTCTTCACGAATGCCCATCCCGTTCTGAATAAACACTATCGCCGACTGGGGAGTAAGTCGGTGACGTACAGACTTCAGCGCCTGCTCGACTTGAGTCGCCTTGACCGCCAAAATTAGACTGTCGATTTTTTCGTTGTTCACATCAATGAACTGCTCATCTGTCCTGCCTTGATGCACACCTTGTGCATTTTCAGGCTCCCCGGGATTGAATTCAGAAGGCTTATACGGTTCATACCAGACTCCGTCCCTCAGGATGTTGACATCGAAGCCGCTTCTCGGCTCGGCAATTCCGTTCTTGACTAACGTAAGACGTTTCCCATACTTCTTCCACGCAAAATAGTGTTCGACCTTATGTAGAAGCAGAGTAATTGGAGGCCTGTTTGGCAATGAAGCAATTGAGTGCGCAACGAAGCCTCCTATATTTCCAATTCCCAGGACATGTATCCTTCTTGATATTGGGTTGCGTACGCCCGGCTCAGGGATTGGGCCTTCATCTTGTGCCTCCATTTGCCTCTTTGGACCGACCATAAAGCTCCGGCCTTTGTTAAAAGAGAGCTTCGATGATAAGGTCCGATGGCACAGGCACCACCTCAGAGCGGGCTGAGGAGTATGCCGCACCGGACTCATTTTCAACACAGAACAACGTCGTGTTCTCACCTAAAGGACAAAGGTGATACCCACAACATTGTGGAAAACTTGATTTTAAAAGTAAGAATATGCGCTTGTAATTCACTTGGGCTATCACCTCCTCCGCAAGATAAGCATTGGTTAAAGGGAGATTTGGGAAGCCTTTTGAGGTTTGATGCCGTCGCTGATTGGAGGATCTCGTCGGGACGGAGCTAGATCGTATTCAGCCTAGCGCTCTAAGCTGTCAGTTTTTGAATTCGGGTTTGCTAAAAAGTTGTCTTAACTCACCAGATGCGTGAAGTTCACGCAAAATATATTATGCACAACTCCGCAGCCATGGAGATGACAGATTTAACGCCGCTGGGAGACCAGCTGGAAGGCGATATTGATGAACTGGAGGAAGTTTTAGAGCCGCTCTTGAGCCAGACCTTGTCCACAGCGACCCAGAAAATGACAGTCATGGACAAGGCGAAGCTGCATGTACTCATCACATATACGATTGAATCCCTTCTTTTTTGTACGTTCAATTCGCACTATTTTACGGAGTTGATATGGGATAACAGCTGACGCTAGGACAGCGTATTTACGTCTACAGGGCGTAAATGCAAAGGAACACTCTGTTTTTAAAGAATTGACCCGAGTGAAACAGTACTTTGCAAAGATAAAGAATCTAGAAACAGTGCCAGAGAAGCCGACTATGACGCTTGATAAGCAAGCAGCGGCGAGATTCATAAAACACGGCCTCGTGAGTCCCATGGAGAGAATGCTTGGAATAAAGACCCACTGACAGATTGCAATATAAGGCCGGGAACGATAAAATTGACTTAGAGAGAGCCGAAAGAGAGGCCAAAGAACGAGCTATGGCTCAGCTAAGGGCGGCGCAACTCGCTAGAAAGCAAGGGGAGACAGTTACGGCCGCTACTCCTGCTAATTCTCTTCCCCAGAAGCGTCCTGCAGAGGACGAGGAAGAATCGGAAAATGATGATGGCGACACAGGAAATGAGTATGAGGCGAGCAGCAACACCGGGGAAGGAGATCATGAAGTGACTGCCCATCCCAACAAAGAACCCGGGAAAAAGCGAAACCGGGCCAGTAAACGAACAAGGGAAAGGAGACGAGGACAGGGGCGCTCTGATGTGGCAGATGTTGAGAAGCGCTCACTTAATAAGGAAAAGACTAGGCGAGAGAAAAAGCGCATGAAAAGGCCGAGAAAGCAAAAAAAAAATAAACCGCAAGATTAGCAGTCAGCCTCTAGCCTGACAAGGATGTATAGCACGTCCGGCTTTCACTTGCCTTTAACCTCTTGCCGAGGGTCAGAGCTCTTGGTATTTATAACGCCAAAGAGAACTAGGAAGACTGCCGTTTTGTTGTTCTTGTGCAAAGGAGTTCAATCAGAGTTCGGATACTGTGGCAATTTCTGCTCTCTCTGTGTTGGCCCTATCACCCTGAAGTGCTCCAAGGAATGGCTGAGCGGGGAATCTCCCTCGCAAATGGATAGTTTGCATTTAATTCTGGCAACGGATAGATACCCACAGTCAAGTTTAATGTAGCGCCCTTTTTTCCTTTTTTTTTTTTTTTTTTTAATTTCTCTCCCAGGTCCTGCTGATCTCCTTTGCCTCTGGAAGCGGAGTTTGAACCTCTGAGAATGTTGTCGAATCATTTGTAAGGCGATGACAATACGCCCCAGATTCAGCAACTATCCACCAATAGAATGTCATGTTAAAAGCATCGGCCCGAATTTCTCCATTTCGCCCGCCGATATGTAATTTTCCGATACCGATTTCTTACTTCAAATTCCTCAGCACCCTCTGATCTCCAAATCCCTCGACACTCATCATAGCCACTTCGCCTTACCCATTCTACCTTCTCCTTCTTCTTCTTTAAAAACACAACCATCTCATAAGACATCAAGATGGCTCGCCAACGTCGTGGTGCCGCTCCCACTCCGGCCCGGCGTGCCCCAGCCAGACCTACTCCCGCTCCTGCCGCCCCAGCTCAGACTCAGCATCGTGCCTCTTCAACGGCCGCCGCACCACCACCTGCAGCTCCAGCAGCCCAGCAGGCAGCTCCGCCTCAGGCTGTCCAGCAGAGCCAGGGACCTGGTCTATTTGCTCAGATGGCTTCTACTGCCGCGTAAGTTACATCCTGTCTCGCCGAACATACCGTTGAGTAGGTTGCCACGTATCCGGCGATGCAGGGCAAGCCAGCGAAGAAAAAAAAAAAGTATCAGTACGCTAACGCTCCCTTTATAGTGGTGTCGCAGTAGGCTCCTCCATCGGTCACGCCGTCGGCAGCTTCTTCACTGGTGGATCGTCCAGCGCTCCGGCAGAGGCTGCTCAAGCTCCTCCCGCTTCGTCCGCACCTATGGACAACAGTTTGTACCAGAGCAACTCCAGCAGCTGGGGCCAATCTCAAGCGTGCGAAACCGATATCAAAGCGTTTCGTACCTGCATGGATGAGCACTCTGGAAATATGTCCATTTGCGGATGGTATTTGGATCAGTTGGTATGTGGAGAAAGACATCTTTATTGGAATTGTTGGCTGCTATGATGCTAATCAATGCTCTTTTGTTCATTTTAACAGAAAGCTTGTCAAGAAGCTGCTAAGCAGTACTAAGCATATCGCATTATGCACAAGACCACCCGGGTCTTGATGGCTGGGGGAGGGAAGGTCGACTTCTACACTACGTAGCGTTGATTCAGATACCTATACACATACAGCAATCATCGGCTGTGCTTTTTTAAACTACCCCATTTTGTACAATAAGCAAATCATATACAGATATCCGCGAGTCGGGTTTCTCCCGGCTGTGAGTTGGACTTTGAGTATTTAATGTAGCTCGTTCCACTCAATCAATCTCTTACCTTTCCTATCATAGAAGCTACTTCCTAATAATGGTATCTCTGTGAGCGAAAGCCCCGAGGGTATAATAGTATACATAGATGAAACAACATTCCGGCCGTTGATCCGCATCGGCTATCAAAATCCGTATAGCCCAAGGAAACAAAGCATGGCATACCAGTTGAGTGCAAGGCAAGGCACCCAAAGGCATTTAAAAAAGTATCAGGGGGAGCTAGTCATTTTTATCCTGATCTATTCTTGGCTCAAAATTTAACTGAGAGCATATGATATTAGCGTATCTGAGACAACTCAACTGCGCTCGTTGAAAAGTAGACCTACCTGATTTCCGTTGTAAAACTGGCGATCCGCTTCATCGGAAGGCCCATCATAAAGTGTCCTTATATTGTTAGAGCGAGGAGAACGCGGGTTGCGTACGGAATTTTCCCCAGCTCCGGTTGCTTGTTCAGCACGGCTAGAAGTCTCTGGCGGAGACGCTGGTTGACCGTGCGTGAGTCCAAGAAAAGAGCCCAACGCGCCTGCAACTGTTCCAACGGCGGCGGTAAGCAGATTATATCCAGCGTATAATCCCCGAACCGGAAGAGACGATTCCGAAGTTGCGTATGCCTCTGTGTAGCTGTGTATAGGTACCATAACTAGGTTAGCGGTGGGACCCAAGCCAAGGTCACTGAGAGATTGGTTCTCTTCTGAAATGGAAATCGTCTTGTTCGGAAGAGGAGTCAAGATTTGTTTGAGGTTATATGGCGTGTTTCCATCAGTGCGCTGACTATCAATCCACGGACGCACATCGTTACGTACTGTCTGAGTAGGGAAAAATTTTGATCGGATAGAACTACCGTCAAAAACACGGACCTGGAGTCGATATTCGGATGCTCTATCACGCTGTGTGATGGGTCTGGTACGCTGTTCGGTATCCTGGGAATCGCTCTGTTGGGTGTGAGACAATCTCTGCTGCTCTGCTCTTGCTCTCCGCTCTTCTTTGTCCTGTCGTATCAAAGCTAATACGCGCTCTCTTTCCTCTCTTTCCCGTCGTTCTCTGCTAAATTGCTGTTGCCTCCAAATTTTCTGTGTATTCCCCGCAGGGTCTCCAGGCCGGGATACCGGTTCTGGAGACGCAGCTCGTCTTTTACCCTGCCGTACGCTCTCGCGTCTTGCGATTTCAGCGGGAGTTTCTTCTTCCGAAGGTTCGGGTTCTGGAGCAGGGGTGTTGACATTGTCGCTACTTGGCGAGGGAGTCGGGACTTGATGAGTCGGTTGGGAAAGCGCTTCTGATTGCGATGCTTGCAGCACTTGGGTTGGGTTTAGTATTGTTTTCAGCCGTTCCTTCAACTCGTCCTCGGCCGTTCCGGACACAATATACTCTTGAAGAACACCGTTCCTTCAAAAATTAGCGGAACGAGCATAGGCAACCAATGGAATTTAGGACCTACTTAATAGCAACAAGCGTGGGTATCTTGTTGATTGGACAGAATGATGCTAAGAAGCCTGCTTCCTGTGAACCAGCAGTGAGCCGCAGAGCTACGCTGTTTGATGTCAACAATTGAGTTATCTGCACGATGATTAGTAGGATTCTGAGGGAAAACCATAGTACTGCAACTCTTACCTCTTCATCTGCGAGGTATTCATCCTCCCATCTCGTGCTTTCTTCTCCTTCATCTATTAAGGGAAGTAAACCGTGTTAGATAGGTCGAAGACCCGCTAGCCCACACAGTACGGCGGCCTTACCTCGAACAAAGCACACGACCTGCTTCGCCTGTTGCACGGCAAGTGTGATCCCACTCTGAAGATCTCCTTCGTAGAACATGGCTAAGATGGCGGTTCACAGTCAAACTTTCTGTTTCCCGCTGGTTCTTCTCGCACGTTAGGCTGTCGAGTAGGAAGTGCCATGCGGGGATGCACGGGCCACTCGAGAATTGCCCGGGAATGTCTACATAACAAGCGCACTAACTAACTAACTAAGTTAACAAATAGTTAACTGACTGACTAACTAGTTAAACTACCTTGATAGCTGCGTATCAAACCTTAGTATGCTGTCGCTCCCGCCGTCCGACTGTACACTTCACCTCTTGTCCGTTGTACACCAAAAACGACAGCTATGGTTTAGCTGAGACAAATAAAACGTTGATCTCGAGGGTTCGGTGTACTTTTGATCCTGATTCGATCTATCGGAGCTATTGCTCCGCCAGGACGCCGTACTGGTGATAGGTTCATCGTTACCCCGTACACTGAAGATAAACTCTGGAGACGCAACATGCGTAGTAGGAACTAGAGCCCAGGAACAATTCACCGATCGGTGTCAGAGCAGCTGGCTTTTACTTAAATTATGCATCCATGCCTCGCTGTCCCAATTCGTATTTTCGTTCCCTGTGGCTCCCGTCGTCCTTGTTTGAACCTTTCGTGGCTGTACGGAAGTATGGCCCGGATTCTTAAATAGCGTTGACTTCGACCAGGGAAATTGGCCGTCGTCGACGATATCGATCCAGCTATCGAGTTTGTTTTTGACTCGCTGGATGTCTGAGCTTATCCAACTAACTACCCAGAAACCCAACCACGATTTCTGAACCGCCATTATTACCCCTGGATTGAGCACTAATAGCTCCCATCGACATCAATTCACAAAACGAACACGCCTGGCGTTGGGAATATTATGTCCTCTTTGACATTAGTCTCTTATTTCTACTTCTAAAAGATAATCATGGCTTCGGAAAACAGCCCGAGATTTCTGAATTATCCAGAAGCTAAACAAGGGTAGGCCCATGGCAATATCACATCCAAACAACAATTCTGACGACTATGTGACCGTTGACACTACTTAGGCCCAAGGTTCCGTACAAAAATGATAGAAAACAAAACCCTACTATGAGGGGTTTGGTAGTGGCCATTGGGGCTTTTTTGTTGGTAAATTGACCATATGAGCGGGATATGCCCAACTGACTTGAACTTAGGTTCAAAAGGCTACGCTTCCTTCGAAGGTTTATATGGTTTAACGCTGGATTTGGAGACTTGCGTCGTATCAGAGAACACCTGGAGGACTATGAGCCTAGATTTGATCCCACTGTTATCCCTGTACGGGATGCCATCAGCGCAGAGAGGGAAGATGACCTCTTGCTTCACACCGATAGAAGCCCTGTATCACAAAAGGAGCATATAAGATACTACTCGGTTAACGACTACCATAATATGTATATGTCAGGTGAATTAACGCCAACAGCGGTTGTGAAGGCCATACTTCCCCTAATTCGGCGCGATATTATACCGCAAGGCGAGCATTCGTTAGCTTGGTTCGACACCAAGGTTGATCTAGTTCTGGCTGCAGCGGAAGCATCGACATTGCGATACAAGAGAAAGCGCCCCCTCGGCCTATTGGACGGCGTCCCCACGGCTGTCAAAGATGAATACGACATTGATGGTTACAGAACGTGCTTGGGATCCGTGAACGACTATACTGGTGAGGCAGAGCCGGAGAAATCAATCACCAGTTGGTGTGTAAGGCAGCTGGAAGAGGCTGGAGCTGTTGTTCTTGGAAAGCTCTCCATGCCCGAATTCGGCCTTGGTATCCATCCAACCTCTCCTGTTTTTTCTTGTAAGTCACTCACGATATTCGCAGACACATCTGGGAACAATCCCATCTATGGTACGCCGTGTAATCCTTACTGCAGTCGGTACTACACTGGAGGAAGCTCCTCAGGCTCAGCCTATGCAGTTAGCACTGGCCTGATTCCCATGGCCTTAGGGAGCGACGGCGGCGGGAGTATCCGCATACCCTCCGCTTTTTGCTCTGTATATGGGTTGAAGCCCACACATAGCAGGCTCTCGCACCGTCCAGGGTGCAACCATTCCAATACTTGCGCCGTAAACGGTCCAATTGCTGCTGACATACGCTCTCTTGCTCTTCTCTACCATGTGATCGGCACGCCTCACCCTTCATCCCACTTTCCGTCTCTCTCGCCTCCCCTATCGCCTCCGCTTCGGCCCAGGAATAAGATCCTAGGCATTCCCGAAACGTGGTTCTCGCGATCAACCCCGGCGATTCAGCGCCTCTGCCGCTCGCTGTTGGATAAACTTGTTTCCGCCCATAATTATACCCTCATGCCCATAGAAATCCCCTTCCTGGTAGAGGGTCAAACTGCACACGCGATGACTGTTCTAACTGACGCTGCCACGCTCCTTCCAAACACGGACAATTTCACTGCGGCAAACCAAATAATGATCGGTCTCGGTACCATCACTCCAGCCACTGACTTTCTGCTAGCCCAAAAACTACGTCAACTCTTAATGCAGCATCTCGCCTATCTGTGGAAGGAATACCCTGGAATGATCATTGTTACACCTACAACCAGTTGTGCAGGGTGGCCCATCCGTTCTAAATCGGAGTTGCAGTATGGACTTAACGATGGTAACCATATCTTAAAGACGATGGAATATGTATGGATGGCGAATTTCACAGGTGCTCCTGCCCTGAGCGTTCCGGTAGGGTATATCGTGCCTGAAGGCCCGGAGGGTGCAGGGGAAGAGGCGGACCGAGATGTCGCCGGTAAAGTCCCTGTTGGTCTGATGGGAATGGGTGAATGGGCCAGTGAGGATAGCTTACTGCAATGGGGATTGGAAGCCGAAGACGTCGGAAAAGACAGGCTCTCAAGGCCACCAATTTGGGTGGATGTCGTTGAAAGGGCAAAAGAGGAAATGAAAAATTCTCGCCATATCAATGTGGCTACAAAGTCGAGCCAGAGTTGAACGTGACGGTGCTATCGTGGATCGGGACATGGAGAACTCCGAACATTGCATCAAATGCTTTCTTTTCTGCTCAATTGACCAATGTAATACTAGTCTTCACTCTCTAACAAAGGTAAGACGGGACCTATGTATATGCCTAATATACATCCATTGGTCACCAGGTATTGGGAGCCAAGTTTGGTTACTTTTTCTCATTTTACGAATAAGATGGCGCATGTCTTCGTGTCTCCGCGTCGGTATTTTGGACCATATATACTCCAGGCAGGCACCGGAATGTTCATAATACCAGTAGGATATAGGCTGATGGTCAGTCTCCGAACATTCACGTAATGGTGCGACTGTCAAACAAAATCTGATTTATAGAGAAAAACAGAAGAAAATGGGGCACCAATCTCGACATCTTCTGTTGATATAGAAGAGGAGATCGATGGGAAACACGCTAGTTAGTGGGTGCGACTAATCCGAAGTTAGTTAGTCAGCTGCAATTCAAATCGGCGATCGTCAAGTTCGCGGGTTTGCGGCCGTGACAGACATACTTTTGAAGTCGAGCTACCATTCTTTTACTAAATAGCACAACTAACCGCTCTTTATAACGTACACCTTCTTTCCGGGCTTCTGGCGGGTGACCGGCGTGAGGTAAAGTCGATGAAATCCTCACCTATTCTTCGAAGGAGTTTAATCTCCGTATTCAATCAATCATTCCGCCAGAACGGCCCCAACCGTCTCCGGAACATATGCTCGCGGTGCTGGAGACAGCAACGGCAACAACAACAAGTCCGTTTCGCACATACCCCGGCAGATGACCCGAATTGGATCTCCGTTGCAGATAATCCTTCGAAGCTTGTACGAACCGGCCACAAACATGGTCCCGGATTGATTTTACTTGGTTTGTCCCTCAAATCTCTGAAAATAACTCTTGTGAGGTAGTAGAATCGTGCTAATCGTAGGATAATGGATCTAGCTCTTATTCCTATCACTGCTTTCGCCCTCGGAACATGGCAGGTGCAGCGACTTGACTGGAAAACCAAATTAATAACAAAATTTGAAGACCGCCTCATTAAACCCCCGCTCCCTCTACCCCCTGTCGTCGATCCTGATGCCGTATCCGATTTCGACTATCGTCGCGTATATGCTAAGGGCCGTTTTAGACACGATCAGGAAATGTTGATTGGCCCCCGGATGTACGACAGTAAAGATGGATACCTAGTAGTCACGCCGTTCGAAAGAGGAGACGGGGAGAGCACGATTCTCATCAGTCGAGGTTGGATTTCAAAGTCTCTGAAAAACCAAAAAGATCGGCCTGAGGGGCTACCGCAGGGAGAGGTTGTTGTGGAAGGACTGCTTCGGTCTCCTTGGAAAAAAAATATGTTCACTCCTGATAATAAACCAGAGGAGGGAAAGTTCTACTTCCCGGACGTGAATCAAATGGCTGAGTTTACGGGTAGCCAACCAATATGGGTTGAGGAAACTATGCGTATGTGTTCCGTTTGCTAAACTCCACTGTGTTAGAGCTGGTGCTGACCGAAGTAGAACCGGAACTGCTGGAACAGTATCACAGAGAAGCTAACGGTATACCGATTGGGCGTCCTCCGGAAGTCAACCTCAGAAATAACCATACCCAGTATATTTTCACCTGGTAAGCGATTCCCTGCTTTGTTTGCTTATTGCCAGGTGTTGGCAGCAGCGCAGCTAATAGTTTACAAGGTATGGTCTTTCTTTGGCCACATCGGTAATGTTATGGATGGTAGTTCGAAAGAAGCCGAATACCGCCGCCCGGAGAATTCGACAAAGTAAGAACTGGTAGCAACAAAGTTCACCTGCATCTCCACTCTTTGTATCAATGAACGATCCCGAGTTTCAAGCGCTATGCGCATGAAGTGTCACTTTTTAGCAAGGCGGATATCCTGAAGCAGCTCTTTTGGCAGATATTTTTGCGCGAGAGCGAATACAGAAGTGCCTTTTCCAATTTGCCGTTGTCTGCCTTAAATTAGCCTGGTCATCACGACTATTGATGGAGTAGATCGAGAATACCTTTTCATAAGAGCTATGACATCTGTTTCATCTACCGTCTTCCGGTTTGAATGTTTGGAATATGCGCTCAAGTCGTCATTCGCTTGCTCAAAGAACCAATCTGTGGCTTTCTCGAGGGCAGCTAGAGCCTCTTTGGATATCCTCGTTCGACTTCCGTTCCCTGTTCGGGCGAATCGAGTGGCCAGCCGCTTGACAATACCACGGGGCAGCTTTGGAACAGGTATTCCATGTTTTGAAACTCTCTCTTTGTTTTGATCTAGTCGGGACTCCTGAGGAGGTTCGGGTGATGATTCTTGCAAAGGCGGTCGTGGAGAGCCTTCGCGAACTGCGAGTTCCAGATCTCCAGCTCCAAAATCATCATCAGATGAAACGGGAACATCATCAGCGATAGGCATTGTGGTATCTAAAACAAAATCTTCATGTTCATTCTCAATGTGCTGCGGAGCGTCGGGAGTTGGGAAGGAAAAATTTAAATCGAACCGTCGTAAATCCTCAGTCTCGCCCCTGGTGTATTATATTTTAGAAACAGATTATCATGAATAGAAAGAGCAAATCTTACCCTACATCAAAGATCGGCTGTTCCGCGGTCAATTCAATTTGATCATCAACAAAGTTATCGTCCCCTTGTGGCGCTGTGAATTCCATGCCTTCTTCGGTATATTCTAAGCGGCTTGCATCTCCAAAATGTTCACTGAATCTCGTACTGGCCAAACTGTATCTTGAAAGAGTTGCAAGATCCCTGGTTGATCGTTCTCTACGTGGCATTTCAATTGACCGCTGTGTGAAATCGTCCTCGTCAAGTGGTAGGGATAATCGCGGTGGTACAATTTCAGGGCTCCCATCGCCATCCCCTGGAACGATCATTTCATGCATTGGCAGAGAAAGCCTAGGTCTCGGCAGGTCTGGTTCTTCGTCCAGATCCTCACTCTCTTGTTGATCTGTTTCCTGATCTGTCTCAGTCATTGGCGAGGATTTGATAACTTCGCTGGTTGGAGCAAGCGCTAGAGTTCAGGAACAGTTGTCAATATATGCTCATAGTCATTTACCAAGAGATACCATTATTGATGTACACTAACCTTTGCCCAAGTTCCTCAAAATATCCAACGGTGTTTCCCTCTGAACGCGACCACTCTTCCTTCGGTCCCGTCCAGGTGTGTACACAGCCGCACGCCTTTGAAACGCCTTCAGCGCATGCGGCGTAGCAGGTGCATGGCTTCCTCCCGCAAAAGCATCCGAAATTCCAATTCCAGAAACTCCGCGGGAACTTCGACGTAAGGAAACTCGACTCGCGGAAAGTGATCGTCGGGAACGTCCTGCTGGGGTCGCCGGGTCTCCAGCCATACCAGCTAGCTGCTGGAGCTGCGTAAGAATTAAGTACGAAGATATGATAATGACAAAGGAATGGCATAACTGCTTACTATACTGGAGGGCGTGTTGTGAGCTGGACTTGGCCCCGCTCCCGCGCTTCCACGCCGCCGCCGCGGAGTAATACGCCGGGCATCAGGCCCACTAGGTGAAGACATCGAGGGCAGCAAAGTTGGCCCGGATAATCAAATGAAATATAATCGACATGAGCTCTCGGCCACATCGAAGAGCTCCCCGCTGTCCAAAAGTCAACTGGGGGTTGTCTTGACCTCCGAGCTCGGCGCGTCCAGCAGCAGCTGCGATGACGGTTGGCTCGTGCACTAGGAACCGGATGACATAAGCAGAAATTTTATTCAGACGGACGGAGTCGGCGCATGGCTTGAGGGTACGCCATCCATTCCCCAGGATTTAAAGAATATTCATGCAGCATGGCACCCGATATAACTCAAGCAGCACCATATACAAAGCCGAAGCGCAAACGAGAGCAAGAAGACGAGGGGGAACGCCCGGAGAAAGCTTCAAACGTCCAAACCAGCGCGGAGGTTCCGAGCCGCAAGCGAAAAAAGCGCAAGAAGGCGAAACAACCAGTCGATGATGTGAAGGATGCGGAGAGAGAGGATGGAATTGATGAGTCAATTGGAAAAATGGATGGGAAGCTTTTGGCGGACTATTTTGCGCAGAAGGCGAAGCGGCATAATAAAGACTTAACGGCAGTTGAGCTGGATGACATCTATATACCCGGTAGGACATCCTGTTCCATTATATTGAGATCAGATGAGTCTTGTCTACGGCAAGGTTGTGAATTATAAAATTAAACATTTCTAGATTATGCATTCCTTAATACATCGTCCTGGCAATCACCGCGAACCCTCGAACATTTACCCTCCTTCCTCAAGAAGCACAGTCCGAAGAAGGGATCGACGCTCTTCCAGTCATCAGAGTCGAAGGGCAGCCCTCATACCATTGTGATCACACTTGCTGGTCTCCGGGCTGCAGATATGACAAGGTAAGAATGTTTTGGTTTCGGATACCAGACCAAGGGCTGACTATCCCAAGGGCATTGCGAGAATTCCAGAACAAGGACTCCGCTGTTGGGAAGTTGTTTGCTAAACATATTAAGCTCGCCGAGGCCCAGGAATTTGTGAAAAAGACAAGGTCGGTCCTAAAGTGCATGGGATGATTGAACGAGTGGCTAAGCGTGCTGTGTAGAATTGGAATAGGAATCGGAACCCCAGTCCGTTTAAACGATCTGATAGACACAGGTTCGTTGCTTACTGAATCATTAGTGTGGATGCTTGGAGCTAAATCAATTTATAGGAGCCTTAAAACTCGATTCATTGAAGCGAATCGTAATTGACGGTTCGTATATTGATCAGAAAAAGCGAGGCATATTCGACATGAAGGATCTGCATTTTCCACTGCTCAAATTTCTTAATCGTGCAGATTTGCGAGATCGATATAAATCGAGAGACGATAAGGTTGAGATATTAGTTTTCTGAGTGGATCCCGTCTATCCCTGAGGTTATGCTCTTTCGGGAAATGCCTGTCAATAGGCAGTACAAGCGGACTGGATATCTGTCGCAGTACGATTTCATTATACAAAGCATTCCTGAGGGGCTTGTCAGGCTTCACGGTCTAGAATATGTGCAAACGCGAAAGCCGATTTGACGAAGCGGCCTCGCTCTATGTACTCCCGATATCCGCGAGATGCGACGGCTTCGGAGCCCGCCCTAGGCCAGCAAAGACCGCTCTATACTGCTATCATATCACTGTCTGAAATGCAGAAATTGAATTGGCCTGGCCAACCAGTACGTAAACGTTCCGGCAAAATTCAGGTTTACAGCCTACTTCTTCGCATGCTGTCGCGACTTTGCACCCATTTCCAATCCTGTATGTCGGTCACGTCTCTGAGCGATGCTGCATTCATTCATATCTCCGGAGACCGAGTGCCAATCGCGCATTCTCGTTGGTTGTGCGACTTTGAGCACAATTGACTTGTTCCAACTAGGGTTTGGTTGTCGCCCGATCTCAAGTTCCATAGTTTTGCTTTTAAAACCCCTTTGTCCTCCCTCTGGCACAAGCTCATGTTATGCCTTTCAGGTGTTTGCTGAATGAGCATCTGTTGGATCAACGCTATTCATGTCTCCAGAATATAGACTACCGGCATAGATGTTAAGAAGCCTTCTCGCCAATTAGACATCGATATAGATGATCCATTGAGTCTGCATTACTGGAATATTTTTTTTTTTTTTTTTTTTTTTTTTTTTGGCTCGCCAATGAAATATTTTGATACTCTAAGCCGGCGCGAATATTGCTGGTAAACAATCAACAAAGTACCGAGAATGCCCGCATTCGAATGATCGAATCCTTTGTTATCAAATTGTTGTGAGACCAACAGCAGGAATCTGGGAATAGAGAAAAAATGAAGAAAAAAGAATCCTCTTCGTCCTTTCTTGGATATAAAAAGGGAGTGTCCTGCCCTGGACAGGATATCTATCTCAGCAGAAATCTTTCCTGGGACCTAAGCCACCGTATTATTTAACCAGATCCGAACAACCATTTCGAAAAAGGTGAGTAATACTCAGCCCTGTTGATCAACTGTGATTCTTCCCTTTGCTGAAGGAAACTGATTTCATTTTAGCGAAGGCATAACTTTGAAAATGAAGGTTTCATGGTCATTCTTCTTGGTTGCTGCGAGCGCCATGTTCTTTGAAGTCGTATCTGCGCAGATACCATGCCTGCCCAAGGGCGGAACTTGCTTTGGCGACCAAACTTGCTGCAAGGGCAGATGTATTTCTCCAGGTGGTCGCAGTACCCCGGTGAGTTAATTCGTAGATTCCACGAATGCTTGACGAGATTCACTGACAGCATTGTGCAGGTATGCGACGCCTAATTGCTGGGCATGGTTACCGAGTCCGCACACCCGAGAGCTGAAGTCCTTCCTTTCTTATGATTGTTGCTCCCGAGATGCGCCTGTCAAGCTCCAGCCCTCTTTGCCGGAGCTTTATTCCATTCCTTAAAAGGTTCCTTTTTTTCCTCGATTGTCTGTCCTGTGTACATGGGTCCACGTTCGCAACGAGTTGAGAGATATGTGATCTTCAGCAGAAATGAAATGAAATTGAGACATCCATAATTGTCTAAATATTGCGAACATATGTGTGCCTGTAGCTCAATGCGAAATCCATTGCATTAATGTTTTCTTCCTATTTGCGCAGCGAGCAAAACACAGAGAGAGACTCTGTTGGAGAGCTCACAGGTGTGAGAATTGGCAACTTGTGAGGGAGAAGAACTTTGGTAAGATTTCCTCTAATAAAAGGCTGATGAAATAAACAGTATAGAGCATATTCAGCACCAATTTTCCAGTGAGAATGAATAGTCAATTGTGAATATTGCGGTACACTTTTAGTACATCATGATCTTTTACCGTAGACCGTCCGAATAAAGTTCAGGGCCTTGCCCATGATCCTCACCGCCTCAAATCTCGGCGGCAGAATAATATCGCAAAAAAGTCGACGCCAGACATAGAGGCGCGGTTCGATTATTGCTCAACCGGGAATACGCAACACGAATTTCCGCGCGGATCAGGAACAGGTTTGCAATCGCCATACGTTTAGGTGCCCGCTATTAGAGTTCCGCCGTTGCTACTCTCCGACACAACCACTCCTACCCGCGGTCGTACTGCACTCCGAGATCTAAAAACGGGAATACAAGCGCGAGCCTTAAGAATGGGCGATAAACGGAAACGAGACCAGGACGCGGGCGACGAAGATACCGTCGAAGTTGCCGAGGTCAAGAAGTTAAAGAAGAGTGCCGGCGATAAGGAGAAGAAAGAGAAGAAATCAAACAAGAAAGAGAAAAAGCGTGCGAAAGATGAGCATGTTGACATAAATGGAGCCGAGAGCGCGGAAATGAACATTGAGAAATCAGAAAAGAAGAAGAAGAAGGAGAAGAAAGCGAAGAAGCAAGACAAGACGGAGAACGAAAGCACAGAGAATAGTGCCCAAGTCGCCGCTGCCGGCGATATAAATGGTGAAAAAGAGGATAAGAAGGAGAGGAAAGAAAAGAAGCAGAAGAAGGAGAAGAAGGAGAAGAAAGAAGGAAAAGGAAAGAAAGATAAGAAGGACAAGAAGGAAAAGAAAGAAAAGAAGGCCAAGGCAGAAGATGAAGCCGCGAAGATGGAACTAGATGAGCCGAATAAAATGCCTGAGGACGCCACTGCTCCAAACAACGAGGCCGAGGAGCCCGCTGTGGAGGATGCGAAGGAACAGGAAGATGATTATATCCATCCCGACCGGAAGGAAGGCAGGTTTATTGTCTTCATAAGTATGCACACCTTTTACTGTCTAGAGATGGCATGGTTCTAATCTCTTTGCCGAGCAGGTAATCTCCCCTACAGCGCCGACTACGACTCCGTTTCCAAACACTTTGCAAAGCTCCAGCCCATTCAGATCCGCGTGCCGCTAGAACGAGGCGGGAAAAAAGGGAGAGGTTTCGCGTTTGTAGAGTTCAGCAATTATGATCGCATGAAGACTTGCTTGAAATTATATCATCATACCATGTTCGACGACGGAAAATCGCCCTCGAGAAAGATAGGTGTGGAGTTAACGTATGTTTGGGCTATCCTACATGCCTTATTTCCATTTGGGATTTCACTCTAGATTTGCTAATACTGGACACATAATAGTGCCGGCGGCGGGGGGTCCAAATCCGAAACGCGCAAAGCTAGAATTATAGAGAAGAACAAGAAACTGAACGAGGAGCGTGCACGTGCGGCAAAAGAAGCGGCGAAGCGCAAGAGAATTGACGAAAAGAAGCAAGAAGGTCAGGAAGCCGGCGACGACGACGCCCAGGAGACCAATGAATTGGCAGACATCCACCCGAGTCGGAGACGCAGGTTTCAGTGACGCTCTTGTTTTCTATCTTTGTTGGATTGGGCGCAAGGCGTGTTTGCGATAGCTACTTTCCAACATCAAAAGCATTTGAGATGATTTAGATATCCCGGTTTAGGGACTAGACGGAATTGGAATTAAGTCAATTGGGACTCCACCATGCAATAGATGCTTTCAGCTACAGAAATAGCCCGGTCATCGGATCTAGCAAGGAGAGAGGTTCAGACATCATGTACGAAGTAGACAATATCACAGTGGAAAGGGATCAAACAACTAAACGACAAGACGATAACCATATGAACATTCAGAGGGTATGAAAACTGATGCTGAGCTTTGAGAGGGAAACCCAGTTTGAAGGAAAACAAGGAAAATGGAGGTCATTTTAAAAATTAGGGCCGTATGCTTTCAAGATGACACAGAGTTCACCAATTATGATCAGTAATACATTCTTTCTTGGTCAGTGGCTTTGTGTCGGGGAACAATACATCTGACCGAGAACAGGGAGAATCTTGGATCATATGTGCTCTAATCATCTTGGGGTATCTGACATATTGCAACGCTCGACCACATGTATGAACAACTGAGGGAAACATATGCTCGCTGCGTTAGACTTCAGAGATATTTGTATCAAATACAGAGAAAAGCACGTTGGTCTGAATGCAAACTGGGTCTGCTGTCAAGCACGCGCTGGATCATAAGTACTCGGAGAATTCGGGTATTCGAAGTCGTTAGGTGTGGAAGTTTTTACGTGGCTCGTAGTTAAAAAGAGATCCGCCGCTTCTTAGAGGATGCTGCATCTCTTTGCTTTGGGTTTCGCAACAGGACGAGGATTGAGAACCGCTCTGGATAGAGTTAGCTCCTCTTCCTTGGGCTACGGGCATGCCAGAACAAACCGAATTGCCTCATCAAACACGCTCTTTAAGTTTCGCTGGGTCAAAGCAGAGCATTCCAGGTACTTCTGAGCCTTGATTTCTTTTGCAACCGCCAAAGCCTGCTCATAGCTGACCGGCTCCATCTTCTTTGCACGAAGGTTTTCATTCGTGGCCTTATCATCCCTCAAGTCAAGCTTGGTGCCGACAAGAATGATGGGGACACCGGGAGCATGGTGTTCAATTTCCGGGTACCACTAGAACCACTAGTTAGGGAGAGCGGCAACCTCAAAACGCGACTGAGACGCTTACCTTGGCCTTCACGTTATCAAATGATGGCGGGCTGACGATCGAAAAGCAGATCAAGAAGACATCTGTCTGAGGATACGACAGAGGGCGTAGCCTGTCATAATCTTCTTGGCCTGCAGTATCCCAAAGTCCAAGGCTAATCGGCTTTCCATCTACCATGACACTGGCAGAGTAGTTATCAAACCTTAAAGGAATCAGCAAGAGGGGGAAAATAAGCAGCTCATAACGCGTCTTCTTAAACGTACACAGTTGGGATGTATTCACCAGGGAAGGCATTAGTTGTGTACGAAATCAAAAGACATGTCTGAAGCTTTGTTAGCAGTTGCTCACTGAGATTCGGGTTTGAAGCTCTTACCTTCCCAACTGCACCGTCACCAGTGACAACACACTAGAAATCATAGTGCTCATTAGCAAAACAGTTGACTGGTCTGGGATTCAGTCACCAAACCAACCTTCAAAGATTGAGTGGCTGGTCCCGATGCCATCTTTGCCGAGAAATCTGGGGTAAATTTTGGTCTGTGTTAAGAATGATTCCAGAATGTGAAGTCAGAAGAGAGTTGTGTGGGAAGATAAGATCGAATTGCGAGGGTATGTATGAGACGGAGTGAGAGGAGTCAAAGGATCTGGTAGCTGAAGATTAGTTAGCATTGGTCTGTTTACAACACAAAAGGCAAAGCTTCCAGCCAGCCCCAGGTGAGAGTGATAACTGACATTACTTGGAGCTGAGAATAATGTACTTATTATCAAAGATTAAAATACTGTGCTGTTGCACAGAGCCCCAGTAAGATGTTCTAGCTGTTCCCCTCAAAAGGAGTTTTAAGAGTCAGGGAATCTTCTGGAGAGCTTTCGCTCAGTCAATTTGGGAAGTTCAAGTGGCAGTCGTCCCAATCTGAGAATTATCAGGGCCAATACGGCCTATCTCGAAGCTCCAACTGGGGAGTTTACCTTTCGACGTGAGAGACCTCCACAAGTAGTATTGGAGTGTTTGCTGCTGGATGGCGGAGCGAGACCGCGAGGAACACACCACCGCCACACGGTTAAATCTAAGCTGGGAGTGGGATTGCGTTTGCGGAGGGAAAAAAGGACGACGAGTCTTGAGCCGTCGTCGAGAATGAAGGCGGTTCCGGAGCTGTGCGAGGGAGCCAGGAGGGTTTCCGGACGAGGGCTGAGGCGGGCGAAAGGGGCCGACGGCGAAAAGGGAGAGTTTGAATCACGTCTTTGACTCGGGATGAGAGGAGGGCAGATCTGGTTCCAGCAGATGGTTCATACGCCCGAAGCAACAACAGCAGGACGGAGGAGTGAGAGGCAGGACCCGCCCGAGCAGCGAGGAGTCGACGATGGGGGATCCAAACTAGTTCACAGCGCCGTCCTGCGCTTCTTGGCAGCAGCATGCATTGATTGGTAAACAGGGGCCACTTGGCACAGCGTCTCATCCTCACCTCGGCGGCCAATAACAGTCCTGGTTACTCTCGGGACGCCATTCCAAGGTTCGTTCGAATCTTCGAACAGACGTCAAACCAATTTTCTCTCCGGCCTGGCAAGGGCCTGTGGGGAGTCCTCCCCCGGTATGCTGATACACGCTACCTCCCTGCTGGCGAGCTGTCCCGAAATGGCCATTCTCTCTGCGGCTCGTCACTTCGCAACCATTGGGCAGACTGCCCTTCTGGCCAACATCTAGTCGGGGCTCGGGGTTGATTGCATGTAGGGAAATGCCAACACTTCGGGATAGCCTATATATAGCCGGTTTCCTAATTCTGCGCACCGGATAGGTCCTGCTTTCGCCGGTCGCTGAAGCAGCTTGGAATCGGCCACAGACTCCTGCGCTAGGATTCGACCGCTAACCGCTGCAGCCCTATTCGTTCCATCTTGTGGCGAATGCGTGCACCCTGTCACCCTTAAAGAGGGGAGGAAAGGTTGGCCCCGACTTGGGAAGGGGGAAAAGGCTAACCAATCGCAAGTTCACTGGTTATCAAACATAGAATGTGGATACTATCAACGCAGAGATGATTGTCTATTACCTACGAATGGATAATGAGCTCGGTTTGTGCTGTGTACGGAGCTGTGAAATTTGGTCTCGAAAAGGGTGTCGAACCAGGGGTTGAAGTCAACGAATTATTATTGCCCTGAGCACCAAAACCAACCACAGGGACTCTGGCAGCAAGCCATTCGAATCACTTACTGGACACCGTGGATATCCGAATGAAATTATTCTGAGCTTCCAGGCCTTTACTTTTCTATCTGATTCCTTGTCTTCTGTCTCATTTCCCCCTTTTAGATTTAGGCGAGCTTATCAGCACGGGTAGGTACGGACTACAGTTATACCAGGTGGCGGTATGCCGAAGAAATTGTTTTCTATGGCACTATTCAAGCTCTCCCGAAAGACCTTGGCTCGTCCCAACCGTTTTGCATAACACACTGCCAAATATTGCGAAAGTATCTAGCACTCTATAGTTTTGATGGTCTTCCTTCGAACCCGCCGACAAAACTGCAGAGTTTCAGGTCTGTCGGTGCGGCTAGCAATGGCGTGACTTTGGCGACCATGGCTTTGAAGTATTCCGTGCCGCCGTGGGCTTTGAGGGCGGCAGCATCTTTATATCTACCGGCGGTATCCTGGTCAGATTTCATCTCTCTGTTCCAAAGTATCTTCCCCCCAGCGGGTTGCAATACGTACTTCTCAACAACGATGAGCTCGTTGCCTTTCTTCGGTCTTACTACGTAGAACCTCAGGGTGTTTGGCTCCTTCTCATGGATGCTCGCGGCAGACTGCTCAAGGATTTTTGCTACCTATGCGTATTGGGCCTGTCAGGGACATAAGCATGGGATCTGTTTCTCTTCGAAGCCTCACCTCATCGATTTTGTCGGCCTTCGCCTTAAAGGTAGCAACCACGTGAATTTCTTTGGAGGCCATTGTTGAGAACGTAGTCTTTTCCGAGCATGAAGATGTGTCCGTGTGCGATGCGCTGCAACGGAGGAGCGCTTCCCGTAGACTATTTATACATACGTATAGCTATCTCCCAAACCTAGGTTCGCGCATTCCATCGAGGAAGCGCACAGCTTCAGTCGGGATTGTGGAGTGTTGTGCCGGCCAAAGAGACCGAGCAGCCTGGCGGAACCGCGGCATCTCGTATTCTTCGGCCTCAGCGCCAATGCGGACTCAGCGCACATACCTGTCCCAGTCATATGAAAGTCTGGTGCATCCACGGATAACTCGAATCCCCAGGTAGTCCTCGCCTTGTGTTATCTAGTTACAGGAATCGGTGCCCATAACGAAGCTGACCTGTCGAAGCAGTTATATTGGGAAACCCATTCTTTATTGCTGCAAGAGTACTCCGTCGATCCGGCTCTTGAAGTCAAGACCGGCAAGCCTACGATCGCACGGACTGGTGTTTCGGCGACTGTCGACAATAACAAGCCTTTCTTTGCCAATCGGCAGTGGGAATTGACACTCCACTTTTGTATCTTAGGCGTGTCAGGAGAGAGTTGAACTACATCTCAATCCGTTGATTCCAAAAATATCCCCAAAAAGGCGGACTAACCAACTAGCCAAAAGCGGTGACGTGTACTCTGGAAAAAGACCATTGACAGCCTGAAACCTATTGCCATTCTGGAGAGGCCAAGAAGCCCTCTCCAAAGGCATATGATTCACACAAGATTTGACAATCTCAATGCCATTGTCATGCCCGGAAATGTGAACAGGACGAAGTGCACTGAGTGTCTCGCGAGCTGCCTGCTTGGTCAGCCCTGCTCGCCGTATAAGTAGTAACCAAGGAGACTAGCTACGAAGCGGCACGCCACCAAACCCAACTTCACAGCCCTAATTAATATCGCATCATCATCATCATCATCATCAATGGAATTTCACTCTTAATAATTAATGCTCACTGCGCATCAATCCCTCCTGCGCCAGGGAATTCTTGATGCCCTCCAGTAGCATCCCTTAGCTGTGCTGGAAGGAAATAATCACCATGGCCGAGCCAACTGTCAATGAAGCCTCCGAACTGACATCCCCACACCAAAGCTTGGAGATGCCGGCCCCCCCTTCACCGCCTGATAACGAAGCTGAGGCGCCACAGGCGGTGTCTGCTAACCAGGAAGAAAAAGAGAAATTAGACAGGGTCATTCTGTCTGATGTACGTAGATATGTTGGCGGATTGCGAATGCAATGGAGCAATTTGCTGACTATCCATCACAGATCGGCGTCGTGACCCTTTTGAACAGGTTGAAACAGAGCATCTCATCCGCCCGGGTAGATAATCCTTCTTGAGTCACAGCGAATTGTTTTGGGGAATATACTGATATCGCTCCCTGTGTTAGGAATTCGCGTCCTTTCTGCGCAAACGGTCGTCTCTCGAGGAAGACCATGCTCAGGGGCTCAAGAAGCTTTCCCGTGCGCTGCACGATTCGTCGATGCGATCGGAAAATAGACAGGGGAGCTTTGCTCAGAGTTACGATGAGATGAACAGAATACATGACCGCATGGCTGATCATGGACTCCAATTCGCCGTATCCCTTCAGCAAATGTCTGAGGACTTGAATGAGTTAGCCGCGAACATGGAACGAGGTCGAAAGCATTGGAAACAGAATGGCTTGAATGCGGAGAAGAGAGTGCAAGACGCAGAGGCTGCCGCCGAAAAGGCGAAGGTCAAATATGACAGCCTTGCGGAACAATATGACCGTGCCAGAACCGGTGATCGCCAGCCTGGAAAGTTTGGCTTGAAAGGGCCGAAATCCGCTGCGCAATACGAAGAGGATCTGCTCCGCAAAGTCCAGAATGCAGATGCAGATTATGCAAATAAGGTGCAGGCCGCGCAGACGCAGAAACAGGAGCTTGTTGCGACTCTCAGACCGCAGGCGACACGCGCTCTCCAGGACTTGATCAACGAGTGCGATTCAGCGCTAACGCTCCAGATTCAGAAATTCGGTACGGCTATGCCTCCAATAATAGATGTATGCTAATTAAGCTAATTGATTTCCACCACAGCCGCATTCAGCGAGAGACTTTTGCTTGGAAGTGGTTTGTCAGTAAGCCCGTTGAAAAATGAGGTCAATGGAAATACAGCCGCACCAAAGAGCCTCCGAGACGCCGCCCGCCAGGTTGACAACGAACGGGACTTCAAGGATTATATTTTGAGCCATTCCTCCAAGGTCAGCTCTAATGCTACGACAATCAGATATGAGCGTCACCCAGTAAGTGGATATCTGATCCGATTTCTATTAGAAAATCCAGGAACTAATAGCTTTAAGACCCTTATCACCCCTCAGTCCCAGAATGCCAGTGCGCATCCAAAGAGACAATCTCTGAGTATAAATACTGCTCAAACGCCTCCTCCCCAGACTGCGGCACAGGCTTTCGCGCAAATGACCCCTCATCATCCCCCTCCTCCTCCCGCCCAGGTCCAACATGCTCCGCAGCCCCAGCACGCTCCACCATCTTTTCAACACCCACACCAAGAAATATTTCTCACGCAGCCACCAGTGCAACATCATCCTCAGCCACCCTATCCAACCTCAGCTCCACCTCACCAGCCCTACTCACCTGCGCATACCCGTCCGTCATTTAGCCTTGACCGTGCCGCCCCTCCTAGTAATGCGGGCCATCACCCGGATCTCCCCCCATTAAACCCAGTTTTTGGCGTCAGTTTGGAGGATCTGTTCCTAAGAGACGGTACCGCAATCCCCATGATTGTTTACCAGTGCATTCAAGCAGTTGAGTTGTTCGGCCTGAATGTGGAAGGGATCTACCGACTATCAGGGAATACGCTGCATATCCAGCGGATGAAGGCCCTGTTTGATAATGGTACGTACGCCACATTTGATGTTTGCTAAACCCACATATCTCACAAGCTTACCAAACCCGCAGACTCGAGTAAGGTTGATTTTACAAACCCCGAGAACTTTCACCACGATGTCAACAGCGTAGCTGGTCTCTTGAAGCAATTTTTCAGAGAATTGCCTGACCCCCTTTTTACGAACGAACGCTACCAAGATTTTATCAATGCTGCCCGTAAGTCCCGTGGCTTCTCGCCCGATACGGCTCTGTGCTAAAGTTGTACTAGGCAAAGACGACGACGTCCAACGTCGGGATACTTTGCATGCACTAATCAACAGTCTCCCGGATCCCAATTATGCGACCCTACGGGCATTGATTTTGGTATGCACCACTCCCTGTCCCAAACGAATGAGACGCCTTTTCGCTAACAGTAGATCTTTGATTAGCACCTTAACCATGTGCAAGAGCGGGCTTCTGAGAACAGAATGAATGCAGGGAACATTGCTATCAGCTTTGGGTAAGTGTCAAAGTGCTTGGGGTGGAGTCACATCCGGTATTCCGTGGCGCTGACCGATCAACCACAGTCTAACGCTTATGGGCTCCAACGCTGGTCACAACATTGCCGATTCGGGGTGGCAAGCACGAGTAATCGAGACTGTCTTGCAAAATACGTTTCAAATTTTTGATGATGATTAAACGAGCATCAGTTATGCCTGTACTTGCCTCCTTGGAATGTTTCAGATACACCATTTCAGGCATATCATGATTGGGGATTTCATCCTTTTGACTAGGAAGATAACTAAACTCTGGATTAGCATTTTCATTTTTGTATTAGTTAATATTTATTTATTTTTATTTTTTTTTTTTTTGTTTTTAATTCTTTTTTGTTGAACCGTCGTTGCGGCGGGCATTGATCTCTTTTTTAGTTTCCTCAGGTGGGCTCGAGCTGATGGACATAATGCCACCGTTCTTAAAGCTGAGCATTAGCCAGTTATTAGAAGAATGCTAGGGTATTTTGAGTTGAAAATTCCAACCTTTGACACCCATGAATGTATCTCAACTTCTCTGCTTTATCCTTTGGATCTGATGGTGGCTCGTGCCGAGAAACTTAGTTTGCGAACTCCCGCGACTCAAGATGAACGGGATCGATTGATAACTGCTTGGCTTGGAGATCCACTCCCACGCTCTTCTTCACCCGCACGATCTGGCCAATGCAGCATAACCATTGGACGATTGACTACAAAGCTTATCCACCACAACATTCGGATACGAAATCACCCACACGGACGAGTGGGTGGTGTCTTGCGTGATGGACTCTTCTCACCTGCAAAAGCTTACTTGCACCTTTTTGCCTGGTAAGTCACTCGTTAGCAGCTGGCTAGAGCGTGGGCGGGTGGATGCGGTGCAGGACTAAAAAGCAAAAAAAAAAAAATAAAATAAGATTCTCCGCAATCAGTCACATCGTGACAGCGGAAAAAGAAAAATAACTTTGGTTGTGGGTGACATAAATAGCTTGACTTTCCGCCGCTTACACCCTCGCTCCATTCGGGCATCCAGCGGACCATTCAGGATATCAACACCCCTGCTTGACTGCTTGGCCACTGAAGAACTGAAGAACGTAATACTCTCAACTACAGAGATGGGCCAACCCTCCTTCCCGGCATCGAATGCCTTGATATACTTGACCTATGGAGCTTTCCTGTACGATCCTTTTAAGGCTGCTGCGAGGTCACCAAGCTAACGTTTATCCCCAGAATCGCCGGGCTCTACATCGCCTATCTGCTACGTAAGCAGACAAAAGGCCAATTCTTGGCCAGTAACGGGACGCAAAAGGGTTAGAATTTAAGAATAGCTTGCTCAACTACCTTTGAAATTCCCTTACAACCCTCTTTGTATATCGATTGTGGATTGACTAATGCATATCGTGCGGCTCTTGTTGCCGACGGGAATTGATTAGCTCTACCTCTTGCTTTGAACTTCATCGCTTCGGGTGAGTTGTTGAATGCATGGGCTATGGGGCCAATTCTTTCTTCTCCCGAGTGAGAAGCGGCAGCCGCGTAGAGTCGAATGGATGCGATTACAACATATCACCGAGAAGTTTCATTCCTGCGAAATTCCGTACGGGACTCGGATACAGCACATGACCCTTTGCGAGAACCAGGACCTAGAAAGCATGATTTGAATGGTTGGCGCAGCATAGAACAGGTTCGTATCAGAGAGTTCACTTCAGCATATGCTGCTATGAAGGCTTGTTCTCAAGGGTCATGACGATGAGTTCCGAGTTTCACAGCCCGGTGTGACACTCATCACTCTACCTTGTTGACAACTTCAGAGCGGCGTCTGCTGCGGCAACACTACGGGCGCTAATTGTGGCACTTCGCTATTGGATGATCCAACTCCGGAATGCTTTTCGCTCCTGGCCTTTTATTCCGGAGAGATCACCATGTGAGTGCGGGCATGATGCTGAGATTGTACCGTTGAACACTCGACCAAGTTAATGCTTGCGTGGGAAACGTGCTGCCGCTTCTCCCCTCCCCCGTTGGCTTTGTTGTTGCTTAAACCTAGAGAATGGAATATGCTGATTACAGGGCCCCTGCGAATTTACTGTGCGTAGGTCTCGGATCCGGTATTCTTTTCACGTATCCCGAAATCGCAACGATTGCTGGCGTACAAGGTTTAGTCGTTTATGGCTTGTCTTCCTCCCTACCACTTTTGGTGTTTGGATATTTGGGACCGATTATTCGAAAGAAATGCCCAGAAGGCTTCGTTTTGACAGAGTGGACCAGAGAGAGATACGGAGTCGTTACTGCGATATATTTGAGTCTTCTGACGTGAGTTGTATTTCATTTCGCGAGTATTATTTAATTCTAATTGGGATTTAGCTTGATTACGCTCTTCCTTTACATGGTTGCCGAATTGTCTGCGTTGCAGCAGATTGTCAATGCGCTTACCGGGTTGAACGGACTGCCAGCTGTGATTGTGCAAGTGGCAGTTACGACTATTTATACATCTTTGGGTGGATTCAAGGTCTCCTTCATGACCGATAACCTCCAAGGAGCTATGGTCGTCGGCCTTATCATTATCGGCGTCATCACCGTTGGCACAAAGACGACGATCGATCGTTCGCTAATCGACTCTTCCGGATATCTAAACGCTTCCCTACTTGGATGGCAACTTATCTATATCCTACCTGTTGCAATCTTGACGAACGACTTCTTCTTATCGAACTTCTGGCTCCGAACTTTTGCCTCCAAGACTGACCGCGACTTACGCATCGGCGTCTCCATCGCTAGCTTCACGGTCCTGTGTATTCTCGTGCTTGTTGGATGCACAGGCCTCCTAGCAGCTTGGTCGGGCGCATGGCCCGGAGATCCGCCACAGAGCGGCTCGATTGCTTTCTTCCTCCTTTTGGAGAGGCTCCCAAGCTGGGTTGTGGGCATTGTGCTCGTCATGACTGTGGTTCTTAGCACAGCTGCCTTCGACAGTCTTCAGTCCGCAATGGTGAGCACAGCAAGTAACGATTTGTTCCGCAACAAACTGCCGCTTATTTACATCCGTGTCGGCGTCGTCTTGTGCATTATTCCTGTGGTGGTCGTTGCTCTGAAGTCTCCTAGCGTGCTACAGATCTTCTTGATTTCCGATCTTGTCTCAGCATCTGCTATTCCGGTTTTGATCCTCGGTCTCTGGGATAAGTGTTATTTCTGGAAAGGTTTCGAAGTCATTGCTGGCGGTCTCGGAGGTATTCTCTCAGTATTCATCTTTGGAACCATTTATTACGGTAGTGCATATGAAGGCGGGCGGTTGATCCTGTTGGAGAACGGCCTCTACGCCGAAGATTGGAGCGCTTTTGGTGAGTGACTAGACCTACACAAAACATCTGGTCATGGCGATTGATATAGTGTTGTAGGTGCCTTCGTCGCTGCTCCTGTAGGAGGTTTTATATTCGCACTTATCGCATTTGGTTCACGGATCGCATACCAGTTTGTTATTGCTAAAATCCAGGGACGACGCTTCGATGCATTTGACAAACCTATCAAGCTTGTACGGCGGTCAAGCGAAGAGAGAGTTTTCCGCCCTCAGGTTCCTGGCCTTGATGAAGAAAATGGTAAACCGGGCGATACTCCTACCGCCGTAGTGGAAGGAAGAGAAGCTAAATGGTGGAAATTGTGGTAATGGGACGATATTCCCGCTATATCCGCGTAATTGCGTCGAAGAGCTGGATGGACATGTGGATGTGGATTTGGATTTGTGTATTCTGTGTTGGGGCCAAAGATAGAGGGAAATGCTCGAAGATTTGGAGCATTGGGAGAGATTGTATATGCTGGGAGCCCAGTAATACTTAAAAGTCAATAGTTAAGAAATAAAGATACAATATAGTAAAACTCATTTAACACCTACCGATGTAGGAATTATTTACATATATCTTACCAAGTGCAGCAGTTGATGGGGGTTGATCATTAGGCCACAAGGCCGGCTGAAGACTTTCATAAATTGTCTCCTGTTCGCTTGCTATCATTTCCAAAGTATACACAATAGATATATAATACATGAGACATACCTAACGATTCATTTAGGCACTCTTTTTTTCAAGGCTCAATTGCACTCCAATGCCAGCCGAAGTTTACAACTTCGACAATAAAGGAAAGCGGAGATCCCGTGAGCACAAATCACTGTTTAAATCTCATACTCAACATCTCGATCCGATCCTTCATGGTCAAGCCCTGAGCAAACATCGGGTCCGTCTCCAAATCCTCTGGTGTTGTTTCTTCCGCCAAACCCCACACCTTCCAATCTCCATCTTCCCCATTGAGCATGAATCTCTGCAGAACGACATACTCTGCGCAATCCTGTTGCTTCTCACTCTGCTGCGCTGCGTTCTGCTCTTCCCCAGAGCTTGGGGTGATGAGTGACTGCTTGCTCTGTATTCTGATCACAGTTTGCCGAATGCCGAAACCTTTGGCTTCGGGAAGAGCTGCAGCACGATCAGAAATGACTTGTGCGCCGGAGAATGTGAGAGCGAAAGGGAACTTCTTATATGAGTGAAGCGTCCAGAGGAGTCGGGGAGAGGTACGTGGACGGCGGGAAATGCGGGCTGCGAAGTTTTGGAAGATGCCCTGGCAGCAGGTCTTTTTGAGAGAGGTTATATCACCGCTGTATATGGCGTCAGTTATAAGGTTACCAGGAGTAAAATAATAGACAAGGGGGCCGAGGGAGATGTACTTTGCGAATGAAGTATACATCTGTTTGTGTAGCTCAAGAGCTCGGCTCTTACGCTCTCGTAGCCTCAGCGGAAGTTTCTTATTTATGAATCTGCAGTATGACAATATGCTAGTTCACCCAACACACAAATATTAGCTTGATATCTCAAAAGCAGCTCATTACTTGAAGCTTCAAAGCCCAAAAACGTCAATACCTAATGAAGTTCACAACGGTCATCTTCAACGACATCCACTCCATTCTTAACCTCAACTTGGGTTCTTTGAATATCGAAGGCAGATTCCGCCATGCAGGTCTAATAAATGTTCCTGGTAGCAATCCCACGTCGTCTGGTATCATGTCTCGATTGGCACTGCTCATAGTCTCCTTGACGCGGTTTTTCATGCTCATCTGCGCCGGGATCCGGGGCTTTATAGCTTTAAAAGTTCCTTTCGCCGCATATTGGTTTCCGGAGGAGGAGAAGGGCCTCAGCTGGTATAGGGAATGTGAAGGAATGGAAATCCTGGATGTTGCGGAGCCGGCAAGGGACGAGAGGAGGGAGCGGCTGGGGAGGTATAATGCGGAATTCATGGCTGCGGCAGGCATAGGAATCAATCGCCACTCTTCTCATTCAATTGGCCTCCTGGCAAGCCTTCTCAAAGGCGTGGGCGTCGCTACCCTCGTCAAAGATGCTGCTTTTCGACTTGCGCATCTTCGCCGATATCAAAAATGTTGATATTATGTCAGCGTATTCGGAATTCGGAATAATATTACAGCGAAATTCTTAACTAGCCGATATTAGGAATTAGCTTGATGTACCACAGTTCTTAGTCATCACCTTACCGTTTGAAAGTTTCTCGCGCTAACTAATTGCTCTCATCTAAATGATAATTATTAAAGAACCTCTGGGAAGCGAGGCGAGAGACAGGCGGAGATAGAAGGGGTTTTTCGAAATCGAACCGTGGGCAGGACTCGCGTGGCGGTATCGATGCTGTTGGGCTTCCTCAATATGACATGCCGTTGCGTCGAGAACCGACCATGGCAAACGCCTTGAAGCGTGTTTACTTCCCAGGCTTCCAGGTCAGTCGCCGTTGACAAGTGACATCGTCGCGATTGACTACAGCAGTAACCTTTATGGTCATGGAAAGCGAGAATGACGTGGGTAATGCCTTCATTTTTCTCCGGGTTGAGGCGGCTCAAACACCACGGCTCCTGATATCGGGTCGCGCCGCTGGAATTTCCGTTTCGAGCGAACCGGGCCAATTTCACCCTCGTAGACTCAGGACAGAAACAACTTCGTAAATCTCGATTCTTGCTATTAGCGCTGCGAACTGTTGGTCTCAGATTAAAAGTGATAACCTTGCAGACGCTCCTTGAGGCTTAGTTAACTAGTCGAAAAGCATCCACTGAGTACTGTGTTCAATTTCCTGTTTTCCCATCTGAACAGCTGGCAGGTTCACGTATCATTCGCAAGCTGCTTGAGAAACCCAATCCCCCAAATCGTCACGTTTAACGTTGTTTCAATTGTGTTGTCCCTGAACTCGCCCTGAGCTAGAGACCTGGTCGCTCCGGCACTTGGATCCCGAACTCGCCTCCTGTTCGATCGAATAAATACAATACGCTCCCGGTTAGCAACCAGAAACCACTCTGCAAGCAGCAAGCAAGCGAAGAGCTCTCAAGACTGGCTTCCTCCACCCCAGACGCCACGTCCTCTTCCTCCTCTTCTCGCCATGGCGCCTCCTCTGAAACCCGTCTCCGCAGCACTTCAGCACTTTTGAGCAGCCTCCTCGATCCCAACTTTCTTCCTCCTCCTTCCCCGTCCAGTGTCTCCTCCAAAGCCTCCCCACGCACTCCGTCACCGCAGACCGTAACTACCAACCCCTTACATCCCCGCGTTGCCGTGATACTAGGCGTTGATCGCCGCTGGTACCTCCCTCTACTGGTCTGTCGAGCACTAAGCATCGCACCAGCGGCATGGTGGGGTCTCAGATGTGCGTTTACTTTTCTGACTGAGCTGTTAAGAATTGAGCCGCGTTTGTGGAATCCGGAACATGACGGCGTTAGCGGGACGGGAGGATGGACAGCGGCGATAATGAAGGGGACAGCGACGGTAGCTTCGGTGGATTGGGACGTCGATAGGAGATTCAGGGTTACAGAGGTCGCACTGGCAATTATCTGGGTATGTTCTTCAATTCCTTCGATTATCATATCCCGGAGACTTGCTAACTTGGGGGGCATTCTGCTTTTAAGTGCTTTTCTTCCGCATATTTGTCGTATTTCTTTGCTGATTGCATGATGTCTCGATGGTGCGTGCACTCCCGTACACTCGCTTCCGGCCCTGCATCCTCCCATCAACTTGCAAACTCACCAAGCAACCCAATGTAGGCTTCTTAATTACACACCTCCAGCCGTCGTCATTCGCCTCCTCACCACGAACTCTCTCCTTGCCTATCTAACATCCTGGATTCTCCACCTCTCCGGCGCATCATCTGATCCGCGTCTGCTCCTCCCAGCATGGATATCTATTACTTCAGTTCGTCCCAGCCCCTTCCACCTCCGTCTCACCCGTCTATCAGGCTAATAAAGGGCACCTTTCTCCAATCATTCCCCCTCGAACAGATCCTAACCCTTCTTTACCACCTCACGCAACGCAAAATCAATATCAAGAAAGAAACCGCCGCATCTCTCTCCGTCTTCTCCATTGCCAGCTTCATAAGCATGTGCTCCCTCCTCCTACAACTCCACTTATCTCGAGAAAACGAGATGGAGATACCCCTGTTCATCCTGGGCAAAAAGGTCTGGGGAATCGTTGCCGAGAAGATGGTTGTTGTTGAGCACTTGCGTAATGGCCCTCCTGGAGTTTAAACTTGCGATGGCCAGCCTTTGAGTTTTCTTTTTCTTTTTGTCTTTATTCTTATTTTATTTCTTGAGTACGGCTTGTTTCTTGTTTCTAGCTCTTTCTTCCTCACGGGGGAGGAGCCGAGTTTTAAGACTTTGAGATATCCCCCAACTGTTGGCACTGGTTCTGTCCTTGTAGCACCCTCTCTAAGAGTGATTAAATACACATGCCCCTTGGGCTCCTCTTGGTTAAGTATAGCCTGTATAAATTTTACTACAATGAGGAATGCAGATTTAAAGTAGAATTATAGGCAGCACAGATTAGATATCATTGATTGCTAGGTCATAACTGATGTACTTAAAGAGTGTGCCATAAGTCATATCAACAGTTGCAAGAAAAAGAATGGATGCGGCAAGGCAAGAATGTGATCTGCATGATGAGCATGACAGGATAAACCCCCCCCTGAACCACATCAATTCCAGAACAACCTGATTACTCCCAACCACCTGCACACTGAATAACGGACAGATAGGAGGAAACAGTTTGTAAAAACCATACCATCTGAAACGTCATCCAAGACAGGAACAATAAAAGTATCAATCTATGCAATCATGGGTTATCCATTCGACGTCGCTACTCGTCATCAACCCATGATGGGACCTTTCCTCCCGTGGTGGCGTTTGATATTGGCAAGCCGCGAGAAAGATAAATCGGCATGTCTTCGAAGAAAGCTCATGTCTACGGCTTCGGTAAAAGCATATCAAAAACCGATCAAGAAAGTCACGAAGTGGTACGTCATACCGACTTTCTTGAGTGTAGACTGGCAGGAAGACGACGAGAGGAACGCGAACCTTGACTTAGAACCCGTGGACCTTGATGGTCTTGGCGTCAAGCTCAAGTCCTTCTTTCTTGTCGGTCAAGAATTCTTGGACATCTTTGCGCTGATCCCCCTGGAGCTGGATCACTTCGCCCATCTCACTATCATTCACGATGGTGCCATTGCAAGCTGAAATAAGGACAGGTTAAGTCAGTGGGCGTCGTCGACGAAGTTGGTGTCATCTGGGGATGTAACATACCGAATTTCTTTTTGATGACCTTGAGAATCTTTTTCTGGTCGAACTTTTTCGGGAGACCTTGGACAGTGGTCAGAGTCTTACGACCATTGCGCTCTATGGTTGAGTGACGTGTTAGTTACCTGTCATGCCAAGCCAAGACGCCATACGAACGAGCAAAGGTAGAAAAAGGGGCAGCAAGAGTCAAGAGTGTACATACGTTGTATCCGTATGTGGATATAATTTTGAGATTGTTTTGTATCGCCGGTATCTTCGTCAGCTTCGGCGAAGGGGTCTGTTCAAGAAGGGTTATGGTCAGCCTTCGTGTTGGGTTTCGACGATCCAAGCCACTGCGCACAACTACCCCGCTCAAGCGGCAGGAGCTTCAAAGATTGGCATCACGCGACACAAGGCTTCTCATTCTGCAAGACTGCACGAAGACGCTTTGATGTTTCTTATCGAAGATGTCTTCGGCGTCTCATTCGACGTGCGCAACCAAGCAAGCCCTGTGTTGTGATGGGTCCTCAAGGAGGGCGATGTGGCGGGAGAGGGGATGACTTACCAAAGGTCTTGAGGTTTTCGATTGACATAAACTCAGCTGTTTTGCCGAACCGCTCTAACAAGTTGGTATATGATAAAGAGAAGATTTGGAGAAGCGCTGTTGCCTGTGCAAGCTGCTTGTGGACTGCGTGGGAAGCGGAGTGGAGGAGATGAAGTTGACTGACGATGAGTGGTGATGGTGGAGGAAGAAGGTTGGGCGTCTTTTTAAGTTGGTCGCAGCTGCCCAGGGAGGCAAGGGTGTCCCAAAGCGGGAAGGTGGCGGCCCAAAACTCTGTCGCTGGCTGACTAATCGCGGCGGCTGAGTGGCTGGGTCGAGTCTTGGCATCATCGACGGAACTCTATCGCACTTCGCCAGCAACCGCCGCCGTCATCATCGACTCGCCAGGCGGGCGGCGTGACGCGCCCTCTGCTGTGCTAGATCTTGAATCCGTGAGCCAGCACCGGGAAATGCTGGGATAAGAGGCACTCCCGAGGAGGCGGATTCCACTGCAATTTCCTGCCAAGGACTCCTAACTTACTCCGCAAGACAAGCACTGAATCCCTGTATCGCGGCTGCAGGGCTTCTTTTAATGGTTACAACATCGTATTACATACAATTCACCTGCCACCGCTTTCTCCTGTTTGAAGTGCCGCCTCGTCCCATCCGAACACGCCATTCTAACTTTAGATACAAGCAAAATCGGTTTCAGCCACAGGACGCTGCCAAGGTCATCCTGCTTTTTTGAGATCGAGATATCTGGCGGCGTAGTCATTCGCCAACGCCAAATCACCAGAGAGATGCATCAGTGTGGCTTTCTTCGACGTCATCTCGCACTGGCCCCGCACGTCCTCAGCCTTTGAGTACCCTTCAAACGCACAGTCGATGAACTCCGATGCTCTTGCTATATGTTCCTTTTGTCTTACCCCATCGTGCTTGTTTCGTCCGGCCAGGCCCATGTTTGCATCCGCCAGCAGGGAGTACGTGCGGGCGGCCAACATACAGTCCTCGCCCTCCAATACCTGAGGCATGATGCTTTCTAAGATATCTGCAGCCGCATCGAATTCTTGGAAGGCGATCAGGATCACGGCGAGGTTTCCGAGGGCTTCCCAAAGACCGGGAAGCACTCGGGCTCGGTAGGCTATGCTGGCGGCTCGCATCACAAGAGAAAAGGCGCGCTCCGGCTGGTCTGTATTCTGAAAAACGCGAGCTTTCAGGTTCAAAAGTCCGATTTGAAGAGAAACGTCGAAATTACCCTGCTGGGTTGATTTTGCTACTTGCTCAATCGACCTGAGCGCTGAACTATAGTCTCCTTTGCTTATAAAGAATTCTGTCTGCAATAAAGATAAGGAGATTGCTTGGTCCGGTTCGCTTGGTACGCATGCTTGGAGTTGTGAAATAAGGTGCTCCACGGCCACTTTGTCATCCCTACTGCCAGTTAGCCATCGACGCTGTTGACAAAGATTGGTTCAAGAAATACCGGCGTATTTGTTGTCTTAGTTTAAGGAGACCATGTGCGAAAGTCCAGATTTGCTGACTCTTAAGGCTATGGAAGTCATTGGACGCGACTTCCTCCAGTTGCTGCATAGCTTTGCTATGATTACCGCTAAAAAATAGCTAGGTCTATGTCAATCTATAGAGCCCCAAGTGAGAACGCATTCCAAGGAAAATTTACCAGAAGAGAACTTCGGAAAGTAGCTTTGAGGTAGTCGTCAAAAATAGCATCTTCCGAGTAGCATTCCCGGAATACATCGTACATGGCCATCGCCAAATGTGAGGCGCCTTTTGAGGGCGAATTAGACTCTGACGGCGCTTAGATTGAGCATTGTCTTACCAAGACGCATGAATAATACTGCTTGTATCACGAGCAATTGGGCCATCGATGGGTTTAGATTTTGGGTCGCATTTAGGTGAGCTGCCTTCGTGACATGTTCAAAGACAGAACTAATGCTTTCTCCCTAAGAAAATATGGTCAGCATGCAACTCAAAAAGGGCGTCCCCGTATACCCCATACATAACATAACTCAAGCTTTGCTTCCGCTAGTATCGATGTGCTCAGGAGACCCCACATCTCATTCTCCCGGGCTTTGGCTTGCAGAAAGGCCAGTGCTTCTCTGTCACTTCCGAGCATTCCGGTGTTTTGAACATCCCTCACAGCACTAGGCCATGCTTTTCGGCAATGATACAGCCAGCTCATACAATAATTCAAGCAGTGCATATCCTGAGTTTCCCGAGCTATGGAGATGGCCTCCTGCATAGCAGAGACTGCTTCCCCAAGGCATCCAAAATCGGCTTGAAGAGTGGCCAGATTTAGTAATGCATATTGGTAACAGGCGCGATCCCGATTATGCATAGCATAGTCGAAGTATCGATGGAGATTGTCAAAAGAGGACGGGTAATCCCCAGCTCTCCAGGAATCGAGGAACCTTTTGTCACATATGTTAGCAGCTTCCTCGAAAATCAGCGGTTTTGATCTGCATATATCTTACCTTACATAATGGGAGAGTGACGGAACAGCGACGCCAGAGGCAAGCATCTGCCGTAACCTCTTCCGCATTTCCTCCGTAACCCTTGTGCCTTTGCCTAGACCAATATCAGTACAAATAATGTCATGTAATGATGAAGAGAGTAAAACTGGTTACTTTGCATTTCTTCAACCTGAAACTCCAATAGTCTTTCCATGTCCTTGGTGCTCAGCGCGACTTTGGTGTCTTCTTCATCGTTTTCTAAATCCCCGTAGACAACCTTTGCCAGAGGACTATCCACATCCAAGCCAAGCTCTACGAGGTTCACATCTACTTTAGTTTGGCTGTCCATTGGATTCCTCTTGGCCCAAGCATAATATGTAGGCATTCTATACCTGATGAAAGCACGCCACAGCGCTACTGAATCGTGGAATTGGAGCCTGGCATATTCCAGCTGCGCTCTCCGTATGAACATGCCCAGGGGGGATGTCCGAGAAAATCGCATTTTGCCTGGCTCTGGGGCCATACCATTGTTCTGGTCGCGCAATTGGTCCTCGCGCGTTTTGGTTACCAAATCGGAGACCAAACCGAAGAATTCCTCCAGTGAATCGAGGCAATCGAGCTGCCATAATCTTTTTAGGAATAGATCCCATACTGTGCGGCCGGGTATGGACGAAGTGAGACTTGATGTCACTTCTTCGAATTCCTTGATTGATATGGTATGTGCGCCGCCTTCAAGTATGCGGCTTTTCGAGTCTTGAGAATCTAATGGAAGTAGATGCGACATAAAAAAGGACAACAAAGCGACAATTGCCGAGTTTGGAACCACGCCTTCGGAATAAATCGAGACCAGAGCAAGCAGAGCGAGTTTCGAAGGGGTTAGATAGCGCGCCATGATGATATTGCATAATTCAAGCCGTGTCTAAATTATTTAACTTCGCAAACACGGGCCCAGACTTGATCTCTGAAAGCGTGCGGCTTTCCCGGGACTGGTTATGCTTCCTCGCGAAGCTCCAGAGAAGATATTGACGACAATTTTCGACGCTTTCAGACAAAGATCTCAAGTTGCCACGAAACTTAGAAATGGGATTATATCACGTTCTGAGCTTGAGGTCAAGATTCTCGATCCCAGAACCTGTCAGTTGATGGATTGGTTCTAGACAGCGATTGAACCTTCAAGCAAACATCGAACTCTAGGAGATATCGGATAGAGCAAGGGTTGGTCGGGAACGATAAGCTTGTGGTGTGTATGATGAAAAAGCCGGTGGAAAAAATCACGAACCACAGAACTCCAAAACTCTCCAGCTGCCCCGCGACTTGCGCCCCCGCCAACATTAATATTTTGTCGACTCCCTCTACAACCCTGAGGTCCGATTCCAAAGCGTTTCGCTTGTTTTGACCGGTCCTCGTGTCCTTTTCTTAGTTGCATCGCGCCAGTAGAAGCTGCACCCTTTTTGCCCCCCTTCTGCAGCATAAGACCACCATGACCCGCCAATCGAATGCCGAACCCTTCATGGCCAGTAACCTTGGGGAAATTTTCCCCTTGGTTGCACAAGGCAAAGTTAGAGAGATCTATAAGATTGACGAAGAGACACTTCTCTTTGTGGCTTCAGATAGAATTTCTGCCTACGACGTGATTCTGGATAATGTGAGCTTGAATGCCTTTGGATAACTCGAAAACGGCCCATGAGTATGTGACTCACGATGTGTCCAGGGTGTTCCCAACAAGGGAGTTATTCTTACCCTCATTTCTGCTTACTGGTTCAAATTCCTTAAAGCCGCTTTGCCGACTCTCCAAACGCACTTTATCAGCCTTGATTTGCCACACGGGATCCCGACGGAGCTTCGACCAAAATACCAGGACAGAAGTATGGTTGTGCGCAAGATCAAGGTCTTTCCAATTGAATCAATTGTGCGCGGATACATTTCCGGCTCGGCATGGAAGGAATACAAAGAATCTGGCACTGTGAATGGTATATCTATGCCAACAGGCCTGGTTGAGTGTGGCCGCCTCCCGACCGCTTTGTGGACTCCTAGCACCAAAGCTGACCAAGGAGATCATGATATCAATATCCATCCTAGAGACGGTGCGGTCCCCTTTGAAGCACCACCTCATCCAATACTGACAGTTAACAGCTGGGAAACTTATTGGCCAGAAATATGCCGACCAAATCCAGAGCGTCTCCGTCACTCTTTACAACGTCGCATATGCCCATGCTTATTCCCACGGCATTATCATCGCTGACACGAAATTTGAATTTGGCCTTGATGTAGAGACTGACCAGATCGTCCTTATCGACGAAGTATTGACCCCAGATTCGTCCCGATTTTGGCCAGTCAGCAAATACCAGCCTGGTCGCTCCCAGGAGAGCTTTGACAAGCAGTTCCTGCGCGACTGGCTAACGTCCAACGGCTTGGCTGGAAAGCAGGGTGTCTCAATGCCAGCGGATATTGCGAGAAAAACCGAACTTAAGTACCAAGAGGCATTTGAGAGGATCACAGGAGACGTCTTCGAGACTGGTATGCCGTCTGTTCTGGAGGAAAGCGCTTTGGCTGAGTAATTTGGGGAATAAGGTACATGAAGTTCGTATGGGAAACCATCGGACGTTTAAAAATGCTGCATGTTTAAATGGAGGCTTATGTTCGCCTGAATGGTCCGAAGGGGGTATAAGGCGCAATCATTAGAGAGTTCGGTTATGGTTAGGGTAGCATCTGCATTTAAGTGTATAGTTAATTGCATTTACATTTTGCCGGTGATATTAAATTGGTTTGACCAAAAGCTGTTAGCATATAATTTGGTAATCTCGATTCCCGCAAATGTGCTTTGGATGATGGCAACAAACCCCTTGCTAAGCATTCATAATAAAGCCACCCTAATTCTTATAACGCCCAACCACGATGCATAGTAATACATAAGCATAGTATATCCTGAAAAGCAAACTTATGGCCGATTGTTTTTTCGCATTCATTCTCCTCCATCCTTCTTTTGTAGTCCTTTTAAATCCCGAAATCTATCCAGCCCCTTATCCTCGGCATCCACGAGCGAAGGCGCTTCCTTTCTTGACTCCGTTGTTGATGCGCCCAAAGCGTTGGCACCACAGATCCTCCTCTCCTCATCCATCTCTTCCTTTGACAGCCCATTCGTTGCCCACATACGATGGATTCTCAAATCATACGGTCCCTCCACGCGATCCGTCAACCCAATACCGATGGACTTAACCCGTTGCGTCACCATCCCGGTCTGAGGTTCAACAACCTTACCATAGTTTGTCCGGACAAAATCGTTCCATTTAATAAATATTGTTTCCCAACCTGACGAGTCTGGATTGGGCGTTGTGGTGTACGTAGATATCGTATCGCTAGAGGGAAAATCAGCAAGGGCCGGCGGAACGTCTGATAGTGGCTCCAAAGGCCCGTCCGATAGACGTGACTGCGAAGCTATTCGATGATGATGCGTCCAAAGTCGATGCTGATGGATATCCGTCTCCACAATGCTATCGGTCTGTACATTAACCGTATACCTTCGTCCATCGGATTTCACTCTCAGTGCTAGAAAAGCATAAGGATCCATGTCCCAGTATAGTCCGCCAAATATCCACCGCCGATCTTGATTACGAAATGCGGCATAGCCCGTCCTTTGTATTCTCCAGTTTGGGGGTAGTTTAGTTGATATGGTGCCATGGAATCGGGCGTGGGCCGGGGAATTCGTCGACAGGTCGGCGGGCACGTAATCTAAACTTGCTGTACTGTAGCCACCTACGGCACGGTCTGCTATAGTTTTGCATCCTTTCACGACGTCTTCATGTTCAAAATTGAGGAGGTAGAAAGGTTTCGTTGGAACTTCAAGCGTTTCCATATTCCATGCTGAAGAGTTGGAATTTAGCTTCAATTCTCGGTTCGGACATCAAGTGAAGTCCGTAGAAAGACCATATCGCAAACCCCAATAAAGGGGGCTGGCACTAGATGGAATAGATGGGAGCTTTATGGAGCTTGTACGTACCGAGCTTTGAGAGGCGACTTAACTCGTCCGCTGTTCGCTTGACAAAGCCTGGCCCGCGGGCGAGGCATTTCGCTGTTGGAATCATATGTAGGGAATCTCGTATCAATATAGAACATGTAGATATCTAGCAACGCCTTCTGGCTGCTTTCTTGGGTCTCTGCAAAAATTCAAGCCCTTCACTGCGCCAGATTCGAAAGCTCTAGGCCGGTGACCTCAGGGGAAAGAGCAGTCGGTCACGTGACCATATCCAAATCCATCTCGCGAGAGCGGCAATTGAAGCAGGGCGTAGACGAGATGCGGTGATGAGCATTTTATTCACCAGACGGTCCAGTACAGGAATTTCGATTAAGTTGATGAATTTTAGTGGTTGCTATATGCAGAGTATATGCATTCAGAGCAAGCATGTATATACAGGAATACGTCCGCCTATCAACTAACAGGAAGTTATGCTACTAACCGAACCTAAAGCGAAAAATGCAATGCAAAGCGATGCCGATGAATGAGATGGGTATTGAATTCTTTCTCCAACGCAAACGTCACTCATTCCATGTCATCATAACCAGGAACCCACTTATCAAAACCAGGCACCAAAATAAACAGATATCTATGATTTTCCCTGGACAAAAACCAGAGTTCATGGTGACCCAATGCCCATCAGAAAACGTCTCAAGATTACCGGAATTATCAAAAGGGGAGGATCAGGGATACTAGTAGCACAAATAAGACAGTATATATATATATATAATATATATAGTGTGATAATCAAATATATGGAGAGAGATTTCTATGATCATGCTGATCATAGCCGCTTAGATTGTCTTGTGCCAAAATAAGCCAAGTTCACAGGCGTGTCGTTGATACCTATAATAGGGGCTGCATCCCCTAGTATTTCCCATGGTTTCGGAGGATATGGGCCTGTGATTCGTCCGTTTTGTTGAAAACGCAGTTTATTTGTAAATAAATTAGGCTCTTCTACCATGCCGGGTGTCGGAGTGTTTTGGCTCGGGGGCGGGGTAGATTGTACATGTTGTGTGAGGTTTGTAACCGGCGTACTTGTAGAAGCTCGGGAGCTCCCGTGGGTTGTAATCGATTGGCTTTCAATACTAGGACCGAAAAGAAATAGGAGACGTGCATCGTTTTGTGGATGAAGAAATGCTGGGCACTTGTCTCTCAAAAAGCGGGCACATTCATATCGCGCTTCATCAGAGAGAGTGTCCACCAGGGTAGAGCAGACATCAAGGGCTTGGAGCTGTAAATTAGCCCACGAGCTCGGTAGCATGCGGAGGAGACTATCGCATTTCGTAAAGGTCGAAATGGACGAGATAAAACTTTGAGTTGAGCGGCGAGCAAAGAGTGGTGACCTTGAAATGCAGCATATCTGGACCAGAAGTCGAGTTTGATGATTAATTTCCGTCCTTGAATCGCAGTTTGGAGGGACTAGTGAACGATGGAGAGCCACTAGGCGAAGTAGGACAAAGAACCAAACGCCAATTGAGAGTTCGGCGACCCCTAAAGCGGTGGAGCTTGCACCAGACTCCAGATCAGTTCCTTTCTTGGCGTTCGCGAGTTCTACCGTTTTCTGTAAAAGCAGAAACATCTTGTCACCGAGATCAGCGCCCATCGACGACGGGGAAAACTCGTCCGGAATCGAGTACGACAATTCTTCAACTATGCAAAGATAAATTAATGCATCCTCTTCACTGGAAAAGGTCGTTAAGCTGCTGGAAATGAGCGAAAGGCTCAGGATTTCACGTTCTGCGCGCTGCCTAATCTTCAGAGGGATGAGAAGGGGGAAAGCTTTGCGGATAGTCCTTGGAAGGAGTCTTACCAGATGAGCGGCGCTGACTGGCAAGACATTCAAAACTTCGAGCCAGCGACGTTCGCCGTTACGAATGTCAGATTCTGCTGTTCTAAACAACAAATCGACAATGCTGCTTCTTGCAGCATCCCCATCCGGGTTAGCGTCGAGAAGCAGCCGTAGTTTAACCAGGCAATAAGAGAGGGAAAGGTCGTCGATCAGCCCAACTACGCTTTGTGTTTTTTGCACGCCAGCTACATTCAGGCTGAGTCAGTATGTCTGGAAAACGAGCTTTTTAAGAGGATGAATATTACCTTGTGCTTTTAGCCCTAGAAGAACGTCTAAAGCCTGGTGAATAATATCCACGCAATTCGGGAACTCTTCCACGATCCGACCGGCTCCCTCAGGCCCGAATGCATTCAAGTTTTGAATGATCAACTCGCAGAGCAGAGGCACCAACGGCGGATGGGAGGTGCTTTCCGGGTTGACGTCTGCCAAAGCTTCATTGACGAGGCCTAGAGCGTCATACGCGTGGTGCGTTATGTACTCTTCCCTGGTAATTTTAAAGCGGTACGATACCTGTAATGCAAGTAAAGATTGGAATCTGAGAACTCATAAATACGCAATGGGACTCACCAGATCGACGGAGCCAAGTTCATAAAAGATTTCCTTCCGGAGTAGATTGATCATTTCATAGCGAAGCCCAGATACGTCTTGTATTGATTGTCGGTGCGAATCAGACTTCAACAGTCTGTCGATAAGGGCAAAAAATGCTTCGAACGTGACGCAGCCAACTCCAATGAGAGGCGGGAGGAATGTTAAAAGGTGTGGTCGTGGCGAAGACTTCAGCGTTGAGATAATCCATTTAACCATTAATCTGTCAAAAACATCTGAGTTAAGAACTCGCAATTGGGATAGATGTCTGGCGATCTCGTGGGATGAAGCGTTCGGCTCCTTCGACTGCTTAAGCTTCCGACTTAGCATTTCAAATATTTTATTCATGTTTGGCTCATCCATGCCGCTTCCTGAATTGAGCAGCTGATGCAAACCTTCAGAGAATGCCGGGCTGGCTATATTGACTGACTCTGCGGTATGATCAGAAACCGGGGAAGAAACCGCTCCAGTAAACTTCTTATCAAAGTGGGAAAGGTCACGGCGAAGCATTGCCACTACCGGGATTTCTCCTGGCAACTTCATCCCAACTTCAAGAAGAGACGATATCAACTCTATTATTGAAACATCCGCCTTGTTGACGTGTGCGTAACCCGCCAAAGCGCTCTTGAAAAGATCGCTTAAAGCCCCTATGGCCTTGAAAGAGCCGGCACAATAATTCAGGGTGTCCACAACGGATATCAGTACGATGATATTGTCGGAACTCGAGGTATGTTTCAAAATATCTGCCAAAAGTGACAAGTCTCCGAGGCATTCAATGATGTCTCTGATCTCAAAAAATTGAGCAGGTGTTAGAGCGGAGATTTCGATTGCGCAGGCATTGTGATGATTTGGAGCAGTTCTTACAACCAGGGTAAGCTTATGAAGCATCGTAAGAAAGGCAGGGCACCATACCTCAGATATCGTTTGCGATGCAAAGAAACGTGCTCACGTATCCAATGCCCAATTTCAGATTTGATAGTCCAGTTGAGGTTTGAGAGGTCGGATGGAGAAAATAATCCTTCGTGATCACCAGCTATCGGCTTTATAATGACCTCTGGCAGTCGGTGATGGATATAGCGTTTGGTGTTTAGTGTTTGCTGGTTTTCGGAGCTTAATAAGAAGCCTGCTTTCGTAAGAAGGGTATTTCGAAGGTTCCAAACATGGCTCGGGAGTTTTCGACGCGGGAGGTGAGCGAGGAGCTGTACAGTGGGGTGCATTGGCTGCCAAACATTCTTAGCCTAAGCTGTCAACTACCGACCAGGGATAACTTACCGCGTCGTTCCTCACAGCGCCTCTGGCCATAAGCCACTGCAGGTACTTGCCTACCGCAAAAGACTGCGAACGGACGAGCTCACAAACTAGGTGATAGATATTCGCGGGCGAGAACCCTGGTGTATCCGCTTTTTGCTGAAGAAAATTGACAATGCAATTGTCCGTATCCATACCAGATCTCCTCCACTTCCGCAATAGTCGCACAGCCACGTATACTCGAGCAGATCCGCGCCGAAAACTTGTTGAGACCCATTCCAAAATCTTCATAATTAAATTTCCATGGTCGAAATCCAGATTAAGACACCCTGAAGAAAGTATCTCCATATCGTTCAATGAATCGGTGGAATCAAGCAAGCAGATAACCCGCTGGCTTGGTGATTGGCGGCCACTTTGACGACATATTTCAGCTTTGACAATTCTCTCGTTCCTGTTGGACAATGCGCCCATTTTTCTGTTGTCTTCTGAAAGGTGAAGGCAAAAACACGTAGTTAATGTGCTTTTATAGGTTCTCCAAGTCAGTGGTAGGACGAAACAAGCCGGGTGTGATTCGGCGAAGGTTTTTATCAACCACGAAAGACGGTCGGCAATCTGTTTCTTGGGACCGGAATCTTCGAGGGATAGGATCTTTGACCGTTCATCAGAAATGCCCTATTGGGGGGAAAATGACAGATCATACCGTTTTCAGCTTCTCGAGTAAAGACTCTGCGAGTGGACGCCCTCTCTTTCGATACCGAACGAGACTTGTCCAGTAAGCTCCAAGCATCGATAGCCATATGGGAAGGGTTCCGATCGGCGCTGTCCTTAGTGACTGAAGGAACCAGTCCAGGCACAACGCTTGATCGAGGAGCTGCTCCTGAAACAGTCGTGCCGCGAATCTTATGCTGGTCAAGAGAATTAAACGATAAGCTTAATGCAGCTCAGAATTGAATTTGGGGGTATAGCTTACACATATGACATCGTCGACGCCCAATTTGGTGTTCCACACGCAGTAACGACACTCTCTATAAACTGTTGCACATTGATGCTCCAATCTCGCACCCATTTAACCTCGAGGCTGTGCGTAATAGCTGCCGATGTCCCCTTTCTTTTAAAAGCGCGAATCTCATTCGCACCTACACACTTTACTAGCCACACAGCCCTACCAATTGGTATTGCCTTATTCACACATTGATCGAGAAGGATTCTTCCTCTGATTCCATGAGGTATCGTACGGCTTAGCCTTCGAAGAGGGACCGAAGGATTCGCCAAATCTCGGAGCCAAGTTTCTCGTTTGATATCAGTGAGGGTAACACGAGGAGGAGGTTTGAAAGTTGAAAATCCCGTCACTCTGCAGTGAGATTGTCGCTTGTCGATTGCCGCAGTAAAAACGGATGATAGAAGCTTTAACCCAGAACGATGTTTAAGTTGGACATAAAGTGACGGTCTAGCAGTATTACTCTCGTTCTGCGAGACCTGTACACGGTCGTAATAACCTTGTTTGGCGGTCTGATCTGTCAACGAGTCTTCCGGATGACCTCCTTTCCAGGGATAGAAATCCAAAGGTTCTAGGAGAGAAGTTAGTTTTGGTCAAACAGCTGGTGGATGAACACTAAACCTACTGCCTGAGTTGAAAGTCGGGGCAGCCTCGGGTACTTCGATGCAGAAAGGTGTTGTTTGCACCTCGGCACCCGCATTCTGATTAACACGGGGCGTTTCTTCTCTGGAGCTGTGCCCTTGAGGTCCGTATCTCCACGGACGCACCGGCAATGGGGGCAGCGAGTCGGGCTGTTCGGGCTCATCGTTCGGAATTTCGGACTCTAAGCTTCCTTGAAAGCCGAATCCAGATACTTCTTCACCAAAATCCCAGAAGGGTCTACCTGTCCGGATTGGTGGCACCGTGTCTTGTAAAGCAAAAGGAGTGGAAACTGCTTGAGAAAATTGAGCCTTTGGCACTCTCTGTGTATTTGGTACGTCGATTCTTAGGTCCAACTTCTGGCGCTTGGTCGCCCGATTAGCGTCGCAAGTTTCATAGTCGCTATTTGTCAGGTCTATAACGGAATCGTGGGCTGCTTGTTCGACCGCTGACGGATCGGTTTGACTGGGTCGTTGCGAATGTCCCTGGATGGCCAGTCCACTGGAGGACGAGTTACCACAACTCATCGAAGGGCGAGAACTCATCACAGGGCATTCCGGGGTGTTAAGGCTGGCCATGTATGGTGATTATCAATCCATTTTCGCGATGCCAAATTAAGTTATCTGGAGATCGTGGAGGGAGGATAATTGGACGGAGCCGGCTCTATATGAGGAGAGACAATAGCTCAGCAACGATGCGATCGTCGTCAACGCAGTTTCCTCGCCTCCTTTTCGTCAAAGCCTTGGAGAGACCGGGGGGGGGTCAGCTTCCAGCTTGTATCACCGAGTTCGTAGCATTATGGACGTACAGCTTTCTGTATACTCAAACTTTACCGCAGTATAATCATGCGAAAATTCTGGACCATGTCTGGATTAAGTGCCATATCGCTCAATGATGAGCTTTCATGCGTGGAATGGGATCGACTCCATATATGGAGTCCCCAGGTCAGGCAAGGTAGGGCTTCTCTCGCCGAGCTCTGAGGAGCCACTCATAGCGGGAAAACCACGGAACACGGAGAACGGCAATCTTACGCGGGCGCTGGGCAACCATGACAACTAGGTGTGTCACGTGACTTGTCACACCCGTGTTTGCGCTGTTTGTCTGCGCCAGCCACCAGTCGACACGGAAGCGGAGCCACTCAAGAAGGCTCTCCGCTGTGATATGGCGCTCTTGCGACGTATTCAAAGGGGCGAGGAGGAGTAAGTGCCAAGAACGCTGGGCTTCAACGATAAAGAAACAAGAGCCACAAAGATTTCTTTGTCCTCGAAGCCGGGTGTTTCGCGAGGACCCAGGATGTCAGAGGCGACGGGGAAGCGTGAACTTGTGTCAATACCTGTTATTACGGCGAGCGTTGGCTTGACTGCCCCTAGATTCACCGTAAATAGGTCGCATAATACCGTAATTACGTAACTTACGTGCGTTGACAAGCAAATGTGTTATCATCAGCTTTCCCCCATGACGTCTATCAAGCCTCTTGTTCCTTTTTTCAAAAAGCCCAAAAAATGCAGCTAGCACCTTCGCTGCCGAGATTTTGCATCTTCGCATGTGCTGATTGGAATCTGTGATTTCATGCTGCTAAGTTCCTGTCTTTCCTGATGGGGCGACGTGACGAATCATCAAGCACCTGATGGGTTCTCTGTTCGTGCTCTTCTCGGTCTATGTCCTAGGCGGCGTTACCTTCATTCCCGTGGTTTTTGGCCTCTTATTCCTTCATGCCTATCTAACCTTACCCTCCGTCGAAAATGCTCCGGAATTAGATAAGGATGGGTCTGATGGAATTCACCGATCCGCCGACGACCAGTCGTCCGTTCAAAGCGGTACAGATGTTCTCGCCGAGAAATTCCAGCGAACCCACGAATCGGACGTGGCAGCAGGATATTTCACCGTTTGTCGAGAGTATGTACCGGGAGGAGTCAATGGGAAGCCTCCGGAGCGGACCACTCCCGCGGGCGAGGTGATCACGCCCGAGAGCCCGAGTGTATACCAGAGCATGTATCGAAGCATATTTGAGAGAAAACAGGCCCCGACTATCGACCCCGCGAAGCCGAGTGGAAAGAATATCAAGAAAGGGCGAAATGTTTTCTACATAGTCTTGCGGTTTGTGACCATCCCTCGGAGAATTGCCTTGACAAAACACTAACCCGTTTCCCCACGCCCAGACACGGCCACCTGATGCTATACGATGACTCCGAACAAGTGGAAGTGCGTTACGTTATCTCCCTATCACATTACGATGTTAGCATATACGGTGGAGGGGAGTCCATACCGGAAGGCGAATTATGGATCAAGCGCAACGCAGTCTGCCTATCAAGGAAATCGTCCCAGTCAGACGTTAACAACCCACAAGTGGCAGCGCTTCCATTTTATATATTCTCTGATAATCCTTCAGAGAAAGAAGATTTGTATTTTGCAATTCTAAAAAACCTAGAGAAGCTCCCCGATTCCCCGATTTCTCCACCGACCGCTCAACATTTCGATGTCAAGGACATTGTCAATCTGGTTAAGCGTCTGCATTCGTCTGAGGAGAACCTTCAAACTCGATGGTTCAACGCTTTGGTTGGGAGACTCTTCCTCGCCCTATACAAGACGTCGGAACTAGAGAGCCACATTTGGATGAAGATCGCGAAGAAGATCTCTCGGGTTAAGAAACCAAACTTCATTACCAGCATTGTGCTTCGAAAAATTAATGCGGGGGAGGGAGCCCCATTGATCACAAATCCGAGGCTTAAAGATCTTACCGTCGATGGAAATTGTTGCGTGGAGGCCGACGTTATGTACGATGGCAACTTTCGTATCGAAATTGCAGCTACTGCTCGAATTGATTTGGGTACAAGATTCAAAGCCCGGGAAGTGGACCTTGTGCTCGCTGTGGTATTGAAAAAGCTGAAAGGCCATGGTTTGGTCCGCTTCAAGCCTCCCCCAAGCAACCGGCTTTGGGTATCATTTGAGACGATGCCAGAGATGGAGATGACTATCGAACCCATTGTCAGTTCTAGACAAATTACATACGGCGTCATCCTTCGAGCTATCGAAAGCAGAATCAGAGAGGTAATAGGGGAAACTCTAGTGCAACCTTTCTGGGATGATGTACCATTCCTAGATACGTCGCGACAACCCCATCGTGGCGGCATTTGGCAGGCGACATCAAGACCAATTAGCGATCATGGGGTTGCGGACGATTTCGGAGTGGAGCAACGCCCTGCAAAGGAACCGTCTGATGAAGTATTAGGTAGTGAGGGCCAGACTGTGGGCGTAGTTTCATTGTCTCCCCCTCCATCCCCAGATTCAAACGAGCAGAACAAGAGCACCTTGACGCTCGATGATGCACCCGCGGAAGTCGATAATATTTCTCAGGTGGATCTCCACCCTCCCCCTGGACAAGGGTCCTCGGAGCCAGAACTTCCGTTAACTTCGGACTCTTCAAGCGCGGAGCATATGGCATTGGATACGAAGCTTGAAGATACAGATGCAACGAGCACCATGGTCGACCTTCCCACATATTCTAATAATACATATGCGGGGTCACTGCATCACCGATCAAGGCAACGGTCTATATCTTTCCAAAAATCTCATGATCATTTTACGAATTGTCGTTCGAGGACAGACTCCATTCTCAGCAAAGCTTCTACGAGTTCTATTCCCGAGAGTAGTGACGGAGACTCGGCAGGTTTAACGGCCAGAAATATAAATCACCAAGAGGGTTCACCAACCACTAGATTAGGGTCGTCCCCATCAAGCCCAAAACCCTTGGAAACTCGCCAGACCATGAGCTCACTAGGGTCTGCCGCTGCTGCTGCCGCCAAAAAATGGGGATGGAACGTTTTGGGTCGCACTGATCAGTCGCAAAAGGTAGGAGGAACAGTGATCCCGGACCATCCTATTGGCCGGGGCAGACCGCTACCTCCTCCTGGAACTCCGCTCCCTCCTCCGGAGAAATCAACTTTCAGAGTCAACCCGATCTCCATGCCTAAACGTAAACCTCTAGCACCACACTTATTTCCTGAAACCGCCGAAAGAAGTGAAAAGAACCTCCCCGAACGCAAACCCATGCGCCATAGAAAATCGACCTCGTCTACGAAGACGGAAGACAGTCGCACACAGGAGGAACTCTTGATTATTAGAGCACCGTGTGGTTCAGAACCGAATAGTCCGTTACCAGCTGAGGCGGAAAGTCCCGAAAAGGCTCCTTTGAATGGCGAAAATACCGATAAACAGTCTGTTCAAAATGAGAATCTGCCGGGAGTCTCCGCTCCTCCCACCACCAAAGCCAATGTTCTGGATGCAAATGGTCACGAAGAGAGTCGTCGTACTTTGGATGCAACGGAGGAAGTAATTGCTGCGGTGAATCCCGTCGAGAACCTGGTGTCTTAGATGCTCGAAACTTCCTTAATGAATATTTCATGTGTATTGTTCCACCTTGCAGGATTAACCGATCAATGTACGTAGAAATAATACGATAGATAGAGTTACTGCTAACAGGCCGTTTTCTCGACTCAGCCACAATTACGTAGTAGTAGTAATAAAAAGAGTTTGTCTAGCTACTTGCTAACTTTGTACGCAAATTATGAAGTAGCTCACGTCCTCAGCAGTCAGTGATGGATGGAACGGCTTGATCTATGGTTCTGTATTTTAGGGAGGCGGATAATCGGCCTGTCCCTCTGGGCGGTGGGCGATGGCAAAATAGCGGCCCCTACTCTGTACACTGCCAACTTACGTAACCGTACGTCAGCTCATCCCTGAAGCATACGCACAGCTCTGAACGGGTTGAACGTAGTCCTTTAGCTTATAATCCTCCTTTCTTCGCATTATTGAGTCAGAGGACATTGTTCTTCAACTCACTTTACCCTCACATTTGCTTTTCAGTCGGGCCGAGATTAGCGCATCAGCGCATCCCCGTCCCGAAGCTTAGTGCCTCCTCCCACTTTCTCCCAACGGGGCCATCATGTCTATGGCATATAACTCGACAGTCACACGCAATATAGATATGAGCAGGTAGAGTGATTTGAAGCCCCGTTTGACATATGAATTGAAGGCAATGCTAATGTGAGCGCAATGTGAAGGACCGAAGCCGATTTGGCCGTGAACATCCGCAAAGCCACGAGCATTGGTAGGCACCCTCATTTTAATGCGAACCCCTTATCAACCTTCTAACGTTGACAATTTTGCAGAGGAGACGGCACCCAAACGTATGCTCACTCCCGCCTTATTCCCCCCTCACCCATGATTTCGACTGATTCGTTCTAGGGAAACATGTTCGGAGTTGCATTGTGTATACGTGGGACCACAAATCCTCCGCTTCATTCTGGGCGGGCATGAAAGTGTGAGTGGTATCTACACAAGCTAGCTCTCTGAGTTTTCTGCTATGGGATATCTGGGCTGGGGAAAGTGATCACATTGCTGACACAGGGATACACATATTTCTAGGCAGCCGGTTTTGGCAGATGAGGTCCAGACGTTTAAAGCGCTTATAACCGTCCATAAAGTGTTGCAGGAAGGTCATCCGATTACGGTTAAAGAAGCCCAATCACATGTTCCGTGGCTAGATAGCCTGGTACGAGGCGTGGCTGGCGAGGGTCTTCGGGGTGAGTAAGACCTTACTTTTTCGACAAAATTGTTACACCGAGAACCTCAATTCAACAAGCGGTTGCTAAAAAGAAATAAATTTCCAGGATATGGTCCGTTGATCCGTGAATATGTTTTTTACTTGGAGTCCAAGCTTGCATTTCATCGTCAACATCCTGAATTCAATGGTGAGCATCAGAATTCCACTCCATAGACGTTCGTCACTCGAGGTCTTTTTTCGGTATTAACGGTGAATGGACAGGTTTGTTTGAATATGAGGAATATATCAGTCTCAAATCCATAAATGATCCAAACGAAGGGTAAGACATAGCCCTTGAATATGCCTTGTATATTCGTGGCTAACGTTGTTTAGATATGAGACAATTACCGATCTTATGACTTTACAGGACCAGATTGATGCTTTCCAAAAGCTTATTTTTTCTCATTTCCGCGGCGGAGCCAACAATGAATGCAGGATATCAGCGCTGGTGCCTCTGGTACAAGAAAGTTACGGGATATATAAATTCATCACCAGCATGCTAAGGGCCATGCACACAAGTAAGCATAATGGGCCGATACTCACGTCTGTCAATGCGCTAATGGAAGTTAGCCACCGGAGATGAAGAGGCATTGGAGCCTCTCCGAGGAAGATACGACGCGCAGCATTACCGACTTGTTAGATTCTACTACGAGTGCTCAAATTTAAGATATTTGACCAGTCTGATTACCGTACCCAAGCTCCCACAACAACCTCCAAATCTTCTTGCTGAGGACGAAGATCGGCCAGCCCTTCCCAAGAGACCATCTAAGGAGGTGGAAAAAGAACCGACACCACCCCCGAAATCAACCATCCCAGACCCCGAACCCATTAATGACTTCTGGTCAACGGAAGCCAAGCGCCAACAGGAAGAATATGAAGCCGAACAACGTAGGCTCCAACAACAGTGGGAAGACCAGCAACGACAGCAAATGCTTGCGCAGCAGCAGGCCCAAAGAGATTTCGAAGAACAACAGAGATTGCAGGCAGAGCAACAAAGACTGGCTCAAGAACAACTGCTCCGGGACCAATACCAGCAACAAACCCAAGGCCGTTTAGCGGAACTTGAGCAAGAAAATCTCAACGCGCGTGCACAGTATGAACGAGATCAACTCCTGTTACAACAGTACGATAAACGAGTGAAAGATTTGGAGGAACAGCTTAACCAGCTAAATTCCAATTATAACCTTCAAAACACTTCCAAAGACGACCAAATCCGTGCGCTGCAAGAACAAGTCAACACTTGGAGGTCAAAGTACGAAGCCCTTGCGAAGCTCTATTCCCAACTGCGCCAGGAACACCTCGACTTGCTGCAAACGACAAAATCCTTGAAGCTCAAGGCTGCTTCTGCCCAAGAAGCAATCGACAAGCGAGAGAGGCTCGAGCGCGAGATGAAAACTAAAAATCTAGAACTCGCCGATATGATCAGAGAACGAGACAGAGCACTCCACGAGAGGGATCGTATCTCTGGCGGAAACAAGGAGGAGCTTGAGAAGGTTAAGCGTGAATTGCGCTTGGCCATTGAAAGAGCCGAAAACGCAGAACGTGCGAAGAGCTCCGAGATTTCTGCCATGCTTTCGAAGTATAATAGAGAAATGGCTGATCTTGAAGAAGCCCTAAGGGTATGTCTAGAAGTTTCATTTTCTCGTGCATTGGTACGAGATGCTAATCATCTGGTCTATTTTCCACTTTCTAGAATAAGAATCGGGCGCTCGAGGAAGCGCGTAATAGCACGGGTGAGCGTGATCACGACCACGAATTGACATTACGAGAAAAAGACGAGGAGATCGAAGTCTACAAGTCCGGAATGGAGCAAGCCTTGATGGAGCTTGAAGAACTGAAGCTGGTACGTGTGCACAGAATAAGTCTCGTATGCCGACAGCTAACCTTTTCCTAGAACCAAGGAGATGTCGATAAGGCACTAGACACCCAAATTGACGACGTACTCCTGAGCTCCGTTACCAAGATCAATGACATTATAGACTCTGTGCTGCAGAGTGGAGTTCAACGTGTAGACGATGCGTTGTATGAACTCGATTCAACGATGCAGGCTGGCAACCAGAACGCCTCCCCGCCCTATGTTCTCTCACAGATCGAGAAGGCCTCCGCGAGTGCCACCGAGTTTTCAACGGCGTTCAATAACTTCATCGCCGATGGACCCAACAGTGCGCATTCCGAGATTATTCGCACCGTCAGTGTGTTCTCCGGTTCTATAGCGGATGTTCTCAGCAACACTAAGGGATTGACACGCTTTGCCACGGATGATAAGAAGGCAGACCAGCTTATCAATGCCGCTCGACAGTCGGCACAGTCAACAATGACCTTCTTCCGAGCATTGCAGTCCTTCCGGTTGCAGGATTTAGAACCCCTCCAAAAGACCGACGTTGTTATCAACAACAATCACGAGGTTGCGCTAAACTTACAGAAGCTCTCTAAGCTAGTGGATGCGTTTGCTCCAAAGAGCACCAAGCTCAATGGAACAGGAGACCTTGGTGACCTCGTCGACCGCGAATTGTCTAATGCGGCGAACGCAATCGAAGCAGCGGCTGCGCGACTCGCCAAGCTCAAGAAAAAGCCGAGAGACGGATACTCCACATACGAGCTACGTATCCACGACTCCATCCTCGAAGCGTCGATTGCCGTGACGACTGCCATCGCCGAGCTTATCAAGGCAGCCACGGCGTCCCAGCAGGAGATTGTTAGAGAAGGCCGTGGTAGCTCCTCACGGACGGCTTTTTACAAGAAAAACAACCGGTGGACGGAAGGATTGATCTCGGCCGCGAAGGCTGTGGCCACGTCGACCAACACGTTGATCGAGACCGCCGATGGGGTGATATCTGGAAGAAACTCACCGGAGCAACTGATCGTGGCCAGCAATGACGTTGCCGCAAGCACTGCTCAGCTCGTCGCGGCCAGCCGTGTCAAGGCGACGTTCATGAGCAAGACCCAGGACCGCCTGGAGACGGCGAGCAAGGCAGTCGGAGCTGCATGCAGGGCGCTTGTGCGGCAAGTACAGGCTATCATTGCAGAGAAGAACCGCGATGAGACGGAGGCAGTTGATTACTCCAAGCTCAGTGGTCACGAGTTCAAGGTCCGCGAGATGGAGCAGCAGGTATGTACATTCCGGTCGAAACTGTAGCTTTGTGCGTCTTGCAGCCGTTGCAGGTATGCTAATCCGAACCTTCTTGTGTGCAGGTTGAAATCCTCCAACTGGAGAACAAGCTTTCGCAGGCAAGGCAGCGTCTTGGGGAAATGAGAAAGATATCGTATCTAGAGTAATCTACCTGGAACGGCGGGGGAAAGGGGATCTCTTCCGCAATCGGGTCTTCTACAAGCTTCTACGGAGGGATAGTTTTGTCTTTCAACATGCCAAATACCAACTTTTCGCGACTCTGCCACATTTTGCGACGAGGAGGGAGGCCGAGTTTGCTGCTTTCCGAGTCATATACCCGGATTACCTTTTTTTTTTTTTGCAACGCCTGGGTATCTCCCTTCCCCTCTAGGGTTGCCTGCAGTACAGGTTTTAGGCGGAAAGCAAAACGTGTGTATACGTGTATATATGTGTGTGTCCTCCGTATCTAGACTGAAAACCATGTTTCTCGTATCTTTCGACGAGAGTGGACGTATGTAATCTTGGAATCTTTTCTTTGTTGTCATTTAAACAAAAAAGCCCGCACTGCGCGTCCAGGCGTTCCAGATTTCAAGTTTTGCACGTTGAACGGGGGCGGGGGAGGGAAGAGAGAGTTCGTGTGTGTTATACTCCGTAGTAGGCTTTCTTTGTTTCATCGATCGCGTCGCTGGGAGGGCTTGGGTTGGCGTGGAGATCCGGCGCACAGATCCCACCGGCGAGCGGGGTCGTCCGAGGGGCCAATGACATGCATGCACAACCCACCCTGGCAGGGCGGCGGTGGGGCTTACTTTTTATGCGCAGGAGAAACAGCCTCTCCGCCAATCAGCACCGGGTACTTAGCGCCGGCTCCATCTCTGCTCGTCCCCAATCCTCTCCAAACATGACACCGGATGAGGGGGGGAACGAGAAAAAGACTCGATCATAATTTATGGCCACTGGCTGATTATAAATAGTCTGTGCAGTTTTGTAACTACGCTCTGGTTTTGCCACATGTGCATTCTGGACTTGATGGATTATCGGCGTCTTTGGGGGGGAGGGTACGGAGTAAGCAAACCGGCGTTTGCTTGCCTGTCAGGCAGTTGCAGAAAGGTGGGGCCAAAAAACGTCATGAGCCTGTGTGCTGTCGAGAGAACACAGCTTGCGCACGGTTTTGTTTGCTTCGAAACTTGCTGTGGAGGTGGGGGGGAGCTGGCCGGTAGGAGCCGTTTCCTGATTCCATCCCAGCCTCCTTTTGAAGAAACAACTCTCTTTTTTTTTTCCCAACTTCAGATGGATGCCTGGATGACCGCGGAACACACGATACGGAATGCTCCCCGCTGTGTTGTGGTGCGGCTGCCCCTCGGAATTTTGCGTGAGGGGCACCGCAGGCACAGCGCACGCGGCTGGGGCGCTGTTAGGGGGCTCGTTATCCCCGTTGCCATTCGTTACCAAAAGTTCGGACGATCTCCACCCACAGGTGGCTTGGCAGTAATTTACGTTACACTCATCGTCCATACCGAGAATCCATACCCCGTACGGCGTAGTACGGCGTACAGGGCGGCGAACGGTCCAGTAAATATTTCGATCAGTTTTAACGCTAAGATAAACTCGGGGCTTGGCGTCTCCTCCACAACGGCAGAGGCCCACCACGCGTGGCGGCAATCCTTGGCTGGGAGTGTCAACCTTATCATAACCACAGATCCCAATCCCTGTTGAATAAAGCGCCGCCGTCGCCAGTACATATTACATTTGGTATGCGTACTTTCTGATCGCTGGAAGACCTATCATTCTGGACATGAGGACAGTTTGCAGGTAGAAGAATGAGACTTTCATCACAAATCTTATGCGAGCTGTCTCATCTGTATTCCCAGCTTGCATGTAACAGGCCCGATAACTGAAAGATACAAATTTCTCAATACATTTGAAATTATTCGGTGAACTTGTGGTCTGGATCCTGTAACATAGCAATAAGAGACAGATACGATAGTCGGTTCTTCGTAATCCACCTCCCTGGGTTGCACATTAGCCATACAATCCTGATGTTTTACAGCAAATGACATACAAAACTGTTCAGCATCCTGGGGGAAGCAATGGCTTGCTTGAACCACCACTGTTTTCTCTGCATTATTAAGCCAAGGAAATTCGTTGATTGCCTGTGCACAAAGCTCCTGAGCATGCGTATTAAAGCGCCGGCGACGATATCCCCAAAATGGGTTTGAAAGACCTAAAAGATCCCTACTATAAGTTAACAATTTGCTATTTGATGTAGAAGCTGCCCCTTCACTTACGTTGTGAAATATTCTCGAATTGCCTTACGAAACAGTGGTTGATACCCATACTTCTCTGAGTATTGTTTGAGCATACTGTTCGCTTGCTTCTGCTGGAAGGCTATCCTCCACTTGAGAAAACCTTCAAGCTTGCGAGGAATCTTCTCCAGTTCAGAGAAATCCATGAGATTTGTAAAATCAATCTCTTCACCAGCGATGTCTTCTGGCTCTGGATGGACATTGTTGAGTTCTATCAAATGCTGGAGGTTTTCTAGGTGTTTTTCAAGCGTAATTCCAGGGGGGATCGCGGTTCCACTCCCAGTAGAGTCTGATTTAACGTCTTGTTTGTTGATGGTGGGTGGAAGTGTCCCTTCGTCAAGAAATTGTTTGACATCCGCTTCAAATTTCCGAGAATCGCTTGTTTTATAGCTAGAGATGAGAAGAGCAACTTGTCGACGGACTGCCTTATCCTCCGCACTAGAAGAGCTTCCAGACTCGTCAAGCGAAAAAGAACTTTTTATACCCATCAGGAATTCATAGTTTTTATCGGTATCCATACTTAAGAAATATTGGACTGGCCACAGTGATATTCAAACATAAAAGGGATTATAGATCGTAAAAGGTTCACTACAAAGTAATGAAAAGAGGTAACCTTTTAAACACTTCGCGGACTACACATAAACTCATTTCTTGGAATCGTCTTGTGTATATCGAATCATACGCCGTTTTTTATACGGTTCGAAAAACAGCCGTTTCCCTTGAGGCATAAACAAAGAAATTTACCACACTAGTACAGTGTTCTGGAAACCTCCGTTCTTTTCTCTCCGCCTGCTTTTCCTTTCCAACCATCTCCTCTCTCTCTCCATTTATTATTTTCCCTCCTTTCTTTTGTCAAGATATCAACATTCGCCTCTCACTTCAAATTGCAATACAGTGATATATCGGCTACAGACTCGATTCTCATCCAAAGTCATCTTCAGATATCCAAACGTCGTTCCCAAATGGCTGCCGTTACTACCGCCGGCTTTCAGCCAATGACTGGTTCTAAGGACCTGGTTGTTGAGCTCATCTGGCAGCATGCTGTGAACCATTTGAAGAAAACCAAAAATGAAATCTTTCTTCCCGTGGATATTATCTCACTCATCGGAGGAGATAACGTCGAGAAGATCAAGAATCGCCTGAGGTACGTTGTTTATATCTATATATACCTTGATCAAAACATGCCTTGCTGACAGCTCGAAGCACCATGCTTAATATGCCAGTCGTTGCGTTCGAGGACCATGCGAACAATGTGTACCGCATCATGCCTACTCCTGCTTTAGACGGCGCAATTGAATCTACTGTGGCTCAAATTTTGCCAATGATGGCGACTGGTTCCCATAGTCCTCAGAACTTGGGGGAAAAGCTGAACAAGCAAAATGTTTCGGCCAAGGCCGCGAAAGTTCCTCGCCCTCCCAATGCCTTTATTTTATACCGCCAGCATCACCACCCGCTCATCAAGGCAGCCCATCCTGAATATCATAATAATGATATTTGTAAGTGTAGTATTCGCTTAATATAAAGCATCACTAACAGTTTCTGTTTGCTAGCGATTCTTCTTGGGAAGAAATGGAAGCTAGAGAATGCCGAAACTAAAGCTCACTTTAAAGCTCTTGCCGACAAAATCAAGCGCAAGCACGCTGAAGATCATCCTGACTACCAGTATGCTCCCCGTAAACCGTCCGAGAAAAAACGTCGTTCCGTTTCTCGACGCGACGGGTTTTCTTCCAAGAACATCCAGCTCGATACATTCTCTCCCCAGATTAATACATTCGGTAATTCAGTCCAAGGAACTCAGATGGAGGTTGATTTTTGTACCAATGTTGTTGATACAAGTCAGTCTCTCGACAACAACGATGACCAGCCCGCTACTCCAGTCGTCACTGTGCAATATAACCCCGGTCCAGAGATGATCCAAGATACCTCAGACTTCATCATGGGTCTTAACAATGGAGGCTTCCTTACTCTTCAACGTCGCTTGATTCCATCCACTTCGGCATCGGCTACTGTGCCCGCGAGCAATTCCGCAACCTCCAACAATTCGAACGAATATGAATTCGATATGGATGACTACTTCATTCCGACGGAATAAATGGAGATCTACTTGAACAAGGCCATGACCAACGGTTGATTGTTTCGCCACAGTGACCTATTCCGATTCAACGCGCAGCTGGATCGAAGGCTAATGAAATTCCTGTACGGAAAAACGTCTTTGTGTTTGTTGTGGACATCGAGAAGCAGAACTCTGGTCTTAAGGTAGCTTATAGCATCCCTTGGTTTTGATATTGAAGCACATGACGGCAGATTGCAGCTGTTGAACATTGGTCAACGCTACCTCGAAATACACATGGTGGTGAGTTAAAATTAATAGAAATAGCGGAATAGATGGATATGACATGGGCTTGATGAATCTTGATTTCGTTGCCCACTTGTACTGTACAATAGGTAGTTCATAGGAAATAAATTGACACCATCAAACTTGTAGAATTGGATTGAATTCTTCAAACTCGTTCGTCCAAAATGTATTGTACACATTAAATAATTGTATCCAAATGCTCATTCCTTCTTAGGCTCACAACTTGGCAGTTTACTCTCTAGTTAACACGCGTACATTCGAATGGATTTCAATTGGTTATGGTTTCGTCAAGAATATTATATGTACCCATTGCAGTTTAATTACCACTAGATTGGCTGTGTGCAGTGATTGCGCATAAACCATTCTTAGCAGGTGCTAAATTATGTTAAACAAGGAAAACGAGGTACACAGAGTTCTATATAAATATATCATTGTTATGGTCCCCAACTTCGAACTACATGACTGGATTATTGCTTAGAGTTCCAATCACTACACCAGATAAATGTAGGACACCGCCATTGAGTTCCAGTTTCTTTATTGCCGCTGGGGCCGAGTGGTCTTGGACAAATCCAAAACGATCTGCCCCGATTGATTCCGGGTTTCTTCGTGACGAGACGGACGCATGGTTCTTCATGCCCTTCGCATCTAGGAGGCGGCCTCTTTTTAAATATTTTATTCCATGACTCTTGATCTGGAATTGAAGACATCACATTTATGTCAGCCACGATACGGCTTGGAACCGCGGAAACAGTTGTAGATTCTTGTGAGGTTTGAGGATCGGCTTCAAAATCAGGATTCGCGTCAGGAGGCGAAATCCCCGAGGTACGATGTCCGGGACCCGAATCATTTTTGCGTTCATTCGGAACAGAATCGTTGATGGCCTCGCAATCCTTCGCAAGGTTAGACTGCTTCAGACGGGGCTGTCTTGGATTAAAAAATCCGCGAATACTTTTCTGACTAGTTGTCGGGAGAACGCCGGCAATAGGTTCTTTCTTCCGCCGTTTTGGATCTCGTTCGTCGATTTCATGAGATCTTTCAAGGTCCAAGGATATCGGCCTCCCTTTGTTCGTCATGCTGGACATGGACGTCGCATTTTGATTGATCTCACCAGGGGAGAGATTTTGAGTTGAGGACTGACGTAGGAACATATCTCGAATATTGCGACGACGGTTAAATTCGGGAATGAGCCTTCCAGACAGTGGAAGGTGGCTTCTTGATAAAGAATTTTCAGCTGCTTCAAAATCCACCGATGGATTCATGAGATTAACAAAATCGATTTGATCCCCATGCAGATCAACGTTTTCTTTAAATATGGCGTAGACAGGACAATGGTCAGACCCCTGAGAACTGTCAGCCTGGTAAAGTGCATATTGAAAGTTATTACCAACCATTAGTCCTTCTTGAATATCTGCAATAGACATCCAGTCTTTCATATCTAAACTACATAGGATGTAGTCTATTCTTGCACCAAAATTCCCAGGACGTGCATTAATTCTTTGCTCCCAGCAAGTGTACATGCCGCTTCTGGCAGGGAAGAATGATCTACACATGTCCCATAATACCGCGTCCTTTTTGTCAACACCTTCGATGTGCGAAACTCTCCCACCTTCAACTAACCGGTTGAAAATAATGCGAGCCGGCGACGAGAGAAATTCATCGGTTGTCAGCCTGCTTTTCCGAATTTGCTCTAATGCATGCGCAGAATCAATCGCATCCCTTGAAATATTTAAATCTCCTGCGACGACAACCCTCTTCCCTAGGAAAATCAGGTTCCGGATACGATGATCGAGCGCATTTAGAAATCCTAGTCGAAAGCCATCTCGCGTTTCATCTCTGTTTGCAGGACAATAGACACCGAGTAGAACGAAGGCAGGAAACTCGAGTATCACGCAGCGACCCTCTGAATCAAGAGTTTCCGCACTTACCTCTGAGGTTGAGAGTTGCTCATCTGTCGGGTACCCGCCAATTTGCTGGGACTCTGGGAGTTCCCGGTACGAGGACGTGGAATTTGGCGGACAAAGAATACCGGTGACACCTTCTTCGGCATATATAGGCGAACAGGTGGCATTTCGGGTGTATATTGCCACCCCGGAGTATCCTCATCAGTCAGTAGAGGGGAAACCCAAACAGCTGAAGAGACTTACCTTTCTTGTACTTTGGCAGACTGAAAAAGCAATCCCAGCCAGGAACTAATACCATGTCGTCCCGTAAATCTTTTCTCTGAATTTTAAGCTCCTGGAGCACAATGATGTCTGCTTCAAGAAGATCGAACATTCCCTAGCAGAGTTAGACAACGAGAATTAGAATGATACTGATGTGCCATATACCTGAAATGACTGTGTACCTCGCCATGGTTCGTACGAAAATGGATTCCTAGCCCGGGATTAGCCCGGTTGAGTTTTAAGCATGAAGGAATCACATCTACGGACCGTATGCCATTGACTTGACAAGTAAGTTAGCAGCCCTGTGTTCATCGATGGCACCTTTAAAACATACCATTCCAGGTCGTCAGGCGGAAAGTCATGACGCTGACTCTGCCACACTTGATTCTCTTTTAATTGCCGGATATCGGTGTTCTTAGCTACCTAGTTAAGACTAGGAGGAGTTTCGGTTCTTTGAGCCTCTGACAACCGACTCCTGTGCGCCATACAAAGTCCGGTGTCCAAACCAACAGCACTTGAACCATGAGAAAAAAAGATTCTTATTATTCTATAAGGAGAAAAGGTACAAGGTCAAGAGCTAGTTAGCTGTTGGTCGCCCGTACCATGAAATTAGGGGAGCTAGATGGACAATCAGGCAGGTCGTGTTCAGGCCCGTACTTCGTGTCAGGACCTCACCAGAGCAATAGAGTCGTCAGTTGGTATTATTAACTAACCAAGCCGAAGGTCGGTATGTTATCAAGGTTGCAGGTAGTTAGGCAGTTCGTTAAACAAGTTAGTTATAACTAGTTAACTTAGTTAGTTAACTTAGTTACTTAACTGACTTACCTGACTAAGTCGTCAGTTAAGCTAACCTGTATCTAGTTAGTTAGTGCATGTGGTGGTATGATGTTCCGAAATTCCAACTTCCCACCTCCGAATATTATCGTCACTTGCGCTCGTCTTCGAATTCGCAGTCGCATTGTTTCAGGACATTGGACTTTTTCATCAAGGCATCATGTTTTCTCAGCGAGCTTTGCTCCGAACCCCTCACCGTCTTCCTTACCATGTCAATGCCTCTTTTCGCCGTCGCTTCGTAAGCACGGACGGGAAACTGTCGGGGGTTCCGGATAACAAATTCAATCGCGAAAGAGCAGCAGTTAAAGCGCATGCAGCTGCTACTAGTGGTGCGCATTACATCGGAAAACGTTAAACGTTCGATCCTTACTGACTCTGCATTTAGATTTATGGCGGAAGTTATCAATCTAGTATATCTCACATCCCCGATTGCAAAGCCTCTTCCTCGTACTGACAGACAAAAGCGTTGTTATTCCGGCTTTAATTCTTGGCTCCATCAATGCGTATAACTTGTGGAATGAGCATTGGGAACATTGGGATCATATGCCGCCACTCGAAGAGAGGGTGGAGTACCCTTATCAGAACATCCGCTCGAAAAACTTTCCTTGGGGTGATGGTGACAAGGTTTGCACTGTCCTTTCCACTTTCTCAATTGAAGAAGCTAGCTAACAAAATTCGATGTAGACTTTGTTGTAAGTTTATGCCTTTGCTTATGATGGTGAAGAAGTTATTTTGCTTCATGGAGCAATTTCTCGTGAGTGTCTGGCTGACCATAGTCCATAGCTGGAATTCAAACGTGAACTACCACAACAAAGACAAGGCTACATAAGCATTGGTGCTGTGCAGCATGATGCAGTTGGTGGACACCATTGTATCCCAGCAGGTTTATACATATGTAACTCTATCAGCAGTAGTATAAAAGGTATACCAGAAAGGCCCATTTGGTCGCTTTATTACTAGGAGTCAGAAGTGTGTCGTATTTAGCTATATTACATTTCAAACAAAAATAAAGAGAAAGAGAACATATCCAGTTTCTCAAGGATAAGACTTGTCTCAAAGCAATGTCACTGTATTGATAGCTAATCAACCTCTTTGCTTTTTGGTGTGTTCTGATTAATCCTTGAATTCCCAACATTGATTTCCGTCGCCAATACCCTTCCATCCTAGTCCATGAGACCCTATCGTAGTAACGACGCGACCATTATCTAATTTACAAAGAAGTCGAGAGCACGGATTGATCTCGCGACCAGAAGGACATCCACAGCATCTAGAGCTTGGCCGTTATAGTCTATCTAAATAAATTGGAGGCTATCGACTGTGGGTAGTTGGCAGCTAGACAACGGAAGTTGGCCGGGTTTAGGGTCGGCTTAGTAGAGACACCGTTGCAGGATCAAGGCGGCGCGCTTCATTCACCGACTCTTGCAACACCCGGACAGTCCTCTCGTCAAGGGGGAAAAGAGTACCATTTTTCATGCAGGACCACGTTGATTTATCCTGGCTCTTTTCCCACTCCCCATCTAGCATCCAGACTTCTGGAAACCAGTATTCAGCATTATTTCCCATCTTACTTTTCAGCAGGCCTCCATTAAACCATAGAAGTGCATCGTTTTCGTCGGTGTGAGCGATATGAAAGGAGCACACTCTAGTGACGCCGTCAATTTTCACGGTTTCCCCGAGAATCGCCGCATAATGGGATTCGAAAGTATAAGGCACATCGCACAATTCGAATGCAAGCCACCAGGACTCCTTATCACCATAACCCATGAGATAGGTTACTTGGGTCCGGACATCTTTCGTGTTTTGCCATGCTACGTGTAGGACGCCCATAAGGGTAGAAATTCGGGCTTTGTCCACGACAACCAAGCCAGATTCGCCTTCTTCTGCGTAATTCTCATTGTGAACCCGTGACGATCGGAAATTCAGGCTCGGTGAGGTATGTTTCATTTGCTCCTGCCACCAGGCGTGTCGCTCCGGATACGCATTTTTCCAAAGTAACCTATCATGGAACAATAACAGTCCAGTCTTTTTGAAACCGTTATGGCTATCCAATATTTTTTCGGGCTCCTGAAGTAAAATAGAATCCGAGTCCATGAGGATCACCTGCTCAAACCTACTAGCTAGGATTGCGAACGGTTTTATGGCCCACGTTCCGATCGACAATCCCACTATGTCATCGTCAAAATATGAAGTGACGTCCAGTAGATAAATTTCGGGAGCCAAAGAAGATAGGAATTGCCGATAGGCTAGCGGTAAATCAGATTCACCTGCATAAGCTATTTCTATGGGGATCTGGGAATTCAAGACATTTCGGATTGATCCCACTAAATGGCAAGCAAACCGAAAAGATGACGTGCCGACAGGAACAACGATACCTCTCGAACCCGGTACATGTCGACGTAAAAGTGATAGGAGCGGCTGCTTTTCGACGGGATGTCGAAGAAACGGAAATAGGGACAAAGCAAAAATTTCGATCGCCGTCCAAACTGCAATATCGCCCGAGGCATTCTCTACCCAGTTTTGTAGAATTTGGATACGTCGACCTGACTCTCCGAAATTTGTGTAGTTCAGAGGGAAGTCTGCAAAATAGGTGGCAATCACATCCAATGAAACAGAATTAGGGGATAATTTTAAATCAGGTAAACTTAACCGATTGCTGGAAACTAGAAATGGAAATAAAAAAGAGAAAGGCGTGAGTGAGAAGAGGATGATCAATACAACTAGTGTGGAGGCTCGAATAAGATGAAGCTTTTGAAACAGCGGAAAAACAGGGATAAAATCCATCATGTGCAAGAACAAGGGAGGAGCGCAAGGCACCAAATGATCAACAGAGAATCCATGGCATCAGTTTCTCACCCCTGTTAACAGGCGCAGGATGCAGTTTATATATAGCAGCCATGGAAATCACATCTGAGTCGGGCATCTGACAAAATTCCTTCCCAACCAATCGCCGAGAGGTCTTATGAATCAACAAGCGCCCATCCAGACTCTGGGGATTTACAAGAGTGAAAGGCAGCTAAAAGTATTGGGTACAACTTTGCAAGTGCCACGTAGTTTAGTGACTCTCCACAGAGTACCACGCTTCATTCTTCAGAGATGAAGCAAGGCGCAGCTTCAGTTAAATACAATTTGCATTTTGTCTGGCAAAGTTTGCCAAGAAGAGCTGAGAGTCAACCAAGAGCCCAATCCTGAGGTAAAGGATAAAACACATAGGTCAATCCTGCAAGAGCTATCCCCCGAAAATTGTAGGAAATGGTTGGACATGCGTGTCATCAATGTAAGGCATATCCATCCAACATATGTATGTTGTCGCCTTCATCTATAGTAGGCCCATCTATCCCAGCTTGGTATCTTTATCCTTGATGGGTAAATCCGATCCTAATATAATATCGAACTAGGATTTTAGGCGCCTATAAAGCCTCTAAACGAAGATAGGCAAACAGTACCATACCTGCAACCGATTTGTACTGGCCCCGGATAAAATCCGAGATCTGTTCATCCTTGGCTTGTTCAACTGCGCTTTCGTTATCCTGCTTTCCCTGGCCCATGAATCGTTCCTGAAGAAAGTCGACCCCTGAGCGGAATAGTTCTGTGTTAGACTTCATGCCTCAATTTCTATAGCATGGACGAAGCAGCCCACCTTTGTCGAGCATATCTTCACTCTTCTCGCTCTCGCGGCCACCTCCGGCTGCGGCATTGAGCTTGTCACCTATACCCGAGAACATGCCGCCTTCTCCACCGGAGCTGCCGCCCTGATTTTCGCTCTTACCCTGGCCCCCAAGTTTATTTACGAAATCCATCGCTGAGCTTCCTCACAGCAACCGTGAGGGTGTGCGGTTGATCTGTGGGGTAATAGGTTAACCGAGCTGTGAAGATATATAACAGTTGACCTGGGGAGACTAGGTCATCAGCTTGAGATTCGAAAAACGCACGAGGGGAAGACAAACGAGGTCGTCTTTTATATCAAACATTCCCCCGCTTTGGTAGGTTTGCGGGTTGCCACTCCGCGTAGGTATGACGTGAGTGAAACATTGAACCATGGTGATTTCAAAGTTGGCAGATCCGTCCATCAATGCTACGATTCGCCAACTTGAATACGGGAGGTGTGCAGACTTCGACCAAATCAGCTCGCCTCAGTTCGAGCCCCGCAGCCTTTGAGATCCGGATGGCACACCCTATCGTAGTGTGACAGGGAATCGAACAAGTGTTTCCAAGAGGCAATGCACATTGGACGATCGTCCATATTCCATCCAGAGATCCCCGGTGGCAAACCCTCCGACCTCGTCGGAAAAGCGACGATCATCAAAGCCCCACGCCTTCTGCCAATTCAAGTTGTTCAAGGTGCTTTGGGGTGGGACCTCGAAGAATCCTTCCCTGGATTTAAGGCGGGATACTGCCCTTCAAGAATGGTCGACGGCCGCAGCGGGAATCTTTGTTTTGGCGCAACGCATTCGAGGATGGGGACGGGTTGGAGACTGGAGAGGTCGCTGAACCGGTTAACTAGTTGACCACTGCTTGGTATCGACATGACAGCCTCAACTGAATGTCTATCTCACAAAAATCGCCCCGGCAATCCTAATTGAGGACGAGAGTCTGCAAACACTCACGGGCCATCCAGAAAGGCTCACGGGTAAAAGGGAGAAATGTATAATTTCTATCTGATTGATCGCCAAAGCTGCAATGCCCATCTGCGTGGCCTCCAGGCAGACTCCCACTTCCCGTACTCCGGTAGCCTCCACTCCCTGCTGCACGTGTGAAGAGATTGGCTAGTTATCCATGTCGGGGTTCAAGATACCGTAGCAGGTCGGCTTGCGGAGCGAGACAGCTTTCGCTGGGGTTGATGAGCTAAGTACCTGAATGGCATAGCGTTTATCCTGTATAAAAATGGGTCCAAAAATATATCAACAAGCATGATGGTCTTTGGGTAGATTTCGGTGTAGCAGGCTTGCTTTTCACCGTGTATGATAGTTCTAGACGCATGCTCCGAATATGCCCGTTCACACCAAAATGAAGTCAAGGGCTAAACGCACAGCCTTCGACGGGCGGCCAAGTGACAGGGCGGAGCTCCCGCCGTCTTGATACATTCTATCGGCGTGCTGGCTGAGCCCCCACTGTTCGTGCGTGTAGATATGGATTTGGACCGTTGATAATCCACTGCGTTGTACAGCGAGATTTGTCCAGAGAATTCAACCGGTACGGTGGCCTGGGAAGGTATATTGAATAGATTTAAACAACATTCAAGAGCTTTCCGGGGAAAGCTATTCCGTTCGGGTTGATAACAATGTTTGATCCGCCAAGTTAATTCCTCAGCTGCTTCAGGGGTGCGGGTATGACTGGAGATTGAGCAGCTGGCGTTCTGACCGAGTCCTTCATTTTGAGAATCAAAGTCCGCATGTGTATACGTATACAACGTACAACCGATGGGCGGCAGAGATTTGTCTGTCAATGGTTGGTAGAGGTACTTCATCGTCTTCTGTGCTCGACTGAAAAGCTCCTCGAGATCGATGGCAATGTCATTCCTGGTTATTGGGATTGGTGTCTAATCCGTGCTGATCAACGTGCATTAAAACCCAGCCGACTGGAAGAAGAAGGCAGGCCCGTAAAATTCTTCCTTTCGATTTTGTTGCTATGGGGTTCACAATAAGACCTCCATATAACTTGGATAGATACTAATCATGGCCAGAATCGAAATCTGGGAAGAAAAAACCACGATAGTAGGAATTGAGCTCGGTTCCAGGACTTTGTCAAAGACCTGGAAAACCTGATTTGCATACGACAATCTGAACATGAGATTGTGCTATGTTGGGACACAATAATGGAGTGTAAGGAGTAATAGCTGATCAAAGACGGCATGAAAGTTATATCCACACCTTCGAGCAGCAAAACGGAGCAGCAAATTTGGCATCGAATTTTAGTGGGACTTTGCTGTATTCCAAGAAAAATAAAGAAGGCAGAAAAGAATCTGATGATGCAATACACACCATCTCCATCAAGTGAGATATGCGAAAAATAGCTCGCTATATTGCTTCGTTTGACCTTTCAGTGACACCACCAATACCCCTTACAAGAGCATCGGGGTGGATGCCGGTGTTGCGGATGCACTGCTCTGTGCTTAAATTCCATCGCAGTGTATGTGAAGGCAATTTTGGCTATCACATCCAGGTCAAGTCATGTAGACGGTCATCTCAATTTGCACGTGGATGCGGAGACTTCTCGATAGTTTGATTAGCAATAGAAAGCTCAAGGACCGTTCGCTGATGAACAAATCAAATGAATCCGAATAACTCGCAGAACTGCGAGTAGGATGATCAATAGCGCAAACCGATTCCAGGAACCCTGCACAGCTGGAGAAGCCGTGGGCAACCTGGGTATCATATATGTCTATCAATGGTAATATCCTTCGTATCCAACAGACATCCCTGATTATGTACCTTTTCGGATGGAGCACATAATGCGATCATGCGGATCTCTGGATTTAAATGTACAGCGTGGGGATAATAGCTCTTGCACCCAAATCTAGGTAAAATTCATCGAAGCCCACATTATTCACATTTTCATTATTAAAACATTGGATCTGAACTATGCTGCTAGGGTGGGAGAGGACGTGGGAGCCGCCTTGCCCGGTCTTCCCGCTTGAGGAGGTAGGAATAAGGGAACGTAGGTCTTGCGAAATTGCATTAGCTTGCTGGAAATCGTCCATTTGCCGTGGTAGATGGTTCCGTGCTGCATGTACACAGTATGGGGAGTGAAAAAGGGATAGAACACATACAACAATAACCGCCATAACTGGAGTAAAACAAAAGCATTAGCCAGAATGTTTTGCATTAGCTTGGTATACTTTATTTTCACTGTAAACATACCAGACATGATTACTGACAAGTAGCCTGGTGTAGATGAGTTCTTCTTCTGCTCTGGAGACTCTGCCATCCAATTTTGGAGTGAAAATACAACCGACGTCCTATATAGCATGTGTTGGAGCCCGTGGGTCAAATGAGCACACGGTGGATTATTAACGCACCATCCGATCATCCTAAGCACAGTACAAAATATCCTTTAAGTACCACCATCAAGAAAGAGACCGACCGTTCCTAGAATCAGACTCGGCCCTGGGATAGGGAAAAGGAACGCACCTGCTTCGCGTAAACATCTGTTCATTGTGTTAGCGCTAACCTTGTAGGAAAGGATTGGATCTCTTCCGGCTTCACTTACCGCCGCCATGGGCAATGTGCTTGAGAGGGCACCTTAAAAAGATTAGTCGTCAGACGATTCTAGCGACGGGAGCTGCATGAGGGCAACCCACTGGCCATGTCGCCATCCTTCTTCTTCGACGCCGGGTCCACATACGGTACGACTACCAATTCGATATCAGCGGATTGGACGGAAGAAAGAGAAAGCGAGATTCTGGTAGAGCATGGAAGTGAAACATACCCAGGTCAGCTCTGCGCATATCCTTCTTGGTCGCCATCTTGACGAGCGTCAGCACATTTGACGGGTTCTTGCTTGCCGACCGGAGCTCAGGAGGTACGTTCCCCAAGTTACCCCCTACAGCAGAGCGAAATTCCACGTGACCGTGATGTGACATCAGGCGGGCAAACAAAGCAAACAAGGAAGACGACAACTCTAGGATGCGCATGATTGATTCAATGACTTAAACAGTATACCCGGTTGCACCTCATGCTCAACATTAAGAGGAGGTTTGGAACTTCTAGTTGACTGAATTTGGCCTATTTACAGCACATAGAACCGAACTCCATGCCTCAAGCTCCTATTTACCCCAAAATTTACAAGGGATGCATCCTTCTTGACAAGCAACTTTTATCTCGGCTCTTCATCTTGAATTTATAGAGAGGTAGTTGCTCACTTCCCACAGCTCCTCTCTCCCATCGGTTTCTGTGCGCAAATTGAGGACCTAAACGTAGTATTTGCTTAACAAAAGCGCCTGAAAGAAGAAGGAATAGCAGGACTTACACTTCAATGTATAGGTGGACGTTTGGATCTTCTAGAGCCTCCAGAACGTCACGGATAAGATGGCGCATGTCAACGTATGACCACTACAGAACACGGGCGTTTTAGCTGGGAATTCAATGAACAGGTCCGTAGTGAATCCAAACTCACCCTCAGCTCTCGCATAAACGGCATGATGGTCCAACCATCAATGCCAGCCTTAATCTGTTCCAGATTCAGCTTCCCTAAGGCCCTCATTCTAGGGTCTTCCGACCATGTACCGACAGGTACTTTGTGCTTTTTTTCTATGGTGTTGACGAATCCCGCGTTCAAGAGATGGCCCCAAGCTTGATCGGCGACCTGAAACGTCTTTCCGCTTATCTCGCCGGCCCGAAGCATACCTCGCGACCACCGTCTGAGTGGGTGATCACAGGGCAACGAGTCATTATCCGACTTGAACTCAACTGACATCTCTTGTTGGTCGACCCACCCTCCAGGTCTTAAATGCCTGGGAATCCGGACGAGAGAAAGTTAGCCTTGCTCCTCAACGGCAATAACGTCGACGAGGATCCAAGTCTCGGGTAAAACGTACCTATATATTGAGGCATAGAGACCGTGCCAATCTGTGACGGAACCGTACATCTGTCGTATATGGACGAGATCAAAATAATTTGGTGGATAACACCACTTATCACAGACATCGTCAATTATAAAGTTGCAGTTACTGGGAAGATTATTTGGCTGGATTGCGGAATAGTCTATGCCCGTGACGTTGGCAGATGGATATTCATCCGCAAAGTCGCTGTAAGAATATTAGATTGAAATAACAAAGGCCAGGAGAACCCTTACACTGCCCAAGCACCATTTCCAGTCCCAAGATCAATGACCTCCTATTGTTATGCATTAGTATACAGTTCAAAGAGCGAAAGTGACGGTGATCCACTAACCCTCACGTCTTTGGAAATGGGTGCATCCGCTAATTTTCCATCGAGTAGATCATAGAACATGTGGTGTCTGACAAGGCACATCAGTCTCAATGAACTCTTCCCTAAAAAAATTCGGTTACTTACGCAACGTCCATCTGGTTTTGTTGAACATCGTCGTTCGGCGCCCTGAAAAGCATCAGTGGTAGCCTTTTCAAATTTGCCCAGTGGACACTTACCAGTATTCTCCCTCTTTATAGGCGTTATACCGCCGGCCATAGTCGTATGGATAGTCGACAAATTCCGAGGCCAGGGCCGTTGTCGTGCTCAGACTGGGATCACACCAAAATCCACTAGTTAGCAACGCATCCGGAAACATTTAGATTGCTTTGAGGGGCCTTTCTCATGACTCACGTGTCGTCTTCATCATAATCAGAACCAAAGCAAGGATCCTTGGTGACCAGTCAGCCATGTACTGGCCTTGAAGGCATTTACAGACTCTCTAAACGAAGAGTTCCGGGGTACTAACACAGGTATCTGGAGCAGACACATCAACCATCGTGACCTCCCTTGACAGCTCCGTATGAATGGTTTTAACGGGACCCGGTGAAGCAACACCTGGACAAAGAGGAAAGTAAAGAACCCCGGAATCAAAGGCCAGGGCAGCCACATATAAGTTACGATTCCAGTCATAGACAATCCGGGGTGGTTTTTGAGATCGTTGCACAATGGGATGAGCCATTGTGGGTTACGCTTTGTATAATTTAAGAGAATGTCAAAGTCCAAAGGCCCTGAAAGACTGCACATAGATGAAAGAGATGCACAGGCTCGGCAGTACTGGACCGTGGGATGGACCCGGCGTGCTTTTTATCCCTTTCCTCGTGGGCAGAACATTGCAGGAGAAAGTATCTCGTACTCCGTACATAATGTTGCATCATGCACTGTGAGAAGGTAGCAAAAATGGGATAATGCATTACTTATCAGATAGGGTCATCCTTTGAGCCCGAGTCAAGGCGACTCATCTTTGCAGTAACAAACTAAAAAGGGAAGAGGACGGAAGGAAAGAAAAAGAAAAACAAACGCAAAACAACCAGGACAAAGAAGACGACGTTGCATCGGAGAATGGCTGCAGGGGCCGAGAACGATTATTATCCTGTCCGCTGCCACGTTCCACAGCCGAAGCGCTTTTGGGACAGTGAACTATATACATACGGGCATGCACAGAGCATGTATGTAGCTATCGTCATTTGCACTGATTGGAGTCCCGACAGAGGAGGTGATATCCGCCCTCGGTGACTAACCGACCCGGGCGTCATACGGCCGATCCCCAGCTTTTGGGACAGAAATCAGATCCTTAGTTCATGAGCAATGAACTGCCGCCTAGGCTCAGAGCGGCTTGGGTTGGTGTTATCGACGTGCCTTTCCCTCTGGCTCAATGGGCGGCTTTGGAATATATTCGTATCTGTCGAGCCTCGGGCTGCTATTCGCTTGCTCTCAAACAAAGAAAATTGATAATGCTGAACCAGCGGTTAGGCGTGGCGAACGTTTGGGAATCGAGACTGGCTCCCGGGTCAAAAGAAGAAGGCTTAATTTTTGGAAGCAAAACGAAAACTGTCGCTGCGTGTTTCCTGGTTCTTGGAAGTTGGAGCCGTCGGAGTTAGGCGAGTCTAATGCATTGGGTGGGAGGGAGGATTTGGAAGATTGTCCGTCCAGAACAAGCCTCCTTGTGCATGAGAACAAAGAAACTGGACACAGCTTGGCTTCGTGGCAACTGCACGCGCAAATCCCCATTTAAGACGAGTCATTCGTTGATTCTGTGATTGAGATCAAATTGTCTTGAATTGAGTATTGGATACAATCGTCTTATCATTATTGGATGTCATAATTTATTCCCATACCGAAACAAAGTGAGTTTTTGATCTAAATGCAAGTTTACCATGCCCATGGATTGCTCTCGCCCGACCTCTCAAGTGCTTCGGCAATGGGATCCGAGAGTGATCGAGTGTACGAGAGATTGAACGTCGTTCTGGTCCTTGAATAAAACACTGGGCAATCTTTACTGTCGCATTTGACTTCTTCACCCCACTGCACTCCCATACACGAACGGCAGACCTCATGTATGTTCGCAACCTTTTTTTCCGCCCGCTGGACTCTGTATCGCAAGCGCATGAGCGAAAGATGCGGACGCCGTAGACAGTGGTTGCAAAGGGCCTCTCCGTTTTCTAGCTTCTCCCGACACACCACACAGGACGAAGCCCTCATATATGACTCGAGAGTTTTCCGCAACAGGGTTCCGTCAGAGATCATGGCGTTGTCAGTGCGCCGTACTCGCTGATACTTGGGCATTTCATCATACCACTGTCGGATGTTGGCCCCTACCAGGTTGAAGATTCGTTCAAGGGGCGGAATGAGGTTCTTCGAAATATAGTATTCCGCGTCCAATTCCATTTGTGGGTCTTGAAGAAGCACTTCAGGCGCCACACAGCGGTCAATCAGCCTTGAACCCGGCGCACCCGAAATCACCACGTAGGGAATCCGTTCTCCATATTGTGGCTCTAATCTTGGATCCTCGAGCATCCGCTTGGCACTGATCAGCGCGCCCGGCGGAGGTGGACCCTTCTCGCTATATGTGCCCAACCTAACCTCTTTTGCGAAACAGAAATCCTGAATGGACACCTTGCCCTGCATAATTTTGGCACATTGCTTCTGAAAATATTTCTTGACTCGACTTAGATCAGCCGTTTCGAACAAAATTCTCAGCGCCTTCTCTTCAATCTTCTGTTCAGCTGGAGTGCCATCTCGGCGAACAGTTTCTATCCCTTTAGCGTCGAACTCCGGCTTCGTCTGGCCACGGCTCTCATATTTATAACCGACGTATCTTTTCTTAGCCAAGAGGACACACGGATGGTATACCTTTTCAAATTTAAGCTTCACAGGACGAGGATTCGAGGCAGTGATTTTTTGTGCGATTTCCTCCCCAATGTCAAATGCTTCGTCTCTGGTACGGCCCTTGAGATAGATGAATAAACTGTCAGTGTCGCCGTAGACGACTTCAGCGCCCCATCGTTCAACAGAATGAATCATTGCGATGGCCTTTTCCAATGTCTCCCGAGCAGTTTGGACAATGCTGTCGGCTATCTCTGCACAGGGCATCCGTCCTGAAAACGACGCAGAAGTATATCCATACGTCACGTTCGCAATCAACTTCAATGCAAGCTGTCGGTTATTCAGTAAGCGTTGCAGAGCCCTGTCCTCTTTATTAGCCTTCATGCCACCCTTCACCATAACACGAGTTTCCAGAATCTCCGTAAGCATCTTAGCCAAAAGCGATTTGCGGACTTCTGGTCTGGTGTACATGATACCGTTTGGAGCGATATTGATTTGGCTTTCAAGCAACCCTAACAAGCCTGGTTGCCTCTGATAGTCAATAAAGCCCATTTTATTTCGACCACGCCAATCGACAATCCTACCCAAGAATGTAGAATAACAATAATTGTAAGCAATCATAACACTCGGGTAGAGTGACTGAAAATCCAAAACTAAGAGCGGACTGTTGTAAAAATCGCTCTGAGGCTCCATAACTAATGGTAAACATTCGAGAGCGTTTTGTTGGCCAACTTGTGCTTTGCTTGGAGAAATCAGAATGAAGTTCTCTGGCTTTGCTATGCGAAACATGAGAGATTCTACTTTGAACTGAGAACCTCTCGAGAAGACGGAAAAGAAATCAATTCCAAGAATCCGAGCCTGTTCGCTCGTTCTTGAAATTAATTCATTTGCGTCAAGGATATCCAGATTGAGCCTGGTGCGGGTGATAAAGTAATTGACGACTTTCACTAGATTTCGAGGCTTAGTACTCTTGAACCATTTGGTTAAGTCATGGAACGGATAATGTGGTATCCTTTTATGAAGCAAATGAAACGCAACGTTCTCCAGAGTATACTGAATCAAGTTCAGTTCGCTTCTCATGGCTCTCCAAATATTGATCATGTGTCTGCCTGTTACCCGTATGGTTGAAGTGTGGTTGAAACCCCATCGATCGGATTCCTTGCCAAAACGTCCATGAGAATCGGTCTTCACTCGGGATAACTCATCACAAAGATCATAGTCATACTTGACCCTTGCACGTTCGATAAGATAACCCCAAGAGCCGTTGTGGACTTCGTAGCCTGTTAAGATATCCGGGTCATAATAACGCACAATGTCCACCAGTTTGGTGAGAACGTCGAGCTCTGAGGACTCTTCCTCTATCTCAGCATTGGTATCGTATCTGATTTTAGCTGCTATACTCTCAGTTTCTGCAACAGCAAGAACTCCGGTTTGAACCTCATCGCTGGGCTCGTTAACACCAAGCGATCGATCCCCGGACTGGATACACCAAAAGATACAAGATATCTCATCTTCTTCAGGATTGGGTGCCAGAGTGCATCGAGTATTCACATGTACCTCGAGACTCATAACACTCATGTAATGTGCCTCGTGCTGTATATTTCGAGAAAATTTCTTCTGAGAATATAGGAAGCCATGTGAATCTTTTTGGGTGGCTGCTTCGATTTGAGAAATCCCAGGTTGCTTTGAATTTGTTGTAGTAAAGGACTGAGGGCCAAGGCGCTTGGAATCCTGCTCTTTGCACCATTCAATTACCTCCGAACGTGATGGAGGCAGGGGAGCGAACTCCCAGCATCGGAGGGAACAAGCTTTTCGAAGCCTATCACTCTCCCTTTCAAGGGCGGCCTGGTCAACAACTACCGGAGGCTTGTCTCCATGAAGTAAGGGAGATTTTCCAGTTGGATCAAATGGAGGAAGATAGGGCACTGTATTGCTCTCCAATTTAAATTCCCTCCCTGCATATTCCCGTGACCGGTCCGGTACATCATCATCGTTGCTGTAATACGCGTTTTGATAAACCACGGATGGCCGTGAATCGTTGCTTATTGTCTCCCGAATTAGAGACGAAGAAGGGCAGGGAGAATGGAACGTGTAGATTGTGGCATTAGGCGGGATATTGAAAGATTCACGAAGGATTTTATCAAATTCAACGCCATCTGAGCGAGGTAACTGTGAAGTTTCACAGCTCGTGGTCTTGTCAGAGTTTGAATGAGAGTGAGGTGCAGGTAAAGCAGTAAGCGCTGACTTTGAACCGAACCCTGAAATAGGGTGAGATAATTTCACCGAGCCGCTTTGCTGGCTGGCTCGCGATATCGTGGCAGGGTCATTTGGATCCTTGACCACAGGAAACTGCAATCTCGAGTTGCCGTCACTCTTATTTGATTTTTGAGAAGATTTTGGCTGAGAGGAAAGCTCTTCAGCAGCAATATGCCATTTGCGTTCAACTTGGTCGGCCGGGCGCTGGGACAAAGTCATCTCGTTTCTAGGTGATTTCAAGATAGAAGAAGATTTCACGGGGTCGAGCATAAATCGAGGTCGTTTCGATGGCTGTGTATTTGCTGCGGTGGAAATTGAGCGTTTTGTCCTGTTGGATCCGATTTTGCTTATGAATTCATCGTCAATTTCGAAAAAATCTTCCTGGCTATTAATGATTGCTGACGATCGCCGGACTCCCATACTTGTCAACTCGGCATCCGTGATGTGTGCAGAAGAATCAAGGGTGTTATTTTCCTCATCTAATCTTTCCCTATTCTCCCTAGGCGTCCGAACATTGGCCAAATCGCCTCTTATTCTTGTCTCCCTAGTACTGTCAGGTTGTGGGGTACGCAGACCTGAACCGCTAGAATCTTCGTAGCTATTCGATGTATCTGGAAGCTGAAGCGATAGAATCCGTGCCTCATCAACTTCAATGCCGACCTCCACTCCTTCATCTCCAACATTGACAGGATCAAAGACGGCAGCTTGAAGCTTTTCGGGATATAAATCTTCCACACTATCCAAAGCCGACTGTATACTTGCTTCAAAGGGGTCGGATTGGATAAGACTGGCTGGCGATGGCTTCGCTCCGTTGTTCCGGGCTTGCTCCTTCACCACTATTTCCGCCACCCGAGCTCGAAACTCTTCTTCATGAATCCAACCTCCAGCTGCTACGTTTCGGGAGTCAGCTGACATGGAAACGAGGTCTGCTGAAGTAAACGGGCTGCTTTCAGAATCTGTAAGTCCCATTGCGGCCTTTCTCCGTCGCTTTTCGTCTTCCCAGAGACTAGCCAAGCTAGGTACCAATTTCGCGTCTGGAGGAATCGTATCTAAGCCCTCAAATAGATAGTTGTGTAAAGGGCGTTCCTTAATCCCAAGTCGATTGAGAATATCTTGAACGTGAACGTCAACTTCGAGAGCGCAATGACTTTGCCTTGGAAACGCCCCAGCATCCGATATCAGCGCTGGAGCAATGTTTTGATCATGCCATTGATGCTCAGAATCTTCTAGCTCACATTGGAGCGGTACTGGTCCTCGGAAGGTCACTTTCCTGCAGTCGATATACGCACATCCGTACAAGTTGTAGTCACACATCCACTGGGGGATATACTGCATATGGCTTTCATACGGCTGAAGAACCCGTTTCATTACAGCGCCTTGAAGCAAGAGATCCGCAAGTCGCGTCATATGTAAGGGGTTCAGCAAATATATCTTGAAGAAAAACTTATGCCCCACATGATAACCGTAAAAGGGTGTACCTTTCACAAGGCTTATGTGGGCGACGTAGGCAGTGCCAGGATCGTATGCATTTCGGCGGTAGCTAACCGCCAGGGCATGATCAATAGATACGTGTAGGCTACGAGTAGCAGCTTTGACTGCGAATACTTAGGCAAATGTTATTTCAAATGGGAAATTCGTCTTTCTAACCTTGTTCCATAGCTAAACTTCCACGATACTCTATATAAAGGTATGGGAATGCTCCGTGTATATGAGCGCATACTTTTTGTCCGGTCTCGGTGGCACCAAATACTCTGATAACAGGAACTTTCGGTCTCGTCCTCGCTGATGTAGGGCCATCGCCGCACGGAAGCTGAGGGTCCAGACACGTCGGCGCAGCTTGATAATGGTCAACACAGTTCAACAGGACGCGAAACGGTTCCATAGGCTAGACTAGGGACGTATCTAGGAACATCGGAGCTGCAAAGCCAAAATGCCATAAATACAAAAACAATCCCAAAGCCAATATCCAAACGAAACTTATCGATGAGCGTTTGAGCGTATGGACGTCGAGACGCTTTCTCGTGTGGCAGATGGCGACGCGTTCTGGAACTTGGAAACAGACCTGTCCAAGCGCCACTCACGTGATAGGGCGAATTCGCCATCCAGGTCGATATCCTTGGGTCAACCTTCAATAGTTATGGACTGCGCTCGACTACTTGCTTTTCGCGCCCAGTTGCAGGTAGGGAACTATTTTTCAATTTGCAGAGATTGTACAAGACGGTCGAACTCCCCGTGTACTCCATTGGTTTTTTATTTGGGCCAGCGAAACTGCGAGGATGTCACGAAGACCGACGGACGTGGCGTCGAAGGAGCGCAACGAATACATCCCATCCTTCATCTCCAAAAAGCCGTTTTATATCGATGACGAATCATCTGCAAACGACTATCTAGAGCATCAGCGTTTGCAGAAGTCAAAAGAAGACCAATCAAAATGGTACGATAGAGGCAAGCGGGCAGGTCCTGCAGCTACAAAATACCGTAAGGGGGCTTGCGAGAACTGTGGCGCGATGACACACAAGACAAAAGAATGTTTGAGCAGACCCAGAAAGCACGGAGCGAAATGGACCGGGAAAGATATACAAGCTGACGAGGTCATCCAAAACGTGGAGCTGGGCTGGGATGCCAAACGAGATCGTTGGAACGGTTATGATGCTAGGGAATATTCGAACGTTGTGCAAGAATACGAGGAGTTGGAAGTATTAAAGCGAAAAGCAAAAGAAGAACTTGAAAAGGGCCGGAGGTCGGAACCGGCTGATAATGATGAGGACGAAGGGGATGTTGATGGCGTGGGCGAGGCTAAATATGCTGAAGAGTCTGACATGGGAAGGAAACAAAGCACAGCCACCCGGAATTTACGAATTCGAGAAGATACTGCAAAGTATTTGCTGAATTTAGACCTTGACTCTGCCAAATACGATCCAAAGACCCGTTCAATGGTGGATATGGGTGCGCAATCCGACCAAGCCGCCGCTCTTGTTGCCGAAGAGAACTTCATGCGCGCCTCGGGCGATGCTGCTGAATTTGAAAGGGCTCAACGTTACGCTTGGGAGTCGCAAGAGCGTGGGGACAAAGATAGACAGCATTTGCAGGCCAACCCTACACAAGGAGAGTATTACAGGAAGAAACAAAAGGCAGAGATGGATGCCAAAAAACAAGAACAAAGGAAAGCACTACTAGAAAAGTATGGTGGAGCAGAACATTTACAGCCCGGATTATTACACCAAACCGCCGTTACCGAAAATGAGCGTTTTGTCGAGTACGACGAGACCGGAGCCATAAAAGGAGAGCCAAAACACGCTGCGAAGTCAAAATACGCAGAAGATGTGCTGATCAACAACCATACGTCAGTATGGGGCAGTTGGTGGTCCAGTTTCAAATGGGGTTACGCCTGCTGCCATTCTACGGTGAAAAATAGCTACTGTACAGGCGAAGATGGCAAGAAAGCTTTTGCGGAAGCGGAGAATATGGTTCTAAATGAGCTTAAGAAGGCCCCTGTTGAAGAGCCTGCTGCAGATGCCGATGAAAAAGAGAATAAATCTGTGGTCACTACACTAAAGAAACGAACTCTGCATGAGATGCAGCAAGGAGTGACAGAGGAAGAGCTCGAGAACTATAAAAAGTCTCGACAAGCTGCTGATGACCCCATGGCTGCGTTTCTCGGAAAAGACGAATTGGTTACTTGACCTGGCGAACCCCATAACATAAATTTGTATGATATTCTGAAGCGTTCAAGCGAATTTGTAAATACAGTGCATTTACGATATCCAGAGCCGTTGCGTTTTAATAATGTGATTATTTTAAATTTTTACCCAAACTCCAGCCTAGCATCTCTAAAGGTCGCGCGTTCAGCCGGGGAAGGCCAATTTTAGGTCACGTGATTCAGGGCTTGAACCCTCCCACAACAATTCGCTTAGGGCTTCGAACTCTGGACTCAACGGCCTTTGCGACAACGACGACACGACCAGCGCTTCCAACGGCAATATCGAGGTACGTTCAATTTTCGCTGCTGCTTTATACTTAACGTCGGATTTTTCAGGACTGACTCGTTCTTTTTTGGCAGTAGAGTTCCTAATCCAAGATGAGTACGAGCTACCCCAGAACCACCGCGACGTCGAATTTGACCTCCGAATTACTTGAACTTCGAGATTACTGATTGCTTGATTAGCGAAGGGAACATCCAGCTTTGGCAAGCGCCACAACAAGACGCACACTCTGTGCCGACGATGCGGTTAGTCTTTCCTTTTGGTGATTCGAGAATACGCCGGGAAAACAAGAGGGGACGGAGTGAAGGACTTATAAAAGAGAGATTAAGATTCGTTCGATTTGGAGGCTGACACTGGGAATTGGTTTTGATCAGGTCGCCGATCTTTCCACATCCAAAAGCACACCTGTGGCTCCTGCGGTTATCCAGCTGCTAAGATGCGGAAATGTACGTTCAAATACACCACTCCAGGCATCCCAGTGCAGAAGTCGTTCCAAAATTGCGCGGGATGATTGGTGAAGGCCGGAGTTGCTCACTATGCATACAGATAACTGGGGTGAGAAGGCCCTTCGACGCAGAACCACCGGCACTGGTCGCATGAGATACCTTAAGGTCGTCCAGAGACGATTCAAGAACGGCTTCCAGACCGGAACCCCCAAGGGCGCTCGGGGACCTCAGACCGCATAGATAATGTCCATTTCGTTTTCTTCGGTTTCTAGGGGTATTTAGGAAAAGGTTTACCATACCATTTTCCATCATGAGGAGCGGGTAATTGAATCTTGCTGGGACCAACTAGCTGTTTTTATGAGCTTAGTTTGTTTTTTACGCGGCGTGGTATCCCGACAAATTCAATTTTATGATCGAATCTACCAAGAAGATCAAGTTCATGGACCGGAAAATGTGGAAATAAACGGAGTGCATGGGTCTTTTCTCTTGTTCGATACTGACAGGAATCCATTTTCGCCCGGAATGACAAGGACGATTTGGTTTCGCTAATACTTTTGTACCTTCTCCCAACTTGCCAACTCCAAGATTACCTTCGCAGGCCCATTCGACATAATTCATTTTCTCCTGCAGTGCGAACACTTTCCCAGCGGACTGCTATTGGATATTGATGGAATAACTTATGGTTGTTTTTCCTATGGTAGGCTCATTCTATTCGCCCCTCCCAAAAACTCGCACCGCGCCATCACCCTGAACGTAATACAACACTTCTTTCGGCTCCAAATCATAGTCTTCGCCCAGGTCCCGTGAGCTTGATAAATCCATAAACTGTGTACCCTTGTTAACCTGGAGCACACCACTAACGTCTCGAGCAACCCCGGTCTCCAGTCCTCTCAGCTGAATTACCATACGGGCCTGGTATGCCATCCCCACAACTAAAGTTGCGTGTTGCATCTCCAAAGGAGTTCCTGGCTCCTCGTAGTGGATAAGAGGCGAGTCAGCAGCCAATGTCACAAGCGTAGAGTGCACATGCTGCGCGAGTATCTGTTAGCTAGCCTGCTGTGTTTCCCTGAATACCTAGTAATCAGAGAGCATACCTGTCGCAAACTCATAATCATATCTTTTATCTCCAATGCGCCAACCCCTGCATCAGGTCCCGTAGCAGCCAGAAGCATATCCGGCTGATCGATGACAAGGAGTACATCTTCTGTGGCTGGAACTCGATCCTCTTCGCCGGCAGCGCCGTGTAAGTTATCAACGGCCGAGATGACACCTCGCTCTAGAGCTTCGAGATTTGCCATCTTAGACCAATGGAGTTTCGTCGGTCCACTGGCTTTTTGATGCACTGGAACAGGATGAGTGGCTGGGTGAGATCGGGCTGTAGATATGAAACGTGAAGCGTGGGCCGCAGGCGGTCTGCCGCGAAGAGTTGTAGGCACTGGTGCAGAGTGCAGGTTTTCAGAGGAGAAAAGCTCTGTAAGTCCATCAACAAAAGCAAACTTGCGTTCATTTGCGAGCTTGGTGAGATCAACTCCCTGAGTAAATGTCAACATCAAGTCTCTTCAGGCGGCTGAGGTTGATGCAAGCAAAAAAGAAATATAGCCGGTGCCTTAAGAAGAATGGACTCCTCTATCACCGGCGCGGTGTTAGGGAAACATAGATTTATCCAGCGAGCACCATAGAAGATAATTATACCTCGATATTCTCTCAATGTGCCTTAGTTCGGCACCACAGGATCATAAGAGAAACCTCAAAAAGGAGCAGTACACTTAACCTCAAAATTATAAGAAAGAAAGAGAATATCAAACACACAAGTTACACATACCAGCCTCTTAGCCTCTGTTCTCCAAAACTCCCATCCTCTCAAGAAGCTAATGAGAACCACCCTCATTGTTCCCTCTCTTCCACCTATGGTAACCCCCTCTCCCTCAATCCCAATCCCTATCTCAACATCCTCTTGCCATCTCCTCCTCACTGATAAGGATGAAGAAGAATAGAGTGCATCACATAGAAATCTCAACACAAGCCAATTGCTCGTTGTACCCAGAAGGGAGGTTATGAGAGATAAAGAGCGTGCTGGAGGTGGGGAAGTGTAGGGAGCTAGGAGAGGTGCTGTAGCTGTTGGCATGTGGGGTATATTTTGATTGTTTTTTATTTAGATAGTTGATTTTCTCTTCCTTGTTTAACCAGCATTCAGATATATATTCAATACTGTCATGTTGGATCCGATATCAATAAAAATCAAACTTTGTGTTGCTGGGATGCATTGAGGTCAGAAATTTTGACGAGCGCAAATTTGTGCCTGTGTGTGTGAACGGGGGCGTTTCTTCTCTACCACGAAAAGCTCGCAGTCTTCACTACAACACACTTGGCGAAATTCCTCGCGGTTACACATCACCAATTAGATGGAAAATTTCAGGGTTATAAAATAAGTCTAGTCCAGGAATTACAGTCCATCATGCAACCATCCACAACGTGATTGAACAAGTCCAAGTCTACGAAGCATGCACTTCCGAATCGCCCCTAACCTTTATATTTCATACTCGGTGGTCTCAAGAAAGCCAAACCAACTAGTAAACGCGTTCCCAAAGTGTTCACATGCCAAGCAATGCCTCCAGCTCATCGATCGCCGACGGCTTGATCTCCCCTTCTTGTTCAATAATGTCTTCCACTTCATCATTTTCCGGCAGAGGCTCTTTTTGAAGAAGCGTTGAGGGATGATCAATTAGATCATTATCTGCCAACACCTGCCCATTTTCCGTGAGTTGTGCTCTTGTTGGAATTAGCTCGGAAGTTCGCTTTATGTTTGGGTCAGTTGGTTGATCAATAACGCTCATCAAATTCATCATCGAATCCAACGAAGTCGGTACTGGGGAACCTGAAGTGGAGAGTTCTTCACCAAGGTTGATAAGCTGACTTGACCCTTCAATAGTAGGACTCCTGTTTCCCAGGGGAACTTTGGCAAGATCATCAGTCTCTCCTGGGGATGCCCCAGGTCTATCGAAAGTTGCGTCGAGGCCAGTCCTAGGGTCATAGTTAGGACCCTGAAACAGTTCGAGCACTTCTCCAGCATGTTGAACGCCACCTGCGGTCTCTACATCGCGTGTACCGGATGAATTTCCATCGATGCCGTCTTTGCGCTTTTTGAACGAAGCTTGACCAGACCACAAACCTACTTCCTCAAGACATGCGGGGTCGTAGTGTTTATTGACAATCTTCCCGAGAACGGGTTGGAGCAGCCATGGAAAGCTGATCAACGGCAGTTTCTCTTCATGCTCTGACCATGGGCTTTGATCATCGTCTTCGCCGCACCTTGCCATTATCTTTGCTAGTGCTTGCGTCATTTCATTGCAAGTGACTTTGTACATTGCAACGGCAAGGGGTGCTAGGTGCTCAAAATTTTTACCACCTGCTTTTTCACAGCAAAGGTTACGGAATCGTTCCCGGAGAGCACATGAGATTTGACCAATCTCTTCATGGAACTTATAGTCCTTGCTCATGTTAGAATGGCTTAGGACAAATGTTGACCATACTTCGAACTCGGTTTTAATCTCATGTTGTGCCATGATCCTGCACATATCGGCATCGTATAGCACCTTTAACTCGGCAGCTACAGCCAGAAGGTCATCGTTTACCTCAATACCACTATTCAGAATCCGATCGTCGAATGGTGCTTCAAGTTTTGGCCTATAATTCACCCGTTCCACAATATCATATAGCTTCCCCAGAATCTTTTGCGAAATATACTGGGCGTCCTTTGGCTTGTGCTTTTTCTCCATAAAGTGTGGCCATTTGCGAGGTGCCAGATCTTTCGTCATTTTGGCTGGAATCCCAGTTTTGTTGTAATCAACTGCCGCAGAGTGCAATTCCGCTAGCCTTATGCACTTTGAATCGTTGACACCTTTCTCCAAATAATCCGCCCATGCCAGATGTGAATGAGCAATCTGGGCAAGACGATCGTTCTTCATGTATGTCACGAAGAAAGAAGTGATATCATTGACAGTGACATCACGAGATAGACGAAGAGCTTTAACTGATGGTGCATAATTCATTGGCTGTTTGAACCAGTCTTTTGGAAGGAGATCTTGGTCCCAAATGACCAGGTAATCATCACCATCCAAGTCACCACCCGAACACATGCTTGGGATATCCCTATCTCCTGTCTGTGGGAATACAATCACATCTCTAAGATGGTGTAGGGCGGGTGCATTGACAGCTTTTACGACCCGGATGTCGCCCGGATGCAAGGACGGATTTCGGGCAATTATGCAAGGTCCCTCGATAATTTCATATTTCCCATCATTATTGGCGCGTGAAATCTGAACAAAAATCTCAGGAAGGCAGGCGAGCCTTTCTTCGTAAGATGCGTCCTTAGAAGGAATGTTGTCATGAAAAAAGCCTTTGAGTGTCCCTGTTTCATCGAGGCAGCCGAACAAGCAAGCGCCTTCTTCAATGATAATCTTCGCTTTCTCCTTGAGATATTTGATCTGCCATGCACGCCACAACTCGAGCAGTGAAGTGACAAACGGTTCTTTTGAACTCTGAAAGCCATCCTGAATCATCTCCGCCAACACAAGGGTCATTTGGTTAGGATCAATATACTTGTAAAGCAGATGGATAGCCTGAGTTTCACTAGTCATGGCCAATTCAAGATTTCCAAGCATCATCCTGAGCTTTTCAAGAAAGACTTCATCTGGCACTTCAAGGCTAGATAACACGACGATGAGCTGGCGGTTCAAACTTGCCATACAGAAATGCGAATGCCGAATGACTTCAAGCCCGTTATGTATGGCTGGAAACTTGTATTGACTCTTGCGAATATGAACTTGTTGGCGTTGAGCCTCTGGAGAAACAGTCAAGATTCCCTTACAGCCACCAAGTCTGAATTGAAAGACAGACGGAGGCTCCCCACATGGGGTTTTGATTTTGAATTCAGTCATGACCATTTGCGCGAGGAATCTTGAAATGCGACCGACGCCATCTGAGAACGTATATCCATTTCTTTGAATATCTTCTATCTCACGGATTTGCACGGGGCAACCGGTGACTGCCCGAGTTGTTGAAAAGCACTGACCAAGACGCGCAGCATGCCTTGCAATCTCCTTGATGTCACTAAAATGGCCCATCCACGCACGAATATTGGCAGCTGTCAGATGTGGTAAGGAAGCAAAGAAATAGGCCCCGTGTTCGCGGAACTGAGAGTTTCCAAAAGCGAGGAACTCATAATGCCGGTCACCGAGTGTGATGCCGTTCATCATTGTACGTTTAACGCGGGTAAATACCTCATCCATAGTATTGTTATGGCTCGGTTGGATCCTCCCTTCAAATTTCTCATCGGTGAAACGAACACGGAGAAATCGATCAGCGTATTCAATATAATGTCTTATCACGCGGTTTGTGATATCAACAGAAGGAGTGCCAAAATAGACCGTCGAAGGGGTCACTCGTGCCGTTCTCATATAGCAACAGTATTTTGGAATTCTGCGGCTCGTCGCTGGCTTGACAAATAATATGTCAAATATTTTCTTCGGGTCATAATACACATGCTTCTCACTTGCAACATGCTCCAGCAACTCTCTTGCTTTCGTTTCGCCAAGGGCAACAAGAGCAGTCACAAACTCTTTACCTATGGTATATTCGTTTAGAAACCCATGAGACAAGCAAACTTCCAGCTGGTATCTGACAGTAAATGGAAGGGGTGTATAGTCCTCTTCTACCAATTCTTGTAGCGAAGAAGTTCGTTTTGAGCCGCGGATAGGTGGATCAATCCACCTCCATGCTGGTATGGCTGCGGAATCCGCGCTGACCCCGAATGCTGGAGCATCCTGGACTTCAACGTTAAAGTCCGTATAAATATTTCGGAGTACCTCAAGCTTTTGAATGCTGGAATCATCAAGATTGCGGAAAGTCAGTCTAAAAGTCGTCCAGCGTCCTGACAAGAACAATGTTAGCCAAAGATCGCCAGCCTCGAAGGTTAGGACGAGCTTACCGATATTTATTAGAGATTGTGCCTTTCGCAAGCTCAGCGGCGCTTGCGCGGCTTCATTTTGGGAGTAAGGAATATCTGTTTGTCGGAACCAACAGTCGGACTCTTTCCACGTATTTTCGGTGTCAGAGAAAGTGACTGTCACGTCATTCAATCTCCTGTGATATATTGGCGGCGAGTCCAAAACAATCACCAATGATGAATCGCCTAATTCTTTAGTCCGTAGAACACGGGAAAGATGAACAAAGGGGATACGGAAACGGTAGCTGTAAATAAGGGGAGACCGTGACGAAAGACGGGGGTCAAAAAAAGAGAGGTTAAAGAACACAACTATTTCGCGACGATTGAGATCAACTATGAATCGAATCTGACCCATTCGGCTCGAATCAACGGTTCTGAGAGAAAGCATCATGTCTTTATCTATTAATGTCCCAAAGTCTAATTTCCCCACTGAGATCTCCTAGGAAAAGTTCAGTTTCACGTTGGTATCGCGCTCCAATATAAGCTGGTGACATACCGTTGTCATTGGGTACATTACCCCCAGATTTATAGGGCTTGGAATCTGGTTCGAAGGCTTCCTTGGGCTAATGTGCACCTGAAGCAGGCAACGCTGGCCATCGTCGAGCTCGAGAATGTGCCTTCGATCTGGGCAAAAGACTTCCCGCGGAGGCGGCCTGGGTACAAATAAAAATTTGATGTAAGAATAGACGGCATAAAATCAGTAACGTCTTGCAGACTCACCGAAACCGAATTTTCCCCCTGCCATCCTGCCTCCCTTTCGTGTCTTCGAATATTTCGACCCATTCGATGGAACCGTAGACTTTAAAGGACCGCCAAATCGTGAATGTGCTGATATCTTTTGGGAGCCCTGAAATGGTGACAGTAAGGGATTCCCAGGACGCCCAGCTTGCAAAGAGCCGAGAAGCCCGCTGTTGGTCTTCCATGCTGGGCATGGCGATAGGTTGGCGCTGACTGGGGATACGAGGACGAAAATAAGCCATTGTCCGCTGTTGAAGAGAAAATTGACTGAGAAACAGTGAAAATATGAAGGAAGAGTACTCTTGAAAGAGGATGGGAAACTGAGCAAGCTCAAGGATGAGAGGGGATTTAAGTGAGAAGACAAGAGGGGCTGCGGTGAGAGGAACAGAAGGGAAGTAAGGTGAATGTGAATGTTAGCACGGCATCAAGCGAAATCACACAAAGAACAGGCAAAGGGTGAGTTCTCTCAGCCGGAATTTTGCTCAGACTTACCCTTTCTGGCTACGAGCGCCCTCCCTAGCAATAGCCGCTGGTGCAGACAAAACCATCCGGCGTGCACAGGGAATGTCAACATCGCCCTGCACAGTCATCCATGGCTGGGCGATCAGACTGCAGCTGTGTTGCTGCAGATGCGGTTGTGGCCAGGGGCGTGAATGTCGCCCTTGCGCCAGGCCCGGGCTTTCCTTCGCCAACTTCCTTACTATCCCACCCTCTTTGGCCCTTCGAGAGCGCTGGCGCTTCTTCCGTCGGCTCCCTCCGCCACGATTTCGGCCCCACCTCGAAATTAAGGGTCCTAATGCTTGGTCCTGCAGAGGAAGAAAGAGTCAGCTTTATATCCGTATATACACACCAACACTGAGGTGAGCTGGTGTGCAAGTAAGGCCAAAAATTTAGGGCTTTCTGACTTATGTTTATGTGCTTCTATATGGAGGCATGTGCAGGATACACATCTTTGCGGTGTATTCCATAGGAAACAACTTTAAAAATACATAGCATATGGGAAGTGGAACTCACCATGGAAAATGCTGTCCCTGTCTCCTCCAAGGGTATGAGAATTTATATAGAGTCCCGCTAAAACACAGCTTTAAAATCAACGCGGTATTCCCACGAAGTTGATATACAAAGAGTAGAAAGTGGCAGTCAGACAAGGGAAATTATAGGAAAATCAGGGACGGAGGTGCCCTTTTAAAGGTAGTCCGAATTTGAAGCAACCTATTCCGGCTCCATTGAAACAAAAATGACTGGCCGCTGAGATTTCATCTCTTGCTTGCAGGATATGCAGTGTACGAAAACAGCAAACTTCCTGTGGGTGAAGCAAAAATAACAGGACAAGATCCAGCTGCAGGTTCCCGCTGGCTGAAACCCGCATTCCTATTCAAAGAACCAGAGGAAACCTGCATATTACTGAGGGAAATTAGCTATTTATTCACTGTCTCAGTAATATCAGTAGTTGCAACGTTGGAGAATCACCATCATGGCTTTGCGAAGAAATGCGAAATCCCCTGATATATAATGTCCAGGAAAGAACTCGTCACTATACAGCGTACTCGTTCGAGATTTTCATCTATGAAATTAAATTTCGGGATATTCTCGAAAATCGATTTTCCTTCGGAATGAACTTTGCTACGCCATGCAAACGGTAAGACCTAGTAACTACCAGGAAAGGAGATGATTGCTTCTGACCGGACCGTTGGTATCCAACTCGATCGATCAGTGGCTGCCTGCAAGTCGATGGGTATATTGGGCAATCCTGGTCCGTTCAGAATTTCGTCCACTTTCACGAGTCGTCGTCGTACTCCTTCGCCGTTTGGGACTCGGACTTGGCATGGCCGACGCCGTTGAGGCAAAAAGGCCGGCCGCCGTATAGCCCGTACATTCTTCCCCAATCCTCCACTAGATTGTCTTGAGTTGGCTCCCTCCGAAGATCTTGAAATCAATATTGGCCCCTCATAATATGCTGGATAGTTTTCACATCTGTAGTGATATGTTCCACGCTAAGATGAGGCTGATTGTTAACAAACCTCGCGATCAGCTCCGAAACCCGGATTGCTTTGTGCTTTAACTTTTCACACCTTTTTTTTTTCTTTTCTTTTCTTTTTTTTTTTTTTGCTTTCTTCGTACCTTGCGGTTAGCATTTCCATCTCAAATCTCATTGAAGGAATTGGCGTTTCCACGTGGAGGTTAGAAGGACAAAGCCCTGCCATAGTAATTATAACGTGCGTATAAACATGCTGATATGCAGGCTTGCCATCATCCGCGTCTATTAGTGTTTATCCAGGCTCCTTTCTCGCAACGGATTGCTCCCAAACTCCTCCGGGATTGCACGTAAGAAAGCTGAATCCAAGGTTTTCAGGCTCTTGTCGCATCAAAAGAATTGGCAAATGGAGAGGAACCAATGCGGCTTTTGGGATGTCGTTGCGGAGTAGTTGCAAAGTTTGCAATGGTGGCTTATCTCGGCAGATTGTTCATATGGGCACCCGGGTCGGGTAGGACTTTTGCGCACTCGTAGTGAAAATTTACCAGAATTCGTCCTGGCTGCATTTCAAGGCCAATGTCTCGAATACCGTAAATGACTCGGTAGAGAGGCCAGAAAGAGTCTTTCGTCGATGAAGTGTCATTTCCATCGACCTGGTAACAAAGTCCTGAAGCCTTGCAGGAATAACGAAAGAATTGGTAGTGGGTTGGACAAAATCGGCAAAAAGCCCTTCGACACACCGTCCAGATAGGATTGATACACCATCATTCTGGATATCTTGCTTCTCTCCATTTCGATCCGCACAAGATCCAAATGTTTTTTTTTTTAAGAAGATTATTCAAGAATCACCCATTCTGCGGTCAAAATTGCATCTCGAAATAGCTCCACGAACGCTTAACAGTAAATGTCAGAACCAGTGGTTCAAACCAACTAGACGAAGCAATTGCATGAGAGAAACTGTTCTCCATCTCGTGCCGACAGCTTACCCAAAGATATAAATATCCAGACTATATACGGCCACTACTCCAAGACATCCGACGTAGCAGATACAAGGAAATGAACCTAGCATGGTTTACAATCTGCCCACAAACGCAGGCGTTTGGAGGGATGCTCACCCGAACATATAGTATCATGGAGATCCTAGTCCCGGGCCATCAGCCATGAAAAGAATACTTTGGTGCCATACTCTCTCCGCCTTTCTCGACTCCCACTTGTCTTTGGAAGGAAACAGGATTGCCCCGGCTATCTCGATGCCGATAGCTGATGGGTATAGCACGTACCTTGAAATCAAACAGCTATGCCGCAGTTATGTACAGTACATACACAATGCAATGAATTTTGACTTTCGGTTTTTCACTGTCGTTTTCTTTCAGCATACGTGCTGAGCGAGTTAATGCTACTCCATCCGGCTATTATTATTAAGGATCCTGGGGTGAGAGGAAAGTCGCATCCAAGTTGAAGTTCTAACGATGTCACCGTTGCCTCCGCAACCAACTCCCACAAAATCCGGCTGCTCCAACCTCCCGATCCCTGATGCAAAAAATATCCCACTTCGTCTCAGAAACGACTCATGGTTTCGTTCTGAACCGCGCCAGCCTTCTTCAACAGCGAAACACTTAAAAAACTCGACCCGTATGGTCAAAACGGGCTGGAAAAGTCGTCGTGGTTCTAATATCATGCCGGAAATATTCCGTATTCTCCGCATTCCCTTTTTTTAGCGTCGGCGCATCGAAGAGCTCTCGAAACTTGCGCCGAAACGGCGAAACGCTCACTGGATCCCGACATTGCACGGAGTACTCCGTTTATGGACGAGAGAAATTTTACTTCGGGTTTTGAGCCGTCAATTCATTTAAATTGCTCCGAAATTTCACATGGTCAGGATCGTCGATCTTGCAGAGACATGCATCGTTATTATCACCCATTGCAAGGGCAGCGTCAGCCGATTCCCGTTGACCGCCTGGTCGATGGGAACAGATCAGGGGGAGAGCCTGAGCGCTGTTTTGAGTGTGGCTCTCCCCATATTGATTGGACCAGGGACGGCGCCGGTTATCTTGCAAGCTACCCGGCAAGATGCCGAGCATTGGCAGGGGTGAAGCTACCTTGGGAGAACGGGCGCCGCAACCCTCTCGGCTTTAACATCTAGACCACGGTGGAAGCACACTATTATGCCCTCGCTCCCAGGCCCTAGTATCTTCTTAGTCAGTAGTAAACTTGTAATTTTCACGTAAATTTAGCATTAGAAGTTCCATCTAGCCCTGCTAGAACATCAGACTTGATTAAATTTTTGAATTGTTAACACACATGCAAATTGCTTCTCATATTTTCACTTTTAAGAATTGGATGATTGGAAGGCTTGACAAAGGAGTAAGGTAAAATTGCTAAATTTTTGCATAACTAGGGTCTTTGGACCATCGCCAAAGTCGACGAACTAGCAAGCTAAACTCCCCTCCCCCAAAATTCACGGTGTCAAGTGGGAAGAAACATGGTAAGTTCAGTGAAGGAACATTTCATCGAGATACCTTGTAATTCTGTATTGACTTTACCGGCGCACTTCTAAACGACTTCCAATACCGCTTAGTCATCTAGTCAAGTGGTATCATGTTCTTTTTTATCTCGGCTCACTCCTCCGCAGACGTATGGAGTAGATTTGCAGACAGGAGCGATAGCTTGAGCTCTTTCACATCCTTAACTGGAGAATACCACCGTAAGAAAGAATCGACCTTTTTATACGAAGTATTTAATCCCCAGTTCCCCCATGCCAAGTGCGAGTAAATGTTTTCAGCGGAAGTTCCCAACTCTCGACTTGAATTTTGTGTCTTTACTTCGTACTACTCCCTTCTCAAGCAATAAGCTCCGTATCTCGTATATCTCATGAAAGCTTTTAGTCGAGCTGCCGCCCAATTTTCACGGCGCGGTGTCAACGTTGCACCCCGTCAGCAAGGTCTTCCTGTTCAGGCCACCCGACGGAGATGGAATAGCAGCGCTACACACACCCAAAATGCATCCAAGTCTTCAACGTCAACTTCCTGGAAAACAAGTCAGATAGTAGTGGCCGCTGCTGCTGCTATCGCCTCGGGCTATGTCTTTGGCAAGTACTACTCCGAGTCTCAGCAGACCGTAATTGCGAATGATCTAAAGTACGGGACACTCGAAGAAATGGAGAAGGTATCGAGATGCTGTTCTAGGTGTGGAATGTGGTACGGATTATGCTAATGGTGAATAATAGGCAATTGCTGAGCTGAGAGAAATCCTTGGGGAGGAGGCGATCAGTACAGACGATGAAGTCTTGCATTTACATGGATATTCGGAGTGGTCGACGGTTAACAGCGACCGATTGCCTGTCGCCGTGGCCTATCCCAAAGACACGGAACAGGTTTCCAAGATTGCACAAGTTTGCCACAAATATCGGGTGCCAATGGTCCCATACTCCGGTGGTTCGAGTTTGGAGGGAAATTTTTCAGCCCCGCACGGAGGGATAAGCATCGACTTTTTGCATATGGACAAGATCATCGAGCTGCATGAAGATGATTTGGACGTCGTCGTTCAGCCATCGATGCAATGGGTTCAGCTCAATGAAGAGATTAAAGATACAGGACTATTCTTTCCCATCGATCCGGGACCACCAGCTAGGATCGGAGGCATGGTTGGGACGAATTGCAGTGGTACCAACGCTGTGCGCTACGGAACCATGAAAGATTGGGTTATTAATTTGACCGTTGTCCTTGCAGATGGCCGAATTATCAAAACAAGACATCGGCCACGGAAGAGCTCTGCTGGCTATAACTTGACTGGCATGTTTGTAGGTTCAGAGGGTACGCTTGGAATTGTTACCGAAATCACTCTAAAACTGGCCGTCATACCCGAGCAGACTAGAGTGGGTGTGGCTACATTTAATAGCATCCGGGACGCTGCAAGCGCGGCGATGCGTGTCATGCGGAGGGGAGTTCCCATCCAATGCATGGAAATCCTTGATGAAGTCCAGATGAGCATTATCAACAGAGCAGGTGGCACAAACCGGGTATGGAAAGAATGCCCAACATTATTCTTTAAATTCTCTGGCACGAAGTCTGGCGTCTCTGAAAGCATAAGCATCACAAAAGGCATTGCAAAACAGAGCGGAGGCACCTCCTTTGAATTCGCCAGGAACGACAAGGAAGGTCGTGATTTATGGTCTGCGCGAAAAGAGTCACTCTGGAGCATGCTCGCCTTGAGAGAGGATGGTTCGAGCGATGTCTGGTCCACAGATGTTGCAGTGCCCCTTTCCAGATTACCAGATATTATCGGTCAGTCTCCGAAAATTCATAGCTTATCCTAGAGGCTAACTCCCCATTCTAGAATTATCGAAAAAGGATCTTGATGATCTTGGAATGTATGCTTGCGTCCTTGGCCACGTCGGTGATGGAAACTTCCACGCAAGCGTCATGTACGATAGAAAGAATCCGGAGCAGCGTGCGAAAGTCGAAAAAGTTGTTTACGACATGGTTGATCGCGCTATTGAGATGGAAGGGTCCTGCACGGTAAATTCATTCCCTAAAGCCTTACCTAATTTCAAGCCGTGATAAACTGACCGATTGTGTAACTTATGCAGGGAGAGCACGGTGTAGGGATGGGCAAAATGTCGTCTCTGATCAAGGAGCTGGGTCCGGAAACCATCGATGTGATGCGAAGTGTTAAGCGGGCTCTCGACCCGCACTGGCTTCTCAACCCTGGAAAAATCTTCGATGCGAAAAGAAAGTAACTAATGTGCTAACTATGCCCGAGATCCTGCCTCGATGTTTCATGAATTAGAGCGGTCGGTACCTTTGGATTCTGGATAGACACAAATGGAATAATATGTACTATAATGAAAAAGTACTAACCCACTGCTTGCGAGATATCTTTGCAATCACAACTTCCTAGAATTGACTCAATCTACCTCCTGCAGCACTGTAGATAGGAATGCCATGGGAGAGAGAGGAATCTGTTTTCATAACCTCATTTGTACCCCAGCGGCGGTTCGTAAGCGTTAATGCCCTGCTCTAAGATCGACGAGGCGGCGGTCAATCACCGAAGCATCTAAATATAGAATGCCTTCTATTATTACTCAAAACAAATCCCTGATCTCTTGTTAATTGTGAGTGAACGGTTGAAGTCACCCCTGGCACCAACGCCACAACATGCAGAGACACGAGGCAAAAGTTTCAACTCTCAGGACAATTAAGCTTTTGAACGGCATCTGATTGTACGGAGGGCGGATCCCCTTTACCCTCGAGCATTCATGCGGAAGCTTTAATAATTTCCCTCCCCTTGCCTCAACGCCACCTCGTGCATTGGCTCTCAGGAAGATCGAGTGATAATTGCTGTCAATTTGCAACCCCGCCAATCGCTGAGCGTCGACAGGAGGGCTTATCTAAACTCGTTCCTTATCGGCGAACCCCTCCGACTAACTAATTTCTCGGTGACTCCGCCGAAGTCGCAGCTTGCTCGAAATTCCATCATTACTCACAGACGAACCTTGTCATTAACATTCTTTTCGAGAAGACATCATAATTAGTCTACCATGGCCTCAGTTCCTAAGAAAAAGTGCGGTGAGTCCAATCCCTGCTAAAATACCCCCTCCATGCCGTTTTCAGTGCTAATGGTCAATTAGGCGTCCTAGGAGCCACTGGCTCAGTCGGCCAACGCTTCGTCTTGCTCCTTGCTGACCACCCTTTCCTGGAATTACACGCTGTTGGAGCATCATTTCGCTCCGCTGGCAAGCTCTACAAGGATGCCGTGAGATGGAAGCAGGCAAAGCCCATCTCCGAAAAGATCGCCAACTTGCTTGTACGGGATTGCAGGTCGGAGCACTTCAAAGACTGCGATCTTGTGTTCTCGGGCTTAGATAGTGATATCGCTGGAGAAATAGGTTGGTGCTACCGCTTGACCTAGACTTAGCAATCTTTCTTGGACTTGAACTAAGGATCTGGCGCTTTGTAGAGATGGAATTTATCAAGGCAGATCTTCCTGTGTTCTCGAACGCGAAGAACTATAGACGCGACCCAGCAGTCCCGTTGGTCGTCCCGACCGTCAATACTTCGCATCTTGACCTTATCCCTTACCAGAGGAAGCATTACAACCTCAACAAGGGTTTCCTAGTGTGCAATTCCAACTGTGCTGTCATTGGCATAGTCATTCCATTCGCTGCTCTCCAAGCCAAGTTCGGCCCTGTCGAAGAAGTTGAGGTTTTTACAGAACAAGCGATCTCTGGTGCTGGATATCCAGGTGTGCCGAGCATGGATATAGTGGATAACGTCATTCCTTTCATTTCAGGAGAGGAGGATAAGTTAGAAACCGAGGCCCAAAAGATCCTTGGTACATTAAATGCGGACGCCACAGCCTTCGTTGAGCAGGAAGGCCTCAGGGTTGGCGCAACGTGCACTCGAGTCGGGGTTACAGATGGACATATGGCATTTGTCTCTCTAAGGTTCAAGAACCGCCCTCCTCCCAGTGCGGAACAGGTTGCCCAAGCGATGAGAGAATACCAATCCGAGGCTCAGAAACTGGGTTGTTACTCCGCTCCGCCACAGGCCATCAAGGTCTTTGATGAACCTGACCGACCACAGCCCAGGCTTGACCGAGATCTGTCTGGCGGCTATACGGTGAGCGTTGGCCGTATCCGAGAAGGCCAAAAAGGTGGATATTTTGATATTAGGTTTGCGGCTCTGAGCCACAACACTGTCATCGGCGCAGCGGGATCGTCGATCCTCAACGCGGAAGCTGCTGTGATCAAGGGCTATTTGTAAAAACAAAAAGCTTGTCATGATAAAGACGGAAAAAGCTGTTATTAATCCATCCAAGGCAAATAGTTAATACAATACATCTACTTTGTGCTTCGGGCGCTTTTCACAATCAAAATGTAAGATTAAGTTTAGCGTGATTAACTAGTTAGTTATGTCAGCAGGGACGGAAACTGCGCTTTCCCCAAAAAGGGCAATTTTTAGGGCTCGACCAACAAACCGCTCCACAACACCAAACGCATTTTCTTTTCCCTTTCGCGAAATCTTTCTGACCTTCGACTCGCGACCAACTCGACAACCAAAGCGTTCAAGTCGACAATACATCCAAAATGGGCCGTGGACCGTGAGTTATCCTTTGAAAAATAGTCAGCATTTCATATGCGCCCCCCATTGCTGACAATTTCGCCTACAGAAAGAAGCACCAGAAGCGCTTGAGCGCACCCTCGCACTGGCTCTTGGACAAATTGTCTGGTGCCTATGCCCCTCGCCCATCCCCTGGTCCTCACAAGCTACGAGACTGCTTGCCTCTCATCGTCTTCATCCGTAACAGGTTGGTTTTGAAAAAGTTTGTTCACTCTGTAAAGAAGAGCGTTATCTAAGATTTGTCGTATCACAGGTTGAAGTACGCCCTCAACGGACGTGAGACCAATGCCATCCTCATGCAGCGCCTCGTCAAGGTCGACGGCAAGGTCCGCACCGATGCCACCTACCCAGCTGGCTTCATGGACGTCATCAGCATCGAGAAGACCGGCGAGAACTTCCGTCTTATCTATGACACCAAGGGCCGTTTCACTGTCCACCGCATCTCCGGCGAGGAGGCCGAATACAAGTTGGGCAAAGTCAAGCGTGTCCAGTTGGGCAAGGGCGGAATCCCATTCTTGGTTACGCACGATGCGAGAACGTGAGTTTCTGATCATATTCCGCATCATTCAGACGTTGGACCAAGCTTTGGTTGATTTCGGGTGGGGGATTGAAAGACGCGACATCATCACATTCTCCAATCGATAATCTCCATGAAACTTGGGAAACAAACGGTGAAAGATGAAAGATAGCCTTGGAACATGAAATGCTAATACAGACTACTCTAGGATCCGTTACCCTGACCCAGCCATCAAGGTCAACGACACCGTGAAGATCGACATTGCTACTGGCAAGATCACCGACTTCATCAAGTTCGATACTGGTGTTATCTGCATGGCCACTGGCGGTCGTAACATGGGTCGTGTTGGTGTCATCACTCACCGTGAGCGCCACGAGGGTGGTTTCGGTATCGTCCACATCAAGGATGCTATTGACAACACCTTCGCTACTCGTGAATCCAACGTCTTCGTCATTGGCCATGAGAAGCCCTGGGTCAGTCTTCCTAAGGGCAAGGGTGTCAAGGTAGGTTCTTATTCTTATTACGAACTTCTGATCGATAAGTGCTAATGCTCTGATTTACAGCTCTCCATTGCTGAAGAGAGAGATCGTCGCCGTGCCATGGCTCTTGCTGGCCGCTAAACTGCCTATCATCCATTGTCACGTATGTAGCGGTAGGTTTTCTAGCAATTAAAAGATATCCATGTGAATCAATAAGAAAAAATAATGTTACGAACCCTTTTATCAAGGAGAATGGCGTCGGTTGTATCTCAAGGAGGTATACGGGGCCAATGGGATCTTCCTATAATGAATTCATGTCTTATTTCCTTGTAATCATAGTATCAACTTTGCCGGTATGCAGTTCCAACCCTGCAAGCGCAAGCAAGTAAACCTCACCGGAAAGCCATGACACTCCCTCCGGGCAAGCCGAAGAGGCAAGCATTGGGCGGCCAGTGATAGCATGAACAGCTTCCATTCCCAAAGTCACCCCATGACACGTATGATTCTTGCTCTATTACGGGAAACTCGGGCCTTCTCTCCCTCCGTGCAATCCGGTTGCCACAACCAAAATTTTCTTCCAGTGCCTAAGCACCAATGAAGGGTAGACCTTCATACCGCACCACACTAGCTGGGCGCTACACATCGAAAATTTGCCCAAGGAGATCGAAGCCTTTTGTTTAGTCGAAAGAGATGCAGCGATATGCTTCATATTCAGCTCCCAAGATCAGCTATGGATAGGCGATACCGGACAACCTTGAGCGACGTTTTTGATACAAGAGTTCTGCAACTCATGGTCACAACTGCACACCGGGCAGTGGAAGTAGAAATTTGTGAATCCCCTTCTTGACATTTGATATGAAGATTTCACCTTCAGTAAGGGGTCGCTAGTTAGTGGTCAATTATATGTTATGCCGTGGCACATGCATACCAATCTAATTTCTGGGCTAGATCTTGCTCAGCTTTTGGTTTGAAATAGCGAGAGGTTTGTTGGGTGCTTTGTATGTATTTACGGAGGATCCATTTCGGCTGGCTCAATTGTAAACAGAAGGATACAAAAATTCCTGAATATTTCTTTTTCCCCCATAACAGTGCAGACCTGAACGTAACTACTGGGCAACACAGGGATTTCGAAAGTAGCCCTTTTTGATGGCGCCTCAGAGGCGGTTCAAACTATCTCCCCTGCACAGAAATTCTATGTGCCACTGACTCGTTACATCCGGTATGTTGGCCACCAGCAGCAGCTTTCGAAAATTGTTCCAAAAAAAAAAAAAAAAAAAAGAGGGGGGGGGGGGGGAGGAGGACCTCGTATACACGACAGGCCACAAATGTGCAATAGACCTACATTTATTGCCACCCCAGGAGGGCATGTGCTCGCTAAATGCAAGATTTACAACCTGCATGCTCAGTGCATAATGTGCAGACCTAGGCATTTAAAATTCAACCAGGGACGCCCCAAAGATGGCCACGACTACCTAAGGTCACTTCGGGAACCCTTAGCACCCTATTGACTGGATGATGGTATTGCCCCATGGGTCTCAATACCCGGTATAGATAGCTCAAGAAATTTGAGATCGTGTACGGAGTACGGAGTAAAGTCATAATGAATTGATTTACCTGAGGTACTTCATCATCGACCACCAGACGATCATACGGATGAGTTGGAAGATCAGGATCTCCGTTGCGTTTTAGCCTTCTCAGAATTCGGAAACCGAAACATCATACATCAAGTTGTACTTGTACCGGCTCCAATGGCCAAGAACTATACCCATGCGGGCTGGCTGTCCTTTTCTCACCGTACCAGGAAGTATGCAGCTGGGCGCCTGGTTTCACGCAGCAGAATGCGGAGAACAGCAACATAAGGAAATATAATATGAGTGAAAAGAATCCACCTTGGTAACTGAAAATCAAAAGTAGACACTGAAATTCCATACTTAGATGGGCTAGCCGTGATACCTCGAACATCGGATGAACCCAGCTGAAACTAATCAACCGTCGCCATAAGCGGAGCGTATATTACCTGATAGCCCATTGGATAGCAGTATGGACTGTGATATATGTAATCATCGCCACGGGTGGGGTGTCGAGCCTTCTCGGTGTCCCCAATCATATACTTAGTACTTTTCTCCCAGCCGATAGTGGTTGTCAGAAAAGTTCAAGTATGTTGAGAAGCAAGTTGCATGGCCCGGTCTAGAAATTATAACTATACCCGGGTATATCCTATGAAACCTCGTCGATCATGCTCGGCTTAACCATTGGTCCCCATCCACACGCCTGTGGAAACTGCTGCAAGGACGGCCATTCTCCCAGCGCGGTCGGATTGGCTGCCAGGCTCAACAAACTAGCGGGGACTCAGCATTCTTGAGGCATATGCAAGGATAATTGCCCATCTCACCTAAACCGGGGGAAGAGCTCAAGTAAATTGATACCTCTCAATTGGAAAGATTCGTTGATGATGACAGGATGTATTGTAACCGTAACGACAGTGGCGCTTTGATAAGTAATTCCAGGGCATGGTATCAAGCCAATATAATTTCAGGAATCAGGCTACAAATTAATCAGCTCTTGATCAGTGGGTCTCCCTCAGTATCGCCACAGAACGTTCCCCTGCCAGCCGGTCTAAAACCATGGGCTCAGATGCGAACTGAGAAGAAAATACGGCGATGCCGATTAAAGATAAGCCAATTGCGAATCCTCCGTTTGATCCTACAAGGACAATGGAAACAGGCCAGCAATAGCTCCCTGCCCCTTGGTATGATATTCCGCGATATGAGGATGCAAGAATGGGAGACCGGGTTGCTCCCCCATAGTTCGCCTATATGCTGCGTAGTTGTCGGTAGAGTCTAAGAGGTTGAAGAGAGAATCCAGCGAATCAATATGGGAGGAACTTAGTGGCGAATCAAATGGCCGAGGTTGCGCTTCTTGAAGGCCATGGAGCATTGCCGTAGCCGAATAATAGTTTCTCATATTAAGTAGTGCCTGAGTATGAGAAAGTTGTTAATATCATGTTTAGTGCTGATAATATAAATGTATTTTCTCTCTTACCTTTACACACTCCTTGAAGTAATGGAGCATTTCGACAAAAGCCGTACAACATTCTTCAACTGACATCGAAAGTAAATGCCAATTATCAACCAGAGTTTGTAGTTGGCCGTTTTCTTCACCAAAACTTAGGGTCGAAAGTCCAGTAAATCCGCGCTCATCAGAGAAAGTGAGTCTTCTCGCTAGTGTCGGGGCAGGGCTTGATGCAAGAAAATCGTCCAAATGGGGGATTTCCGCATCGAAAGGAGTAGCCCAGTTAATATCCACGTCTTCGTGATATTTGCGAGAGAAACGGATTGAAAGAACCGAGAGCTTCTTAAGAAATTTGACGAATGGCCTGGGACGAGACTTAAACAGAGCTTGTATCGGTTCAATGAGGAATTTGGCCACGCGGTGGTTCGGAATCGTATTTTCACTTGCAAGCCCCCTATCTTTCAAACACTGTAGCACAGTTCGATGAGCCCATGGGCAACGAGATCGGAGTTGCTGGTTCTCATTTAGCTTGAAGTCGATAGTTTTTGGAGCCTTCTCACACTAACCTTTTCCACATCAACATATATGCACTCCTTCTCAGGATGCCTATCAAGGTGGGCGGAAAGGAGATTATATAATTCTCGATGCTGCTCTACGAACCATACGATAGACATCGTAGGGTATCCAAGAGCAAAACGCACCCAGTCCTCGAAAGAAATTGCTTTGAACTGTAGAACACTCTCTGTATTGATTTCCAGGGCAATAGTAACAGGGTTGACACCGTTCAGATAATTGGGAAACCAGTTCCATGGGATTGGAAAAATGATTTTCTGGCACAAACGGATTATCTCATCGACCTTCTCGTGGTGAGCAAGGTCAAGAAGGCCCGGCTGTCCTGGAGGGAACAAAGACGCAACGAATTCCGTTAAAGTGGCAGTGTTTCTATTTTGCAAGATTCTTCTCGGGAAATCGTCGTCATCGTATAGACGAAATTGGAGTAGTCGTTTGATATCGCCGATATTGAATGCCCAAAGGATGGGTAAGGCCTCCTCTTCCCACCACCGATAAGTAACATGGAACCGGGGCGGTGTAAGTTCTGTGTTAAATAGAGCCACCAGCTTCAGCGGCTGGGGACTTGCTACAGGCGTGTAGACGGCTTCATGCAATACACGAGGGACGGTACTAGACTGTTGGGATGTGGCCGACAAAAGGAAGTCTTGACCTTGAATCGAGCTATGGTTGAAATCCAAAGGTGGGTTCTGTAAGTCAGGAGCAAAGTCCTCTTCCGTGCGATGGTGTGCCATAGCAGACAACTCTAACTGGTTTCTCGAGGAGGTGCCTGTTATTCCAACATATAGATCACAAATACCTCGTCAAAAGGGTCGATTGCTTGGAAAGAGAGTGAAGAGGAGAAATGGGGAAAACGCATCTGATTAGTGTAAGGAATACAGACGAATCATCACCTGAGACAAACCAGTGTCGACGAAAGGGGCTGAAGAGCGAATAAGAGAATAGGTATCATGGTCACGTCCCAACCTCCAGAAAAACGAACGCAGAGCACTTGGGGAGGTTACCGAGATAGCTACTCAGTACAGACGGAGGTGTCCTGCAAAAGCGCATGGACCACAGGGATGTAAGAATGGAACACGGACTATCATTATAAAGTTCCCTAATATGGGTCATGAGGGGAAGATTCGTTGGCATTGGGGCCTTTTGCTGTATCGAGAGAGACCGAATGGTGGCGTCCGTAACTAATCGACATTGTGGTCCTTCTGTGTTCCAGAGATCGGAGTTGGGGCTCTGAATAGGCTGATCAGACGAGAAAAGCTGAAGATGATTCAATCTGCTCCGTACTCCCTGAGGTTGGTTCAAAAGGGGTCAGACACGGCAGGGTGGTCTGAGTGGCTGTTGTTCTTTGGAATTTCCATCTTTGACGCTAGTTAGGGCCATGGGAAAGGTTCCGGGACCCATTCGCCTGGAATGGATCCGTCCCACCGCCGGCAGGCTGGCACTCAAACGATCAAATGGCCGTTCGCCAAGAACGGTTTGCCTGACCTCAGCAGATCAATCATGTAATACCTGTACGAAGCGTCTTTTGCGAGCCGTTTGAGCGGTTTTTATTGACCTAGTTCGGATCTCCGCGTCATCTGTAATTTTCCAAGGTTATTCAGGTTAAGCTGTGTACTGCTCCAGCCCGCGCATCCTCTACAGTTAAGAGCATCAGTGTGATGCGACGACGGTCTTTAGTGTTCACGGCCACCCCAGGCACTCTCTTACTTCCCTACTGCCTCCCGGCGGCTTGGATCTTGCTCCCTGACAAACTATTAACTCTTTGGGAATCACGGGCCGTTCGGTACGGAGTGGATTATTAGTTACTGTGTTCGTACCCCGTACCCCATACAGAACGCGGAGACGGTTGCATCCAACTTCCTTTTGGCGGATGAAATGAACTATCATTTGCTGTCCCGCAAGCGATTATGCTTTTTCAGGATTCTTGAGAATGTTTCAGCGAGAAAACTTTCGCTTGCTATCGGCATTGCAGCCGTGAAAGATGAAGCCCAATACTCCGTACCTGCGCGCGTGATTTCTTTCCCCGCATAAGAATGCGGCTGGTTCCAGATGAAGTTGCATTGAGCATTCGAGAGCCGATCCTTGTCCCTTCTCTATGAAAAGCCCGACAAGCACGGAGGACGGGCAACCCAATGTTTGCCTTCCGGGACCAGGAATCCGCTGCTTGGATTCGCGGCATTCATTTCGTTGATGTCATAATCGTCCGTAAGCATTACACGGAACCTTCGTGTGTGTGAGAGCTGCAGCCGCATATTCCCAGCTCCACAATCCTTATGAAGCTGGATCACAGAACAGTCGCTATACGGAGTACTGATGTGGCGCCAAAGGGCTTTGATGGGCTCGAAGTCCCAACTGGGGCTCGGACTTTTCAAGTTTCCATGGACATTCGTTTTTTCCACGTGGCTCGGAGCTGGAGGTGGGCTGTAATATACGGTACGGGCTAATTCATGTATAAGTTACATAGTTGTATCTTGTATTGTTACCTTGTAATAGGGGCTTCAGGTGGAGGTACGGGAGAGGTACCTTGTAGATTGCAGATTTCGGCAGGATATGTCAGCAAAAATGATGCTATGCAGTAACTTACAGAGTATTTCATACACAAAGCAGTCTCAGAAGCCCATTTTCTTTTGAATGATTTTTGGGAGCCCAGAAAACCCTCACTCTAAGCCACATTCGTAGTAGAATATTCTTTGAGTGTATGGATGTACGGAGTACTGAACAAACCTTTCATACTTCGTAAAATTACCTCAGCCACAGGTTTGTACATACATAATTCGATAGTTAACGTATGTACGGAGTACGGAGTACGCTGTATGGAGGAATTTTACGGGCTCGTCCGTCCGTACCCCGGAGTTTGTTCCTCGATGCTGACCGTACGAGTACTTCTTTCGCCCTCCAGAGAGTGGGCTTCGTATGGGTGCTTCTTGTCCTCTTTAGGCTCCCGCAGTCGGAAATACAAAGTTGAGGGGACTATCACAAAAGGAGCGTGTAGGATGTAGTGGAGTTTTCCGCAAGGACAATCTGGTTGTGTATTCTTCTGGACCCTTATTACCGCTGCAGTCCGTACCCCGAAGGTATTTACAGTACATGATTACATCCTAGTTTGCAGCTTTCTTACAGTCAAGCTCGAGTAACAGAGTACTATTTCAATTTCTGAGAGAAAGGCGACAAGCAATTTATGGAGTAAACTTACCTACTGGATATTCACGTATAGTATGTATATATACTCCGTATGCTGCGTTGGAAAGCTTTTCTCAACTTGATGTCGCTGGTTATGTTGTCCGCCGCCGCATTTCTACAAAATGATTTGTTAGTTACTGTATACGGTACGGGGATCATAACCGCCTGGTATACTTTGTACTCGGGAAAGGGTGCACCAAAGGTTCTTTTGCTCCACTCCCGGGCACAATGCCATGGTAAGGTTAGCGGGCTCGACGGATAGAGCCGTGTCCGCAAACTCTTCAAGAAGCTGCTGCGAACACGCTCCACCATAGAGGCTGCCTTCTAGACACTCTGAGCTCTGCTAGACCAATCTTTCTGCAGGGAGAAAGTAGCGGTCAAGCTTCTCAACTCCGACGTTCGGCCAATGTCGATGCTTGGTGGCGGGTTTACACCATGATTACTGCGTCCTCGGAACTAATACGTTGGCGTTTCAAGACGCACGTTGAAGATCGGATCGCTTGAGCGACCTGAATAAGAAACTTTTCTCAGTTCCGTCCTCGTCTCATCAGTAGAATGAAAATTTTGAATTGTATGATAGATTGATCGATGTCTCGCTTGAGTCTAGTCCCAGGCTCATACCAGAGAAGTCTGGTTCCTGTCGCCAGATAGGATTCTAGGCAATTCGCAAGCGAGCCGCTTGAGATCAATCATTGTGACTGGTATGGTTTGGGGCCGCAACGGGACGCGTGGTTCGGCGGATCTTTTTGTGCTGTCTTCAAAAAGATGCCTGACTTCCCTTGCACAATCAACGAAACTGCTTGCCTTAGTTTTTCCAAATATTCCTAACAAGCATGCTAGCCGGTTCACGAAAAGAAACGTAGAAGCACCAATATTGCCCCATAACAAGTTGTTCCATTTATTCACCGCAATCAATGCATCCCAACCGACCCCAAGATGTGTAGCATATATATGGATCACGTCCGCAAGAGCCAGCGCGATTAGATAATTTTGGACCACCTTCGCTGCATAAGACCCCAACCCCTACAAACAGCGGTAGTAAAATACTGATTGCCGAGCTGATAAGCAAGAGACTTTATGCTCGGGTAGGGGATTAAAGCCTCGCCTACGTTTGGAGTCTGGCCAACAACGAAGTTATGAGCATCGTAGAAAGCAACCCACCAGCCCACCAACCTAGCAAAGGTTAGTATCCAATCCGAATAGCAGTTAAATGCGGCAATTCACTGAAAGTGGCTCCAGGATGTGTGGCCAAAGTGGCAAGATGGTCCTCATTTTGAGATTCATGTTCATGGGAGGAATTTGACGTCCCTTAAATTTTAACAAGGTGGATACATTCCCCTTGCATTGTTTGATTATAACACTCAGTAGCCTGTCCGATTTCAGCATCTGCATGCCTGCCAGCTCCGAACCTCAAGTAGCTGCTGGTGTCTGAATGCTGAGCGTCGGGTTCGGGAACCCAAGGCGTGAATCACGTGATCAAGTTGACTGGGCCGGGATTCTCTGCGGCCATGGGGTTTGCTCATGGAGCACACTCAGATATCTTTGCAGCATAGACAGCGCAGCTTAAGCAAAGGAGAAATGCCCTGGAATGAAATCCACGACACGTCTGCAGCGGCATTTTCTGTGCCTTCAGTCCTCGATGATCCCTTTTTCCAGTCAAGAGACATCCCCACGCGGCCGCACTTGCGAATAGCTCCTCTGCGCAACCCTATTCCTCCAGGCTCTCGAAAGATCCCTTCCCCTCTTGAGCCTGCTACTACCGGAATTAGGGACTCCGGGGCTTCGAAACCACCCAACCTCCCATCTGGAAATCCGCCAACAGAGCTACCTACACTCGAGGATTTCCTCAGAGCAGCGCGCAGAGATAATGATCTTCCTCATATCTTGGGCATGTTGCCGAGTTCAGAACAACCACCCAAGACTATACTTCCGGCTTTTATTAGTCTTAGGGCTGTTGAAAAACTGCCTTATTCCTCATTCTCTGACGAAGCTCCGCGAAAACGTCGCCGGCTAGAACATGTGGGAGACAATTTTGGAGAACTTCTACAACTACCTATCCCGAAGGTCCAAAAGGAAATACCAAAGCCACGTCCATTTGGGCCACTGCCGATTTTGAATGAGCTTAAAGAGCCTCCACCAAATGCTGCTTTGTTTCCGCCCATCGAGGCAAATAGACGTCCTGTGATTTTAAACCCTCCAGGAAAGGGTACGTCCCCTTCCACAGAACAACCATCTTCGGAGCAGGCTGGGGAACGCCGTGCACAAAGAATAGAAGACCTTATTGAGCTGAACGACCAGGATGGGGGGGCTAATATGGAAAGCCAGGCAAGTGATAACCGAAGCGCAGATACCCAGGAAACGGATCAAGCGGAACTAGCAAGTGATACCGAGCGGGTAATAGATGGATACGATAAGTCTGCAGCAAGAAAAGAGTCTAAGAAACCGAAAAGGAAACTTCGAAGGTGGTCGGAGCAAGAAACTCACGATCTTCTCCGCGGTGTAGTGAGATGCGGTGCTGGTAATTGGACTAGCATTCTCGCACAACAGGATCTCAAATTCAATCAGAGAACTCCTGGGAATCTGAAAGATAGGTTTCGAGTGTGTTGCCCGTGGGCATACGAATCGGGGCAGACACCCACTTCAGATGATATCCAAGCTAGGTTGGCTGACAGTATAAGCAACGCCCAATCTGGCCTGGTTGCAAAGATAGTTCTCCCTGATCCCAGAGTGGCTAAGGGTGGTCTAGACTTTAACAAAGGGTCTATCGGAACCTCGAGCTTATCAGTAGCAAACTCCAGCCGCCCTACTACTGAGTTGGTTAGACCATGCAGATTTACGGCCCCAGACCTTCAGCAAAAGCAGTCAAAGTTGAAACAGAAGCGTTCTTCAGGGTTGAATGGAAGCCAGGGTCTATCTAATAAATCTAAATCTACTCTCATATCGCTCGGCTTGCGAAACCCGGATGCGACCGTTAAGTCAACTCGGCGACACCGCCGTCCCTTCACTCCTGCTGAAGATGAAGCGCTGCTCAAAGGTTATGCTGTCCATGGATTTCAATGGACCTTAATCCGTCAAGATAAGCATTTGGATTTGATGCATAGGAAGGCCACGGACTTACGGGACCGTTTTCGGACAAAATTCCCTGATGTCTATCGCGAGGGTGGCTTTGCCACCGTGAAAAAAATAGAAAGCAATATCAAGGGCGGCAAAACGGCAGCTACAGACGGGACGAAATCGAGCCTTTCATCTACGAACAATGCTAAGTTTGCGAGCCATAATTCTCGAAAAGCGGACATACCTACCTCTACCAGTGGTGCAACCGCAGTTCCTATTGACCCAGCCATGTCGCCTCCCGCACCACCATCAAGTCTTCCCGAACCACCTAATGTACCAGTCACTCCGTCATTTTCATTTCCAATTGACGAGGACGTGCCGGAAGAAAACAGCTATGCTATTCGCTGGGCAGAAAACACTTTACCTCCATTAGTATGGGATGAGCTAGGATAAGTTTTCTTCACATCATAATAGCCCCCAGTTAGTTTGATTCTTGTTTGGAAATATGAATGCTTGGGTTAAATATTGTGTATTAGCCCCTTTGAGAATGATTAAAATATAATATTTGATACCGAAAAACGTTATATTGTTTTCATTGTTTTTGCGGGTAAGTATAACAAAGTCACAAAAGTGTCAATGCCTGAACTCCTCATCGCTCATATTCGCTTAATCAAAAAGGAACACAGTGTCCTGGTCATACGATAATGAGACAGTACAGCAAGACCAAAAGAAGCGGGCTGATTTTGACATCGTTCCATAGTTGCACTCCGCTTGACAATACTGGCCAAGGGGGAATTGGAACTGAAATGCATCAAACAAAGCTTCAGGAAGAATCACGCGGTTTCAGGGGGAACTTAAAATATCAAATCCTTGAGATCTGCAAGGAGTAGACTACATACAATATTCATCGATCATATAAAAGCATTACAAAGGCATGAAAGGAGCCCTTCAGCACAGGCCAATGCATAGTCGGTCGCCCATTGCTTGGTCACCATGCATTGCGATCCCAGTTTGGATCTAGAACCCATAGTTAGCTTTAAACTTCTTCATCTAAACAGCCATGCATGGGAGAAGGGGACTTGAGTTATACCTTGAACAAAGCTGGCCAGGACTTTACTTCCCGTCTGCAGCAGCGGATGACCTACAACAATCTGCAAGAACCGCTGCAAGCCTTCCCGTCGGTGCTCAATAACATCGTCACTAAAGCGATTCGTGAAAACCTTCCCCGGGAGCGGTGGAATGGTGACCCGTGCGCTTTCTCGCTCCAGGATGTCTCTGAAGTATTCGAAATCGGAGTAGCGACGGCGCACGACGGAGTGCTTTAGTTTGAAGGCTGGGATATTGGTGCGGCAGACAATCTCATAGGAGGTGTACATGTTGCGAGATGTGCCATGGGTTTGAGGATTTCTCACCTGTATGCCCGGCGAAAAAAGCGTTACGCGTTAGCTCACGGAGAAGGGCACGGGAAGGAGGGGTATCCGAAACTTGACAGGGAGAAGAAGAATCAGTACTAAACGGGGAAGAGTAAAACTGGGAGACGTACTTCGATTTCGAGGAAATTCTCTGGCGGTCCGTATATCTCCTCGAAGGTTTGTTGTCGCGCCTCTGGTAGGGCCTGCATCTTGATACCTTGAAGAACAGACGGTTCACGGCAAATATCGGACGATCGCGGACTGATGACGACGATGATAAGCAAGGAGAATTCCAAAGTATACCTTCTAGATTAGATTGAAAGCATAAATATAAATGCGCGTTCTGCAAAGGAGGGCCGACAGAGTAATGCTTCTCTCCTTGATATCTGACCACGGGAGTGCATGACGACGATGCCGGTCCGTGGATGATAGTTGCTCCGCTCCGACCCCGCCTCCAGATTGTATTATGTCATCATATTAAATTTGTCCAATCAGAAGCGCCTGTGGTGTGGGTCACCAACTATGACATAACCAGCTCCGGGATGAACGGTCAAGTGCGACCTTATGCGGAGCGCGGAGGAGTACCCGGTATTAACATCGCAATATGGTTTCAAATGAAACGTTTGACAGTTCAGCCTCGTTTTCATCAAAGTAATCTCCATCTTTGTATAGCCTTAATTTATACATTATCCGACCGCGGAGCGATATATCAGCGTTTCCTCTCAGTGGCAGATCTCGGAGTTAAGAAGTCCATCCCAAAGTCCAGACCAGTTAACCAAGTGACGGATGCGTAACTGATCCGCCGCTCGCCCCTGTTGATAAACAAACCAATCGACAATTAGCACAGAGTACTCTCTATCTTGGTTGCGCTCAGGAAATATATCGTTCTTCTATTTTAATCCATGTACATCGGAGTCTGCACCTTTGATCAGCCCCATGAGCTCGTCCCATTTTCCCACCCCGACTCTGGCTGAACCGCATTCAGAATCAGACGCAGCCACACAGTCTGATGTGTCATATCACCTTGCACGTGAACAAATGAGCGATAGGTATGATGAAGGCTGTGGCGATGAAGATGAGGATCGAGATTTTGAACCTGAATCGGATGAGTGGGAAGAAGAAGATGATGATGATGAAGATGAGGAAGATAACCTGGACCATGAGCTCCTCGAAGACGAGGCAGTACGCGAGCTACTAGGTACGGATAGCTACCCTCAACCGGATTCCCAAACGCTTACATACAAGGTAGACCAAGAAGATGGAGATGTACACATCGAATTTACGGTGGAGGACAGCGACCAAGCTGAAGATGCGGAAGGTGATAACACTACCCGCACTGGCGCTACTCGAGGTGCGAAATTGTCAACGCTGTTTATCTGTACCGAATTACGGTGTTAACTTCACGCTCCCCTTTTTTTTAGTAACAACAGAACAGTTATTTCGGTTACTGGGGGCAACTGGACTCAGACGCATCTTGCAGACACATGGATTATGGAGAGGACAGGCTTCTCACAACGAAGATGATGAAGATGCATTTGTTTTTGGTTCTTATGGCTTCAGGAGACGACGAAGGCAGAAGCCCGTTGAAGATCTATACCCCAAAGTTCCCAGCGAAGCGGGAGCTGAATTAATGGTGTCCGGAACGTTCGGCAGTAACCCATACTATCTCGATAGAATTAAGAATAGAAGAACAAAATTTGGGACAAAAATGTTGTGGAGAGAGTTGGGCTTAGGGCCTCGTGGCGCCGACTTGAGAGCTGCCAGGGCGATTCCGCAGGTAATACCCACTTTGATGCTTGTTATTCATCATTTATGAAGAAAGATCTGACGAATAATATTACCTTAGGGCTTAATTCCGAGCTCCGTCCCGGACAAAATCGTACACTTTGATTCTCGATGCTATTCAGGACAGTTCTCCGACGATGGTAATTTTTTCTTTTGCTGTGGCCAGGATTTCAAAGTCCGCATGTATGATACTTCTAATCCTTGCGACTGGAAGTACTACAAGACAGTTGAGTGTCCATTTGGCCAGTGGACCATTACAGACGCTTCGCTAAGTCCAGATAATAAGTATCTGGCTTGTAGCTCTATCAGTAATGTTGTGTGTTTGGCTAGCACAGATCCAGCATCAAGCGCGGATCCGCATATATTGGATTTTGCTAAATCTAGACGACTTCGAGGTCCCAATCTTCAAGGATTCAATCATCCTGCAAGCGGGGCCTTTGGTGTAAGTGGAACCTCTCAATTATCATCAATGGACCAACGAGCTTATGAACAATCTAGATATGGTCTATTCGATTCTCAGGCGATGGGCGGGAAATTGTTGCTGGAACTTCAGACCGCTCCGTTGTCGTATATGACATTGAAACACAGCAGCCGATCTTACGGCTTCAAAACCATGAAGATGATGTGAATGCTGTCTGTTTTGGGGACAACTCGTCCCCGCATATTCTCTATTCTGGATCCGATGATACAACCCTAAGGGTTTGGGACCGACGGTCCATGGCAGACGGGCGAGAAGCAGGAGTATTTCTCGGCCATACAGAAGGCTTAACCTTTGTTGACAGCAAAGGGGACGGTCGATACGTGCTCTCCAATGGAAAGGACCAGCTGATGAAATTATGGGACCTTCGGAAAATGATGACCATTTCGAAATTCGATACAATTGATCCGAGTAGATATTCCACTGGATTCGATTACAGATTTATGAATTTTACGGATGAGGACTATCAACCACACCCGTATGACTGTTCTGTGGTTACATTTCGTGGGCACAGCGTTCTGAGAACGTTGATCAGATGTCATTTCTCACCACCACAGAGCACCAACTCTAGATATGTCTACACTGGCAGTGAAAGTGGAAAGGTCTATATATATAACCTGGATGCTACTATTGCCGGAATAGTGGATGTCGCAAAAGCAACATACCTAACTCGACCCATGGACCCGGATATTTATGGCCCAGCATCCCATTATAGGAGACTCGATAATCAATGGAAGACCGTCGTCCGGGATGCAAGTTGGCACCCGAGCGCTCCTATCCTAGCAGGTATGTTATATCTCAAAATGGGTCAATTTTAAGGTTCTTTTTCTGATTTGTTCCGCGGCTTTAGCCACTTCTTGGAATGGATGGGGCATGTCCATGGGAACGTGTACTGTACACTCCTGGAATGATGATGCTTTAGATGATGAAGGTGATCCGCCTCTTGGCCAGAGCTATAACGCGCGTTTGGAATACGTCGAATCCTTTAATCGATTTAGTGATTTAAACCGCGATAGCGATCATAGCAACCCTAGTGCTAGTCACGGGCTGAGAAGTCAACCAGTTCACCGACAGACTCGGCAGTCAGATGCTGGAGAATCGTCGGAAAGTATTTGGTAACGCGACAGGAATCCCCGATCATATATCGCGCAATATACTTTTCAAAATTGTATATAACGTTCACGGTGTTTCCCCCCGGATTTGGCCCCCTGCGATGATACCGTAGATAGAGCCAGATCAAGAAATAAAACAGTGCAAGAAAATGATAGAACCAATCATATACAATGGTATAGTACACGCAAAATACTAAGCCCATAAAGTAAGGGAAAAAAAGAGCCAAAGGACATCTCCGGTTGGGCAGTACAATATAGTACTGCAACAAAAGAACCTTGAGTTTCCTCTATTCAAGTGCCCCCCCCCTTAGGCGCCGACTCCCAAATTCACGACTTGCAAAATTATGTTCTGCAGTGAATATGCTAGCAGGAAAGGTTATGCGTTTCTGCAGACTTCGTCCTGATCGCTCTGAGGCATTCATCTCTCCACTTCACAGCCGTCCCAAACCAGCGCTTGCTGCGCCCTACATTATGCGCCTCCTACTAGGATATTATTGACGGGAATATGTACTGTTTAACAGCGCATATTAGCATTCATGGTGATTCACTTGTGAACTATCATCTCTTCAACAAGGCCAAGTTGGCCCGGGTTCCGCGCTTTTAAAATCAGAGAAATCGGATGGACTGACTTAATTTGATGAAGTATCCTATGGCTCCCATAATGAGAAAACCAAATCCGACAGCCTGGCTGATCTTAAGAAACTCGCGCTTGTCGGCTAGAATCAAACGCAACTGTTAGCAGCGCTCTCGGATAGCAGTTGGATGCTTTATAGATCGTGATATGAAAACGGAGAAGTGATTACTCGAGGGTGCAGCTACTTACGCTTCGTGCATCGGTTAACGAAGAGCATGCCATCCTTGACGAAATCCTTGGGGATATCGGCCAGTTCCTGAAATGTCTCGGACATGATGAATGAGATCTGGGGAGGCGGGGAATGCAAGATGGAATAAATAGAAGAAAGTAAGACCACCCTCAGCGAGGAACAGGCTTGGGAGAAGACTCGGCAGGTATGTGACTTTGGTTTGTCTTCATGGCATCGCACGGGAGCATTCTGGCGAGGTGTCCTGTGTTCGACAAGCCAAGTATCCCCTATCAGCGGAACAAATGTTTTCCCGGATTAACTTGGTGAGCTATCACGTGAGAAACACGCTAATCCCGGTTCGTCCACGGTCGTCCTCCCTCCTCTCACATCAGAGGACTCCCAACGCCTTCTTCTCATCTTCCTTCACATTCTTGTTGGCCTCTTTATCATTACAAGACCCCTTATTCCACCAGGTACATCAAGGAAAGGCACTTAGTGTGAGCTCTCTCCCCTGAATTGCCTTCCAACATTGAGCTGTCACCCCTTGCCGAAGGCAACTGGGATCAAGCACGCGGCTGACCACTCTCATGTTGCCATCGCTGGCACATAAGACTAAATATTCAGCTTGGCTTCACTGAAGCTCTTGCCAGAATTTTCTGCTCTCCCTTTCTATTTCACTTGTTGATTCACGGATAGCTGTGTCACTTGTCTGCTTGATCAAGCTTCTTGCCCGCATACATTGCTTACAGACCACGGGGATTTGAGATACCATATTTGTTGGCACATTTGTCGAAGGATAAGAAGGCGGATTTATTGTGAAACACCTGAGAGTTTGGTCCTGTACTTGCCATCGAAGGCAGTCGGGCGGTTTATCTCAAATTCGAGAAAACTAGGCGCAGTCCATTCCCGCTTTTGCGAAACCTCAATACTCTTGTTTCACATACTTTGAAGCATCCTCAACACCACCGACCATCAGGATTTGTACGTATCTATCTTGATTTTTCTTCTCGTCTCCCTCGATTTCTGCTTTCTATTTTCTCTATTGCCCCACGCAAGCAACAGAGACCATGACTGGCTGGATAACTTTGGGCAAAACATTAACTTTCATTTGTCCTACGAGAATGCTTCTTTATCGCTAATTCGGACTCCTTAACTGGCAGACATGTACTCTCCTTAAATCTCTGCGAGATCCAAAAGCCTGTGCATAACGATTTTCAAGGAACAATCAATTGCGTCTCATTTCAGAGATCCGTCCCCACATAGCCCGACATGGCCACTGAAGATGATAATTTTGACATTGACATTTATGGCGATGCAGGGGGGTACAATGGCAATGAAAACGAGGGAGATTATAAGGGGGAAGAGCCTGAGCTCATCCTCGATGCACCTGAGACATCCCATCAGAATGGGATAGGCGACGGCGGTGCCTCTGGTGGTAATAATAATGCTACTGAGAACGGCAATCATAAGATCTTTAAGACGGAAGAGTCGGGTCAACCCGGTAAATCGGCTTCTGATAATCTCCAAGTACCCCAACAGGGTGTCAAACGGAAAGAGAGCCCGACGGATAGGCCCACAGACCCAGACGCAACCAGTGCTTTGTACATTTCCGATCTCTATTGGTGGACTACCGACGATGAGATACGCGGATGGGTAAACGCGGCCGGCTGCGAGAGCGAGCTCAAAGACGTTACATTCAGCGAACACAAGGTGAACGGTAAAAGTAAAGGGTATGTTTGCCACTCTGTATGGCTCTTAAGTTGTCGCTTGACTTTTGTGGCGCTGATTTTTTGCATTTTATCATAGACAAGCTTTTGTGGAGTTTACTTCGCCGCAGGCAGCAACGGCTGCGAAACATCAAATCGAATCTCTCAACGCCGCCCAGCAAAGTGCAAGGAAGTACTCGGTCAATTACACTCAGCCACATACCAATCCATTCCGTACACTTCCGAAGGATAACCCCATGCGAGGGAAGGATGACCGTTCGAGGTCTTCGTCCGCAGGCTTCAATTCGCCGGTCCAGGGGATGAACTTTGGCATGGGCAACACTGGTGGGTATAGGGGTGGTCGTGGCGGCGGATTCAACCGTGGAGGCATGAACATGGGTGGCTTCAATGCTAACCGCAATTTCTCCAACCCAATGGGCTCCGGTGGGTTTCAGGGCGGTGCGATGGGAGGCGCTGGCTTCCAAGGAACACCTGTCGGAGGCATGCAACCTTACGGAGGCTTTGGTAACCGCGGAGGTATGATGGGATCGAACATGCGAGGTGGTCCAAATATGCGAGGCCGTGGAGGCATGGGTGGGCCTATGGGCGGAAATATGATGCCTGTCGGTGGCATGGGAGGGGTTGGTATGGGCGGCATGGGAATGGGTGGTATGGGAGGTATGGGAGGAATGCCCAATCAGATGGGTGGCATGATGGGTGGAATGCAAGGTGGTATGGGAATGCAAGGTATTTCTATAGGATCATGTTGATGACATTTTCTTTTGGGCTTAGGTCGATGCTAATTTGTATTCTAGGGCAAGGTTTCCAGGGCCAGAATCCTCACTTTAACCCAGCGTTCTTTGGCCAACATGGAGGCAGTGATGGCGCCTGGAACCCCCATGGAGCAAAACGCACCCGCCAGGAATGATCCCGAAATCGGATCGATGAAATCTCTGGAAATGTGCCTCACTTTCTAAAACATCGCGAACTTCGAATCCCTTATGCATTATGACGCTACTGCCTCCATCCTCTCCCATCTCTATCCGATTACATTCTCGGTTGTATTAGGCAAACTAAAGCATTTGGCGTTTGTTATTTTGTCTCGCTTCTTTTTTCTTTTTTTTCCCCCCTTATAGCAGTGTTGAAAATTCCCTATGGCAAACCGGCAATCTTCCATTGGTATCAGTCTCTATTGCTATGTCGGAACAATTCCCACCAGATAAAAGGTTTCTGTCTCTTTTGCTTTCCACGTTTCTCGTGATAATACATCCACAGAGGTTTCTGGAGTCTGTGGGTCATTTCAGAATGCTTTCTTTACCCTGATCCCGGTTCTCCATGGACTTCTTTTTCTTCTGCCTCTTTCTTGTTTCCTTTGCTGATCAAGTATGTGTTTGGGGTTTTTTTCTACCTAGGTTTATTGTTGTCATCATTTACAAAATGGACTGTTTCATTTCTTTCCCCGGAATTAATATTTGTCGGACCATTGACTGTACCAAGGGATGGGAGGAGTAAGGAGTGCCTTCCTATGTATTATTTTATTCATTAATTGGATTTCTTTGAATTTCAATATGTGTGACAACTTGTCCTGCTCGATTCTCCTTCAAACTCACGGGTGTCTGCATTTCGGAATCAACTTCCGCCCCGCCGGTCTTGGCATCGTCAAGCCCTAAAGGGCGGGCATTTATTGTTCCTTTCCAATTCTCATTTTTGCCGGTTTTGGTTTCCGGACCTGAATCATGCGCGCTTTTCGCGAGTCTCCGGATTTTCCCCACAACTTGTTTCCATAGTTCGAACGCGGGGTGAGCCTCGCCCTAAATTATTGTTTTATCCCTTTGGTTCTTCGTCTCTGATTCTGGTCCGGCCTATCGGATCGCTCTTGTCATGGGATTATGCCATGACCTAAGCGCAGGGGGCCCCGGACCTTCGGGCCCCGGTTTTCTTATGTTAATACAAAAGCATCGGCCGAGACGCCAGCGTGCCGGTTGTTCCTGAGATACGATCAGGATTATAAAAACCATAACTGACAGGGCCACAATGCCCGCCACAATGGTACCTCTTGCTATATACTTAATTTTATGCATTTGCAAAACATGAGCACGTCAGCCAGGGTCGTGAACAACCTGCCTGGAGGTCTTCCAATTGCACAGGTACCGTTACATACCAATCCGGAAACGGTAGCATTGGATTATGTCCAACGCCTGCAATCTCTCAAGGCGTCGGATTTTACTGAAGATGCACTTTGGAGAGATACCTTTGCATTCACGGGAACTGTAAGGACGTTCCATACTCCAGCCGATATTAAAACGTCCTGGAACGACGTTACCGAAACCCATAAGCCCAGCGATTTTGCATTAATACCTGGATCAGCCCGTGTTGTGCAAATTGGCGTTCGGTCATCTTGGGTTGAAGCGAGGTTCGTCTTCAAGACAAACGGCATACCTCGACAGAACGGCTCTGGATTCGTGTCTTTAATACCAGCCGATGGCGAATGGAAAATTTGGCTCCTAAGAACTATTCTAGAAGGAATCGATGGTCTTCCTGATGTCGACGTTTTGAATCCGACAGCTCATCTAGTGCCCAATGGACACCAGAATGGCATCGTGGAGCCAACAAACTACGACTGCGTGGTCGTTGGGGCCGGGCAGGCAGGTCTCGCAGCTGCAGGTCGTCTGAAGGCGCTAGGCGTGCAATATCTTCTCATTGACAAGAATGCTGCTATTGGTGATAATTGGCTGTTGAGATATGAGTCTGCAAAATGTTCGTCTCTCTAATTTGCTGATTTCGGCCCAATTACATCTTTCTAACATCCTCTTATAGTACATACCGTTAGAAACTATGGTAAGATTTTTGGGTTCGCTATTCAATTATGCTACACATAGCTAACGTGGGTCGATATAGCTCATCTACCATTTGAGCGCACATTCACTCCGGATTGGAAAGAATTTCTGCCCAAACGAGATGTCGCCAAAGGCTTTGAAATTTGGTTTAATAGATATGGAATTGTGGGTCGATCCTAGCGTTTTGTGCGAATCCTAGTTCTGACGCCGTTGAAGAATGCTTGGTTCTCTACGAATCTTGAATCCGGAAAATGGGACGAGGACAAGAAGGAGTGGGCTATCCGTGTTATCCGGGAAGGCAAAGAAGTTATTCTCACCACTAAACACCTTGTTCTTGCCGTTGGCGGAGGTGGTCAGATTCCACGAATGCCCACGTTCCCTGATCGAGTGCGTCCATCTCCATGCCAGCTCCAAACGAAGCCCTTTTTGGGTCAAACTCTAATATCTGGAAATAGGAGAAATTCAAAGGTGTGGTTCTCCATTCAGTTGATTATACGGACGCGAAAGGATGGAGAGGAAAGAAAGGTGTCGTCGTCGGTGCGGCAAATACAGGTACTACCTTTCATTCATTGCATGACATTCAGGTTCGCTTCTAACGTTGCTTACTAGCACACGATGTTGCGGAGGACATGCAAGCTGCAGGCATGGATACTACAATGGTTCAACGTCAAGCAACATGTCTGATATCATCTCCAGCCCTTTCTTCTACTTGTCTCGTGCATTCTGACCCATTGGTTAGATGTTGTCCCCACCGACTACTATTTGAAGGTCACTGGAGGTATGCCACGGACCAATTAATGAGACAATTTTCACCCAAGTGATATTAATTTCTAACATACTACTAGCCGTCTTCAATGACCAAATTCCAATAGAAATAGCCGATAGAATACAATTCAGCAACCCCATCGCTATCGGACGACAAATAGTCGCATATCATTTGCATAAAATGATTCGTGCAGACCCAGAACGTTTTGATTCTCTCGAGCGGGCAGGTTTCCTGCTAGATAGATTTGGTGACATTACATACCATGTCAGCGAGCGTGGTGGTGGTCACTATATGGATGTTGGTGGATCAGGAAAAATCTCCAAGGGGCTGGTAAGAAGGCACTATTTTTGATGACGATTTTGATATCAAATGCTGAACACCACGACGTTATATCAGATTAAAATGAAGTCGGATGCCCTTATCACCGCTTACACCGAAAATGGGCTTCTTTTGTCGGATGGCTCCGAGCTCAAGGCCGATGTGATTGTGTTCACAACCGGATTCGTTGGAACGCTTCGTGATGAGGTTGCAAAATATCTAGGTCAGCAAATAGCGGACCAGGTGGACGAATACTGGGGGCTGGACACGGAAGGAGAGATTCGTGGAGCTTATAAACCTATTGGCCGTGAGTATCTATTAAACCACCAATGGTACATATAAAGGTTGATTTTGCTAATAATATCATTAAGATCCTGGATTGTGGTACACTGGTGGCACACTTGGTCATTCTAGGTTCTTCTCTCGTTTCTTGGGTTTACAAATTAGGGCTGCGCTTGATGGCACTCCCTTGCCAGTCTATGAAAAGCTTCCGGGAAGACCAAACATGAAGGCACGCCCACTGGGCGAAATAACTGAATTTTTGGCGGGTGCTGAAGCTAATTAGATGAGCTGATGGTTTTGGTATTCTTCTCCCTTCTTCTCTTCGACAACTCAAGGGAGCACAAGACACTATTATGATAGGAATGTTTGTATAAGTGAAGAGACTGATAGTTTCTCTAGAATTTCTTGTGAACTTTTCTGTGCATACAATATAGAGTACCCAGTACGGAGTAAAGGCGCTGCTATTTTGCTTTCGACTGCAAAAATGATGGACACGGCGTCGCGATGCGGCCGGTGCGGGGCCGTTTGCCACGTGGTGGCCCAGTAGCCCGGAACCAAGTTCCTCCGCGTAATGCCAAGACACTAGGTACTTTCTCCTTACACCCTGCAGACTTGGCGAGTTTACACGGTATTACGGTATTCTGGGCAGAATCAAAGGGGTGTCAGCTGGGGAAGGTATGGAAGTCACGTGCATGAGAGCACTGGAAATTAAGGGGGCTAATCGAGGCACGAGAACCTCACAGAATCTTCCTTGACTACCACCATCTTCATCTCGTCACCGCGACGTTCTCCCATCCGATCTAATGCCACGCGTCAAGGATCCGTGAGAATCAAACTCAAGCAGGGAGAATTCCCCAGCTCTAGACCCATACGGGGCTCTGGCCACAATGCCATCCTACCTCCAAAATGCCGCCCTCAGAACAAATCCTCTTCGCTCCAAACTCTTCCGCTCCAAATACCAACGCGCGAAGCTCCTCCATGGCAAACGCCTTCATGACAAGCTCCGCCGCATCAACCTCCTCCGTCCACGACATATCCCTCCCACCGCTCCAGACGTCTATCCGCTTCCGCTACGCAATCCATACGCCCTTGGCACCTCCTTCCCTACTATGCAAGAAGCACGCGAGGCCATTCTACACTACACCATCGCTCAGAATCTCTCCTACACTGTCTCACGCGCCGACTCGACACGATATATTATCAAGTGTCGATGTGCAACCTGCCCGTTCAGGCTACGCATCACGATGAAAAAAAGCAAAGACGACCAGCAGGCGGTGGTGACGGTGTCACGGCCGCATAATTGCCCGCCGGAAGTGCATAAGGGGTGGAGGTGGGCGTCGTCGGTAAGGTATTTGGTTGCGAAGCATAAGGAATCGTTCAAAGAGAAGGGAGGGAGGATGTTGGTGTCGGAATTGAGGGAGTTGGAGTTAAAGGCTGGGAATGACGTTAGTGAGAAGCAGGCCTGGAGGGCGAAGAGAGCAATTGCGAGTGAGGTGCAGTCATGACATACACTGTTTGATAAGGAAGTTCTGGTGTATATGTTTGCAGGTTTGTGAGATTCAAACAAGCAGATTCTTGGATTGTTGACCTTCGCTGGGTGAATGGTGTGAAGGGGTTTATTGTTAAGCTGCTATTTCTGTTCTGCATTCAAGCATTGTATGTGGTCCCTTTGTTTATGTTTGATTATCAAGTGTATAATCAGAAGTGAAAAGAATCACAGTGTTAATTAGTATTGAGATAATAAATAAAATGTTTCATAGATATATAAAGTCAAGATATGGAGTAGTGAACCCAGTGTCTTGAAGTTCATGAATTTTTTTTCATAAATATTTGTGGTGCCCCTAGGCCTAATCTGACCAGATCTTTGAAAGAAAAAAAAGAAAATGCAGAAAGAATGTTTGCCAGTGAGTGTTGGGAAGCGAACAAGAAGTTGTGGTGCTTGGGCATCAAACAAAGCACGTAGACAAAAAATGTAGAGGTATTTCCCTGTTGTCCAAAACCTCTGTATGAAGCAGTTGGTTAACAATTCACCCACAAAGAACAACAAAGCCCGACTCTTCATGGGAGACAGAGGTATACAGAGGCATGCACAATTCAGTGCAGGGGGGTCCCAGGCTTGTATCTCGACATCCAGGAGTCTGCTCAGTTTCTGTCACCACAAGAAAGAAAAGGGGGAAAAAAAAAAGAAAAAGGAAAAATGAAGATATTCTGGAATGATGCACCCGGCCGCAGAAAATTGACAGTGGCTGATTCGAGTGCCAGCCAGCAGGGTCTGTGCACGAGGAAGCTTAATTCACCCAGAAGGTTTAGTTTGATCCCCCGATCAGCGCCACGGATGGGACAACCTTATACCCGGGCCCCCCCACCTTCGGCACTGTACCTGGTGAGGTCCCACAGACCACACCACGCTACAGCTTCGAATTCTCGCTGATTTTCTTGTTCTTATCGGCAGGGATATCTGTGGCATAAAGGTGACACCATGGCTCGCTCTTTTGCTCTTGTTTGGCGTAAGAGAGGAAGCCTTCACCATAGGCAAGGTTGGAGTAACCAGTACCGTTCTTATCCTGGGGCGATGAAACGTTTCTGAGATACGAATTATTCGTTAGCACAAGACCAGTAAGGAAACGGTATTTGAAACCTACGGCTTTTGATGGTCGTGTGGAAGAAGTGTTGGATCAAGAAAAGTGGCTGTTTTGGTTGCTTGTGACCGTTCCTGGATCCCAGGATTCGCGACGTACGAAAACTGAGATCCGATGTCGGCGATATGATACTCTAATAGTCCTAGGCCTGAAGGATCATGATGGTCCTTGGGGATATAAACACATTTGAAAGTTTCTTGACCCGACTTTCGACGATGAGATTTGAGGACCCTGTTTGGCATGGCTCCGAAGAAGAGGAACACAAGGACTGAAAGGGCTGGGTTACAGATAGGATATGAGGTGTCAGGACACGGAGAGATAGTATATTGCTGGAAAGGATAGTTTTGAAGGAAGAGGAAAGAGGTTTGAGGAAATTGACATTGATTCAAGCACAGGAAATCTCAATCTTTTATATTGGATTGTACATCCAATGATCGTAGGCGTATGTATAGATGTTCTTCCCCAGCTTCCAGGCGTGCATGCGCTACCATTTAGGTTAAGGCTGCCCGAATTTCATGGATTGCAGCAGTGTAAGCCTACGCTGTGGAATCTGTTCCCACTGTACATAAGGCGGAGAGGATTCCGCTCGCAGATCCTTTACACATGGATAGTCCATTGATCAAGCACTGTCATATATAAAAGCGTTCCTTGAGTGCTGCTCTAGTCACCTAGATAGGTAACTATTATTTAATGCGCAGCCACAATTTCGTTGAAAAGGTTCGATGTCAGTTTTAGTGTGGAAGTACTTCCGATTCTGTTCATGTGCAGCCGGTTGTCTTTCAAAGGAATGTCGCCCGGACCTTAGGCGCGGTCCTTGCAGCTTGGACCGTAAAGTCGGAGCAGGAGATAGCCAATTGAGACAATCAGCGGCTGCCAAATCCAGCATGGCACACATGAAGATACCGACGGACGTCAGCTCCTTGTAGCACAGATCCACAGTTGGATATCAAGCCCTGAAACAAGCAGGCCCCTTTTCCACCAATAACGGCCCAATGTCCGCAGAGATGTCGAATATGCGATACCGCCTTTCTGACCGACCCCCGTGATGAACGTCAAGTCCCTCCAGATCGTCGTCGGATGTTCCAGCGAATTCAGGAATCCAGGCGATCTCAGCGGGGAAATTAAGATTAAATTCGCAGCCTTGTGCTTCAAAAAGTCAGGTGAACCATTAAAACTTGGGAAGGGGATTCCCTCTGCGAATACTTTTTGTGCACGTCCACAGCTCTTGATGTCTTCTGTTTCGGTGTTTTCGTGAGAACAGAGCCGCAGTTGTGGATGGAGCGCTGCTCTAGCACACCTCATCGACAGTAGGGCGACATGCAAATAACTCCTCCGTACGGAGTACATAATGTTGCTTTCTTTCCCTTTTTTTTTTCTCCCTTCCCCTTTTTATGAAGCCAATTGACGAATGAATCAGCGAGATACCGACGAGATGGCCAGGCCGACTGCGCCACAACAAAATGAGTAAGCAAGGCTACTGTGGCGGTCTCGGAGTAGGAATGCGCTAACCCATTTCAGGCAGGATACTGTGGCTGGGTGCTCTGGCGGTGCCCTTTTGTTTGTGGCTTGCCTCAGCGCGCCGACCGGTCGGACTTGGGCGAACTGAAAAACTGGCGTCGCGAGAAAAAAAAAGTTTCTGGAGATCTCCAGAAATGGAGGCTAAATCTTTCTCAACCTAATTCCGTTGCCACCAAGTTCCGCTCAGGATTTTTTTAGTTTATGTCTTTTTTTTCTTTCTTTTTTTTAATAAATAAAATTTTATTTTCGGCAGATCTTCTCGTTTGGAAGATAAATCAGACGTCCAATGATAGGAAACCGGATTCTATGACACTTGGAGGATCACCGCTTTCTCATACCTTAAACTTGCGATGTCGTTCCCAGCTCCCTCCCCTGACCTCTCGCGAGGAGCGTCGCGGTTAAAAGATGGGTCGGAGCCACGCCAAAGTGTGATGATACAGTCCGGAGAAACCGATGATGTCGAAGTGGCTCCAGCACTGGAAGCCAAGTCAAAGCCTGCTGTGAAACCATGGGCTCATTTCTTCGCAGGAGCGTAAGTGGTGAATTTTCATAGCCAACGCCGAGCCGCAAAGGAAACATGCTGACGGATGCCTTTTCATGCTCCTTGTAGCGTCGGCGGGATGACTGCTGCAACCCTTACTTCCCCTCTCGACGTATTAAAAACGCGTCTTCAGTCAGACTTTTATCAAGCCCAACTTCGATCCCTCCGTGCCGCTCATCCATTGCCGCAATCACATTCCATACTGTCCTTGTCGCGCAGCGCGATGGTCCACTTTAGCGAAACCGTTCAGATCCTCCGATCAATCCACGTACATGAAGGATGGCGCGCGCTGTTTAAAGGGCTGGGCCCCAATCTTACCGGAGTAGTTCCCGCCCGGGCGATCAATTTCTATGTATACGGCAATGGAAAGAGGATATTGAATGATTATTTCGGCTATATCCCAACTGAAACTCCGGCAAGCATTCATCTAGCTGCTGCTGCGGTTGCTGGTATTGCTACTGGCACTGCCACCAACCCGATTTGGCTTGTGAAAACTCGGCTGCAGCTCGACAAGTCGAATGCTTCGAATATACCTGGCCGTGGGAGACAGTACAAGAATAGTTTGGATTGTATTCGACAAACAGTCCGTCACGAAGGGATTCGGGGTTTATACCGGGGCTTAACGGCGTCGTATTTGGGAGTCACGGAGAGTTCACTCCAATGGGTCATGTACGAGGAGATGAAACGTATACTAGCCAGGCGTGCGGCTCGACGAGCGGCTGACCCGGCACATGTACGCGGATGGACAGACACGGCAGAACATTGGGTTGGCACGATTACAGCGGCTGGTTCCGCCAAATTGCTTGCTGCAGCCGCTACATATCCGCACGAAGTAGTTCGTACTCGACTACGACAAGCCCCCACAATCCCGGCTGGTGGAGGCAAGGTCCAAATGAAATACACTGGATTAATGCAGTGCTTCCGGGTGATCTGGAAGGAAGAAGGGATGGCTGGGTTATACGGTGGCTTAACACCACATCTTCTGCGAGTCGTTCCTAGTGCGGCAATTATGTTTGGAATGTAAGCTTTGCCACTCATGCTTCGATCTCAAGACCGTAGCTATGGATCTTTGGCTAACCTATCTTAGGTATGAAATGATTCTCCGGCTATGTGGCACGACCTCATAAAGACCGCCCTTCCCACCTACTTCCCTAACCTCCGATTCCACCGCTGTCGGCACTTCGATATAGCCTATGAATGCTCGATATCTATGTTCAGCACCTAATATTCCCCGTAGAGGCCGCCTTTATCGTTAAAGATGGAGACCAAAGGTCTGAGACAATCTCCACTTCCGGCCTTCTTTGCATTTTCAGGCGTTATAGATGATGTGACAACCCAGCTTCTGTTTGATTCGAGCTAGACCAAAAAGCGAATATGGCGCGGTTTGTAATTGCCTTTCCTTTTCTGTTCACCAGTTGACCAGCGTTATCTGGGCTGGTTTTAACTGCTGATTTCCTCTTGACTGTACATTAATGTTGGTTATTTCCCTGTTGAGGTCTGGGTTGTAGAAGTGATCTACTACTAGTTTCTCTGGCCCGGTTTCTATCTTGCGTGGTTTTAGTGGGTGCTTATAGATGTACCATATACTCTGTGTACTTTGATGAATATCGCATTATCCGTCTACAACGGGCAGAGAATTCTAAATCTGAAATGTAAATATATACCCGGCTATATGACCACAAATGATGTGAACTAAAAGTTGGCAAATATAATATATGGAGTCTTCATTGGTAGGCGAATCCCAATAATGACATTCCACCATACGGGACCTCGCTGGAGAGGCCTCGCATTCCGGATGCCAATATAAGCTTCTACGGTTCCGTCCGGTTGGATATACTTTGTTTAGTTACAATAAGCAATGGGCGAGGCAAATTTGTGCACTATTACGTTGCAGAGTGGGTTCAAGATTCGGGGATCTGTTCACTAATAGTTTTGGATATCATCCGCGTCAAAGTGCCTAAAGGATGGGATAAAATGGTAGGAGGAATTCGTATATTGCACCGTCGAAGGTTTTGTTCATTATGTAAAACATAGACCTGCCATATGACCTGAACAAGAGTAGCCCTCCTCCAAGGTAAATAATGCCTCGAGGAACTCTATGTATCACGAAAACGGAGGCCTATTTGACCCGTCTATCCCATGCTTTCAGAGCGTTCCTCCTTCACGTTATGCAAACATTACCCTCGACGGAAGGCTAGGGTAGTAGGAAGTAGAAAAAAATGAAGAAGGATTCTCCAAATAAAGACGCCCAGTGCCACATAAAACGTTGAAATTTTTTCATTCCATTAGATAGTCGTTTCATATGGAACAGGAATGATGGTCTCAGGGAAGTTGTTCTCCGTGCTGACTGTCCGTGCATCCCGGGGAACGACGGGTTGTCTCTTCAAGTGCACATGGATACCCTCCTCCTTGGCCTTTCGCTTCTTGATGGCGTTCTCCTTCACTCGGTTCAAGAATTCCTCCCGGGATCGGGAGTGGTTGACGTGCTCGATGCGGACGTTGACGCGCTTCTCCATGTATCTGTTGCCGACACGCTTGTAGATGATGACGCCGACGGCGGATTTGGTCACGTTGTAAACAACTCCGGTCTTGCCGTGGTAGACCTTGAAAGGCATACTATAGAAAGTTCAAATTGTTTAGTATACGGTTTCCCCGGTTTTATGCGCTTTTCTTGTAGGTGCAAAGCAAGAAGGATTTGTGATCGATGGAGCGGGATTGCGTGGGAGGAATGCTCGATTGTACTGACCCCTTCTGAACAGCACCGTTGACCTTGATATCGACAATATCACCGACCCTAAAAACCCCATCAGCCAATTGCGACAAAACACTCGATAATCCGTTTTCGCGCCAGTTTCATCATACCGGTAGGTCTTCAGATATGTCGACATGGCAATAGTGCCATGCTTCTTAAAGTCCCGAGAGAAGGCATACTGTCGGTCGCCTTGTTAGCATGTCGCTTTGAGTGATCTCCTAGGGGGAGGGGCCGTATTGTTGGCATACCCGAGTGCCGGATCTCAGACCGCGAGAGTGACCCATCTTTACGGTGTTGCTGGAGTAAGACGGTGGTTGTCGACGTTCAAAGGGGAGCGCACCGCGGACAGAGTTCTTCTGGCCTTCGTTCTTGGAATGACTTTCGATTTTCGCTTAGTTGGGCTTGGGGTTGTGCGGGTTCAGCCCTAAGTTACCCGAAGCGGTATGGTGAGCCTGCCCGCACGGCCCGATTCGCGCTAAGCGAACAAGCTCTCATTTTCCACCTCTCCAATTTCGAATCCTCTTCCTGTTCGATCGTTCGACAATTCACGCCGCGACGACTTGATTGCGCAGCCAATTTACAACCAACAACATGGCTCCGTATGTTATCACTACCCTCTCCCATCGTAAAAGGCGTCGCAAATGCTAATTTTCGTCCACCAGGCGTTCATACTCCAAGACCTACAAGGTCCCTCGTCGACGTAAGTTTGGAACCTGAAGAACCATTCGATCGAGCATACAAATGGCTAACCATGGTGTATCACAGCATACGAGTCGGCCCGTCTGTTAGTATTCTTCGGCCACTGAGCAGCAGCTTGTCTCTGCTTACGTCGTGTGAAAATATTCCTAACGTGTTGTTCCTCAATTATATAGTGACTCCGAGTTGAAGATGGTCGGCGAATATGGCCTGCGTAACAAGCGTGAGGTGTGGCGTGTCCAGCTCACTCTTTCCAAGATTCGTCGTGCTGCTCGGTATGCATATTCCTCAGCCTTGCCCATCATATATTACGCTGAAGTTTTGGGTGCGAAGAGAACGAAGCTAACGTCTTGGTCTGTGTGTTTTCAGTGAGCTTCTCACTCTCGAGGAGAAGGATCCCAAGCGTCTCTTTGAGGGTAACGCCTTGATTCGCCGTCTTGTTCGTGTCGGTGTGCTCGACGAGTCCCGCATGAAGCTCGATTACGTCTTGGCTCTCAAGGTTGAGGACTTCTTGGAACGCCGTCTCCAGACTCAGGTCTACAGACTTGGTCTCGCTAAGTCCATCCACCACGCTCGTGTGCTCATTAGACAGAGACACATCCGGTAAGATAAAGAGCCACAAATGCCCTCTTTTCCCATGGACGACGTCACTGATTTGTCGATGCAATAGCGTTGGAAAGCAAATTGTCAATGTTCCCTCCTTCATCGTTCGTCTCGATTCCCAGAAGCACATTGACTTTGCTCTTACCTCCCCACTTGGTGGTGGTCGTCCTGGTCGTGTCCGAAGAAAGAAGATGAAGGCTGCCGAGAAGGGTGATGAGGAAGCCGAGGAGGAAGAAGAGTAGATGCATCGCCCCAGATGACCCAATAAAAATAAAATTTAGCTTTAGGAAATACCTTAGCTTCGTGTACGATCACGATATATGTTCATGAACTAATTCCTATTCTACGGTGTCCCCTATATCCACTTGTCGAAGTAATTGCTTGCCTACAGAGTATACTCCCGTAAACGATACCCGTCCTCGTTGCCGTAACGCCAAAACGCCCATTAATCTCCTCCCATTCACATATACTTCAGCGCAGTTCTCATTTATGTTCCTACCAAACTCTTAAGGCCTTGCTCTACGCCTTTGTACCATCTTCCCATTTCTTCCAGCCCGTCACTTTCTCCTTCGTTCTTCCTCCTGCGGGTTTCTCTCGCTTGAGCAACAACTTCGTTCCGCCTCCTCTCCAACCCGGCAATTTCTCGTTCTGCCGCTTCAGCCTCCCTAGCTTTCCTAGGCAAGACGGGTCCTACCGAGCTCAGCTGATGGTTTAGGCTTGCAAGCTCAGCTTCACGCTCCGCGAGGAGAGCAAGTGTATCCTGGAGCGAGAGAGTTTGGGACGCAGGGACATCCCCAGATTCAGGCGACTGTGAGGCATTGGCCGATGAAGCACGCAGCTCAGCTATGGTATTCTCAAGCTCAGAGATTGACGAAGGTAGCTCAGCGAGCTGAGTGGTTTGGAGCTGGACTTTTTTGTATCGGCTCGCCAGATCTCTACCCGATTTCTCCATCTGTTCTATTAAATCTGCAACTTCCTTTTTGCGCTCCTTCAAATCGGCTTTGACCAGGGCCAGCTGGGCTTCTAGCTCCACATTATCATTGTGTCCCACGACGAGGGGTGGATCTCCCACGATGGCTCGCAGGAACTTTTCCTTTGTAACTTGTTCGAGGTACGAGAAGCGCAGTTTAGAGAAAAGTTCCTATTTGCCCAGTATCACTGTTAGTTAAGGGATTTTCGCATAATATGTATCAGACCCATCTGGAGGGGGGGCTGCCTTTATGGACTGGCTGGCCGTCCCTCCGAACTCACCTTATAATGCGCCAAGTCAGCCTCCAGGGCTGTCGGCGTCGGGTTCTCGAATCCGTTTGTAGATACATCTGAAATCCGCTGCTTTGAAGGAGATAATTGATTTAATTTATTCTCATCAACGACATCTGCATTTGAAGCGATGGGCTCACTAATTCTGATTATTGAGAGCTCTGGGTACGCGGCATCGAGCTCCTCGAGTTCGGCGCGAATGTCTGAGAGGGATTTGGGCGGGGCCATTGCAATCGAAGCGGGTTATATATAGCCTTCTATTCAATTGGGATTGAATAAGCGGTATTGGTTCTTGAGATACTTTGCCAGGTTCCCGCAAATGCTATTTTACCCGTGCGTTCTCCATTCCTGATGCCCTCGTCGCGTCCCACATCTTATCGTTTTTCTCTCGACTGGAGATAAACATGACGGAATTTGCATTGTTTGCGCTGTTGCCATCACGTGATGACTATTCACCGCCCGCCGACGTCCACGAGGCGCTTGGAACGGCGAGCGTGCCTTGAAGCATCCAGGCTCGAGTTCTCGATACCTGGCGCTTCCTCGGAATACGAGAACGTGTCCTTTGAATATACTTGAACTACAGTTTGGATACCCAGACGATGCCAAAGCCTGCCCAAGGCACCGACACCTCCCACCTACATAACGACGATGCGTACATCGCCGAACTTCTAGCGAAAGATGCGCGAGAATGTTCGCTACGATACTCTGCTCTCGGGGTTTACGGCGGTGCTCCTAAGAGGTAATAGTTCCCCGCCCTTTCGTTCTGTCAACACGCTGTTAATTTGTTATGCTTTGAATAGACCTACGAGCGGCGCCCCCAAACCGAACACACGTTTCTTAAAACATATTCTACGCGAGACTGATACACATAATGCCAATCTCAAGCGGAAGGAAGAGGAAGAAGCCAGAGAAAGAATTAGGCAGCTTCGGAGACGGGAAGTGCTCTCCAAAGAAGAATCTAGAAGAGATAATCGTGAACGCGGAAGGGAGTCAAAACGGCGGCGAGTTGAGTCACCCCAAGACAAGGAAGAGGACCGAAAAAGAAGACGCGCCCATCACTCTAGGGACTATAAAAATGCAAGCGATGAGAGATCATCGAGACCCGAGAAGGATAAGTCAAGCAGGAGCAGGCATCATGACGGGGGGTCTGACACGGAAGACCGAAACCGTTCCCACAGACACCGAAAACACCGAGAAGACGATAAATATGAACGCCATAGCAAGCATCGCAAACGCGGGAGATCACATGAACGCTCTCCAGACAGGCACAAAGTTGGAGACAAAGAACACCGACGCAGGAGATCCTCCGAGCGCCAACGTCGTCACAGCGTCGAAGACACTCGCGGGGCACATAAAAAGCAACGCAATTACACGAAATCCTCCGATTCCCGCCTTAATAATGATGTGGACCAAGACGATACCCGGAGCGTCCAATCCACTGACTCGGACCCATTAAGCAACCTAATCGGGCCCCTACCTCCATCAGGGACGGATGCTCGGACTCCTCCAGTTCTCCCGCGTGGACGTGGAGCTTACAGAGTCAACTCAAGCACTATAGACTCACACTTCACCGAAGGATACGATCCAGCCCTAGACGTCCACTTGGACGACGACGACGACGAGTCGACAACAAAGAAAAGCACCCGTCGACCAGTCCCTGGCATGGCCACGGAGGACGACGATTGGGACATGGCGCTCGAGGCTCTCCGAGACCGAACAGCATGGAAGCGTGATGGTGCAAAACGGTTACGCGAAGCAGGGTTCGAAAATGCAATCGTAGAGAAGTGGGAAAATAACACGGCGTTTGCCGGTCTGGACGATGGCTCCGTGCTAGATGTTAAATGGGCGAAGAAAGGCGAAAGTCGGGAATGGGACCGCGGGAAAGTTGTGGATGAAAGCGGGCATGTTCATGTCAAGCCAGTTTGGTAAACGCAATCGATATTATTGCATATTCTTCCCTGAGATTCTTTTTTTCTTTTCTCTCCCGAGACCCGCATTATTATTTTTTTTTTTTGCTTATTGCTCCTGTGTTTGCGTGGATAATACACTCACGGTCGTCAATGAAGCATAAAGAAGCCTCGAGATGGGACTTTCATTTAATGCATATGACCAAAGGAGCAAAGATAATCATGAATACCAAGCAAATGAAACGACACAAATTATCTTAATCGACCGGCCGTCTGAAAAGAAAAGCAAAACCCTTTTTCTAACACAATATTGGAAGACAACACAATCTTCTGGGTGGGGGCGGGGGGGGCATAAGAAATATGAAATTAAAACCGACATATGCAAGGAAAAGCAGAAGCATGTACTCCATATGGGCCATGCATTCTGAAACCCCAGGTATCGCTATCTTTTTGGTTCTGCTGCTTGAGAGAAAGCGCGCGGCGGGGATTTTGGGACGATCGCGTCTTTATTTTTCGCGTTTGCTCTCTCCTGTGTAAAATGTGAACCCGGGATTGGGGGATCGACTACAATGCACTCGACTTCAAATTAAACCAAGTTCCATCATTCTAAAAGAAAAGAAACCTGAAATTCCGATCCCCTTACTGATAGCCTTCTCTCTCCCTCTTTTTTTTTTTTTTTCTTTTATTTGTTGTTCTTTTATTCGCGCTCAAGAAGTCATCGGCTGTTATCGTTTCTCTCGTTCGTTTCATGCCAATTTGACGTTAAGGTACGGGGTTATAAGATATTGATTCGTTGGGTGCAAGGGGGACGCCGCGGGTAAGACCACCTTTCCATGGTCCATAAGCGACAGGATCATGTTCCAGGTAGGTGTTTTCGATGTCGTCACAGATTGTAGCTCTGGGCATTGTTTCGTCTAGTATTCTGTGGTGGACTTTTATTGAACGACTGTATTTGTGCGTACTTGACGGATGTTAGTCACGCCGGTATATGCGGAGAGTCAGCCGCTACCTTTCGACGCCAAAACCGCGTCGTGTCAGGGTCAAGAGGGATATGAGCCGTTTCCATAGCAGTTAAGAGCCGAGAGAGCGACCCCACGGGCTGCAAGCCGGAGAGTAGGGAGAATGCGGAAAGAGAAGGCGGAGAAGCTGTCGAATACGTCGGTACATGCTGTGTATAAGTGGGACTGGGAGGATCTTCGCTGTCCGATCCAGCCGTGGCGGGATTGGCGCCGTCCAAGCGCCATTCTTCAAGACCTAAGAACTCTATCAGAGTCTGAATGCCTATCCTCCCCGAAAAATCAACCATAGCTCCTAAGAATCTGATCCAGTGAACCATCGTGTCCGGATCTAGAGTGCCTGGCTGCTGACGGAATTCGATCGTGGGAAGTTTTCGTTTAGGGAATATATTATCATTATTGTTGTCATCATGGTTAATCATGTTGCGAGCAGGTGCATCCAGGGAATCCAGAAGTGGAGTAAAATTATACTTGTAATAACGAGCATCTCTTGGATTGGAGGGAGCTGGAAGCCGAGGGTTCATCACGTTAATGATCGATTTGATATCGGGGCAAGTGTTGAGAAGATGAAGAGCCATGAGTGCCCTGGGTGACTTTGGCGGGAGGTTTGGAGGTTGAAAATGCGGGCTGTTGACTGACGTGATGCATTGCATCTGGTATGGACAAAAAAAGTTATCGTTAGTCAAATAAATAAATATAATGGATTAGGGTACTATAAGGTGGGGGGCCAAGCTGACATATACCGGCTCATTCAGCATTCGATTCCACGAGGGCGACGTGTCGAGCAACTTGTCTAGTTCCGGTTCATATACGAGCAGTATCATTGCGAGGTTGCGAACCGTATGGAAGGAGAAAGCCGAATCCGGGTCCGTACCGTTGCCGATGTGCACATGAAGACCGGTGGTGCTGTTTTGCTCGAAGTACATGCGGAGCTCTCTCCAAGGGATTGGATTGTATTGACCAGATCGAGAATTGAAAATTCGCTGGATGTCATGTTCCCACAGGGGCGAGTATATGCGATAGGGAGGTGATATGATCTCGATCGGCTGGGTTTCGTCTTTATCTTTTTTGTCAGTCCATATGTGTCCTGACGCGAGGATATGGTAAGCAAGCATGGGCTCTTACAGCATTCGAACCACTCTGGATAATTCGGAGCAGCTGTCTTGTCCGTGGTCAAGTTCCAAAAGGAGTAATCGATAGCATCGCTGTTGGATGAGTCGTCGTCGTCATCATCTTCCACTCGTATTCCAACACCGGTACCGTCAGGCCCATGGAGGCGGACGAGACGAAGGCGGTCCCCCAGAAGGCTTGCAATGGTAGCATTTGGAAAACGGTTGAAGGTCGTTGCCTTCATTGCAGCGAAGAACTCCACCTCCAAGCCAAACGTAAGCGTCGAACCAAGGCCATTTTGAGCAGGTCCTCGCATCATTCTCAACAAAGATCAGAGTAGCTCAACCAGCGCCCACAATCATCATCCAAGAGGAGAATAGGAGTCAGTCGTGCCTTTGCCCCGTTGAATGTGAAGGTGGCTGCTATACTTTCTCGGTGAATATAAATTTATATGTGAAGGATCGAAGAGAGGGCTTGCGAGTTGCTGATTCAAGTATGTCGGCGAACCGTCTAATGGTGGCATGAGGAAGCATCGCGAGGCAACAAAGACATCTAGAGATGCTTGCTGTGCACCCACGATGCTGTGCAAGGAGAACCAAACTGAGTGAATCAAGGTTTCCTTTCTTGTTTCAGGCCGGCCTCTTCTAAAAAAAAAAAAAAAAAGCTGTCGGCTGCCGCAGCTACAGAGTTGCGCCCTCGAGCGGAACGGATATCACTCTGGAAAAGATGACACGCATAACCAGACTAGGAAGAATAAGGCAATCGCCAAAGTGCTAGGCAGAAAGGCGAACGGTATGAACAAGACAGGAGGACGGAATAAGAAAAACGGACGGAGGCAGAACAGAAACTTGCAATACCGACCATTCAAACGCTTTCGGGCAGTTGGGACCAAAAAGTGTAAAAAAAAAAAAAAAGGAAAGAAAAGAAAAGAAAGGAAAACAACTGTCGAAAATTTCTGCGGCGTGAATGAGTTTTCTGCAGGTCGATGCGGGAATTTGCAGGGTCTAGCCGCCTACAATCAACCGCCTGCCATCGGTATCCGTAACGCGATTCAATGTCGTGTCTGTGTCGGGCTGCAGTTCAAACGGGAGGGAGATCAGTCTGTACCGTGAAGCGGTGGCGGCAGCACAACAGCAGTAGCCGAGAGTCTAGGATGCCGGAAGCCGCGAAAGGGAAAACAAACGCGCGAGCGGAATGAAAATTGCAGCTTTGCCGTCTTAGTTTTAGAGAGCGACAGGCATGTTGATGCTGACGCGACACTATCTCTCGAGAGTAAACTTATGGTGAAGGGGGGGGAGGGACGGAGACGGTCGCACGGGGGTGAACTATGGCTGCCACGGCAGCAAGACACAGGGCGAAGAAAGACTTTATTTTCCGGGGGCAGCGTGGGAAGAGAGCTTGACGCAGATATGACTGATCGAATTAATTAAAAAAACACAACTGCTCAGGCGCTAAAAATTCAGAGCAATGTAGTCGGGCAGGGGGATGGGCGGCGACAGTCAAAGATCAAGCCACCCAACGCATCCACGAAAGGGAAAGGGAAAACCAAAAAAGAAAAAAAAAAATTTCGTCAGATTGCAGCGTCGGCTTTTGGACTCGTATCCGTGGCCGTTGCGGACGTTCAGGGAAAATCCCACAAAAGAGGTTTTTGGGAGCGGGAATTTGAGGAAATGCGCATCTTTGTTCTGAGCCAAGTTCGGGAACAAGAGCCAAACCGGTCGACAACCAAGCGTTGGGCTTGCGCGCTGGGCGAGGGGTGGGGAGGACGGTCTAGAATTGCGCTGCGATGGATTCAGTTTTATTCTTAGATGAAGCCAAGTCAGTTAGCGTTGTCACTTCGGGCGTCGTGCAGCTGGGGAGCGAGAACGGCCCAGTCAACGCGCACCCGCTAAGACAATCGCATGAATTGGCGCCAGAGTCCGCCAAGCTAGCTGGCTGGCAGCAGATCCTTGCAGGGAAGCAGAGGCGAGGCCCATCCGCAATACGTCCGTGGAGTTTACGCCGGACGGGAGTCGCGTTTGCTGCTTGCTTCTCGAACCAGCGTCCTGCAGACGGCGTGATGAGTGGCTGGAGGTTAATGGCTCTGATGATGTTTGCTGCCAGGTTCCGCCGCCCCGGTTCGTCCTGACAGACGAGAGCCCACCGATCCGGAGCACAGCAGAGGCAGAGGCGGAGCTGGACTTGCAGAAGCACAGAGAGAGAGAAAGAGAGAGAGGGAGAGGGAGAATTTCCAATGGAACTTCCAGCGGAGCATTTGCCAAATTGGGTTCGGGCCGAAGCTGGGCTTTGGTTCAGACAGAGAACAACTTCTCGATGCCGCTCGCTGCCCTTGGACGGTGGCAAGGATTCCGCCATGTAACTACATCATCATCATCATCGTCATCATCATAGTTGACTGCTACGCAGACTATTGAGTGACTGTGCGACACCGCCAGTGACGGCGGGCGGGATCTCTCTGGGTTCACGACAGGCTGCGGAGCATTCTTTCGTCGTCGTCGTTGTCGTCGTCGTTGTCGTCGTCAAGGTTCTGTCGGGAACTCGCTAAACTGAAACTTCAACTGCCAAGAGACGGCGACGACGCCGGCCGTCTAAACCGCACGCACTCAAACGCACATCTCGCTGCGCCGTTGGTCTTCGAATAATTACAGCAGTTTCAGACGGGGCCTGAATATCGTCGCAGCAAAACATATGCACATACGTACATAACATACATACATACATGCAGACAGACAAACAGACAGACAGTACCACCTTCGCCGTCCTCCTCAGCCCGGGTTTGCGCGTAGTAGCCCCAGGTCGGAATGCCGGACCAGTTTTCGTACCAATACCCCTCACCACTGGAGGGGTACGACATGCTCCCTGCACTGCCCAAGTAAGTCGCCATGCTCCAGACGCCGGCGCGCCGCATCGCAGCTCGCTGATTCTAGTTATCACGGCTCCAGCGACAGGAATGAGGACGGAAAGTCGTTCAGGAACCCTCCCACCGGCGTTCTCAGTGGCGCCTACGATCGATTCCCAGATCCGCTAACCGACGGCCGGCGAGGCGGCTTCGATGTTCACATATACCACTATCAGGTCCGTCATGACTCGTGAGCGAGTTGACGCCAGGAATTGTCCCTTCTTTTTTTTTTTTTTTTTTTTTTTGTCTCTCTTTTCCCCCTATACTCTTCCTTGAACCGCGGCTTGCGTGGTAACACTTTGGCGCAGCGAGCTGGAACTGGGAGCTGACACGAATGCAGAACAATCCCGAGCAAGCCGAATTTGCTCGAGCCCTCTGGGAGCGTATCAGACGCGAATGTAATGCTTCTCCTACGTGTCTCCTTGTTTCATTTCTGCGGAGCATGTAGAGACCCGGACATTTCTTGGAACGTAGTTACGGAGCACTCTGTGCTTTGTGCAAAAAAAACAATTGCTTGAGGACTCTGTGTTACGATTCATGTCCCGGCTGCCAAACAAATTAACTAACTCATGCAATCCCAGTTCCCGAGCTTCGTATCTATGAGTTCTTCGACCGACCAGTTGGCCCGCATCCAATTGCGATGTTTGAAGTGAACCTTTTCACTCCTCAGCAATTTGGCGCTTTCATTCCTTGGCTGGTGATCAACCGTGGACCGCTCAGCGTCCTGATCCATCCAAACACCACAGACGAGGAAGAAGAGAGAAACCACACGCAGCGTGCGACATGGATGGGCGAGAGAATTCCCCTCGATCTGCGAGTCTTCAAGCTGATGAGACACAACAAGTGACTGAAACTCGAAAGGAACTAATAATTCTCTCTTCACCCAGCCGGCTCTGTGCTTCTCTCGCTTAATGGGTCCTGATCGCCGTCGATCTCCCTTGCATTTGTGCTGGATGAACGGGGTTGTTCCATACTCATGAGTATCTATATCACGAGAGGTCCTTGTACACTACTTTTCTTGTTTCTCGTACCGAACAGCGGTGTTTGCTTTTAAAATTGGAATACATGCTAAGCCCGCGTATTTTCCCCCCTCCCCTCAAAGCCCCAAAATTGGGCTGGTGGCAGAACTCAAGCTTTTCTCCCAGCGCCATCCCGATCGTCCCTCATGTCACCACATGGCAAACAAAGAAAAGCAAACAAATTCCGAAGAAGAAAAGAAAAAAAAAAGAAGGCGGGAAAATTCAAAAGTTGGAGAAGAATTACCATCATTAAACGCTGCGGGGGCGCGCATGTGGAAACCGGCCCTCCTCTTTAGCCGGATGGGGATGCTCCATCATATCGTGACACGGGCCTCGTCCGTGTGTCAGTTGGAAATCGCGCATGAGCTGCCGCAGTTGAGCTAGTTAGTTTATCGGCAGCCAACAAAACTTGTCAACTAACTAGTTATCCTCTGTCTAAATTTTTTTTTTTCTTTTTTTTTCCCGCACGCAAAATCAAAAATAACTATTAGTCGTTATGAGGTTGTAATCATCCGTGACTCGACAATCCTCGCCTGAAACCCTCCCAACTTACCGGATACCCCGTACTTCATCTCGTCCGTGAAGCAACTTCGATCCCAGCTTCCGTCCGCCGGGTTCACCAGGCCCCCCCTTGGTGGGAAGCCATTCCCGTGAACCCTGTCCTGCCGATCCCGCGCCAACAGGGGTCCGGAGCTCTCCACGCAAGCCAGTTTGCTTCGTTTGCAGATTTGGAATTTTGGAAAAAAGCGCCTCAAGCGCTCCAGTTAGAGTTCTGCGTCTGGCGACCGGGAGCTCCATCTTCCCCAAGAGTGGTTCGGCCGGCGCTTCTTGTCTTTGCCGCAAAACTTGTGAGAGGGGCGGGTTGTTGCAAGAAAACAGTTTGCTTGCTTGTTCAACAATATCAAAGACAATCCAGCTGCAATGCTCCGTACAGAGTAACTAGTTAGTTGACTTGGCTGACCAGCCAGCTGGCCTGGTCACCTTTGGGCGTCAAATGATTGCTGATCGGATAGCCTCCTGCCTCCATCCGAGAGAAATTCGACGAGGATCCTGAATCCCGTTCATCAATCGCCGTGTGCAACGCCAACCATCCATCACATACATAATATATATGAAATGTCCCACATGCATCATCCTGCAGCCCATTTCGCCACTTAGAGCCAGCAATGTTGTGGTGTACTTCGGAACAGCGCTGCGGTTTGTTTTTGGTGTGCTGCATATAACTATGTCGTACCTTTAAAATTCTTTTATTTTCCACCTTTTGCTTGACATTCATGGATGCCAAGCCAATTCCCTCTTTTTTTTCCCTGTCTCATGACTGCGCGATTCCAGAAAGGGTCGACGACCATCTTACCTTTTTATCCGGCATGAGCAATATTTCCTGCATTTCCGTTTGACATCTCGATCCGGACCCTTGATATGAGGCGCTGCGGCTGTGAGATCCGTGAATGGGCTGAACCGCCGGCAGATCCGAGCATGTCACGAATATATCCGGGCCTGCACATCCTCTGTGACTGTAAGAGGCCTGATGCAGGACGAGGGGGGATGTTTTTGTTTTGAGAAAAGAAACTCGGCTCGAAACTTGGATTTCTACCAAGGAACGAAGGATCTGCCAGATACGTGCCTCGACAATTGTCAGGCCCAAGAACAAACTCTCAGCTCCTATCGTCTCTTGCCGCTCTACAATCTTTGGGCAACACAAAGCTGGTTAACGTGGGGGAGGAGGGGGTTCATCCTGTCCGCCATGGCCGGCCCCAACAAACTTGTGACACATCACTCGACCTCCTTTGATTTTGGACCAGCTTCGCTGGGGCTATGATTGGACAAGAAATTGTTCCCGGACTTGGAGAGCTGGTCTTGCCTTATCACCACGGAGGTGTGGATACTTACATGCGTACGATGTGTATGCAGGAAAGACGAAGTTAGGAGTACACACACGTGCAAGTTTCCGAGAAAGTGGGATGTCAAGGTTGTCTACTTCCGTGGTGTGAGCCTGTCAAACAGTCTCACCCGTCTGGAACTAACTATCAAAGTCGGCGTGCATCAGCCCGATTGCCTCTATCAGCACCATGCGTATCTCCCGCCTAGTCCATCCACGAGGCCTCTCAGCTCTCCTTTCGTTTCGCCTTCGAGAATGAGCTCGGCCAAAGTTAACTGGGTACCTAGGTATCCGCCTCCACCCAACCCCCCCTCTCCCCCCCAAAAAAAAATTTCCTTACCCTGGTCATCATCTCGATCTCTTGGTGAATATTATTTTGTTCTGGCCGGATTAAGTCAGTTTCCGCAGCTATTACTACCCATTCCTGCACCCACTCCGAGAAGGCTGAAACCCTATCAGCACTGGATTATTATATTTGGGTTGCATTTTCATGGATGCTTCCGTGCTAACAATTTCAGATTAAGCATGAGTATTGATGCTGGCGTTGTCCCTAGTTTGTCGTGGATGGTGTTTGTTGTAGCTGAGAGACAAACGGTGGTGCACCTGGAATCATCACATATTCAGTCGGTGTTCGTTAACACCCGTTTGTAGTTACTCTGAACCCCTGGATTCGTGGAAGACACTCTGTTTGCATCTCCGCTCCTCAGATCTAGTTCACAGATGCGTCTCAGCTTCAGAAGGAGGAGGGGGAGGGGGGGGTGGTTGGGGTTTGTAGATGAGCATGTTCTTCCGTGACCCGGTGTGTTCCGTTGGAGCCCGCCCCCTAGCTTGGCTTCATTCGTTACAACGGATGTCTTCTCGGGATATATTCCTCCATATCTCGTTGAGATCCGAGGAGATAGTTTTGTTTAAACATTGGGACAAAGTTACCCCAAATCAAATTGATCTTTGTCTTTTCAGTTTTCCGAGGAGAAGAGTAAATTCGACACTAGAAGCAAATCTTGCCCAGAGATTTGACTTGATCCATCACATTTGACGACGTGCTGCACACCTCTGAGAGGCTCAATATGTCCCTTATCCGGTGGCTGCACTATATACCCTTTCCAACCATGGGCTGATTAGTCTTCAGGCCTCTGTGGGTTGAGCAGTTGTTAGGGCGCTCTGCTGAAGTTAATGGAGTTCTGCAGCCACATTTCTGGCCATTACATTTAGCTCCATCACAAAAATGAAAGCATGAAGTTTCTCCATATTCATGAATAGCTCTCCAGACTGATGTTGGGGTGCTAGTCCACCACATACATAAGTGCTAATCTTTGTGAAGAGTAGCACATGTGCGGTTTTCCTTTTTGTCTCCCCCCTTTTCTTTTCTTTTCTTTTTTTCTTTTAGTATACTTGACAGATATCATCACCCTAGCTCTTTTTCAACAACAATAAACCCACAACCGGCCTGGATTTTGTTCAAGGTCCCTCTAAGCAGCTTGCGCCCGACCTCGCAAACTCCATTTCCTCAATGTCACAGACACTTTAAATAATCTGCTCTGGCTGCTATCCTGAAAGACAACTGGAACATTGCATTTAAATTGGGTGCAGCTGCAGAGCTGCATAATTATATCCAGGATCCACGGTAGACGTGGTGTATGCAAAAAAATAAACAGCTTCTTCTGCAAAGACCGGGGGTACACATATTCCTTGGTCGGCTTGATATCAAGCTCTTTGCTCCTAGCATTGAGGCTTTGTGGGAATGTGCCTTGCTTTCGAGGAGGCGTCTTGTGCGCGATGGATGCAGCATCAACCGGCCACAGAGCTCGAATAAGACTAAATTCAATTTGCACGAGCAGCTCCATGGCCGGACTAGGGCATATGCTTGATTCTGTTGCGAAGGTAGCATCAGCCGTGGTATGGAGGCAGGATATGAAAGATGAGAGCGCAATCTGCTATGATGATTGTCGTCGGTCCGATCCACGGTTACCCGATCTGCACATCATTAAAAGGTGATGGAGCAGCTTCAAGAGTAAGTGTATAAAACTGAAGCGGGACAAGTTTGGCTTAAGTTGGGCTCTTTTTTTTTTTTTTTTTTTTTTTTTTTTGGATATATTGTCACTGTTTCTCGAGCAGTCCAACGAACCAGGCTCATCAGATTGACGGCTACGCCGCAACTGAGCAGCTTAGAGGGCTGATTTTGAGATAGCAATCGCCAAGCTTTCCGTCGCGCACTGAGCGTGGTGCCATCTAGACACCTTTCTTTTCATCCAAAATCAGACAGTCATTAACTATCTGTTTGTCGACGAGTTAATGCTCTGGTCGGATAAATAAATATGCAGGGGTTCTCTGAATTTTGGCTGGGGTCGTTTGGCGTGTGGTACCGTGGCATTGCTGGATGACACGATGGTCGATTTGGCATGTGATCCCAGGCACGGACTAGGAAGAAGATTGAACTCATGACGAACTCATCAACAGTCCGCTGTCAAGTTGTCAACCCATTCGATCAATATACATGGGACGCCTGACATTTTAGCGGACTGTTCGTCGTCAAAAGGCTTAAAAGTGCCAGGGGCAAAAGGCCGAGTTTGTTCGGTCTCGCCGCCGACAGGCGAAGGGTTATGTCGATCATCATATCCGATTGAGTTGGTCTCCTGATGGAATACGTCGGCCGCCACCCCCGGATGTGTCTGTTGATCTCCTCTTCCTCGACCAAAGAGCTTGTGAACTGCAGGACCGTGCCAATATACCGTTTCCTATATAATGCGTATTCATTGGATAATACCACCCAAGCTCTCCTTAGGGCCTGCGTTTGGCAGGTCAAGCTTTCATCGAGTGGGCTGAGAGCTCATTATTATTGGCTACGCGCCAAGTTGTGCCTATAGACTTGGACCCAAAAAGACATTGATCTCGGTGTCCGGAGGTATCGCTTGTGATACCATCCATTTAAATCCTCATGGGACATAAATAGAGATAGCCCGCCATTTTAAACGCGGCCGAAAAAGGGGCAGATGTCTGTTTTTCTCCGCGCTGGAGGACTGAGAACAGATCACGAACTCGAAATCCAGTAAGAGAGAGGAGCCATATGTCGGCGTGATCTTACGCAGGATTCCCGGTTTCCGAGAAAAGAAATATGTGGTGGAAGAGGTGGCGACACCGAGGGCTGGCTCGGCTGGCCTTCGTCTCCATGCTTGGTTCTAGCCTGATACAAGAAGCACATGGTGCAGAGTGCGCTGTCACCGCTGTCAAGGTGCCCGACTATGTGTTGAAGTATGGTATGGAAGGAAAACCTCCACGTTCATATTTCCGCTCCATACCAAGGCAATCGGTTTGAGGGATTCAGAGGAACATTCCATCATATCACTAATAACGGTTTCGATCGTCTAGCGCCTTTGGTTTGGACACACAGCGAAGATCCTTACCAGCCGTCAGACATCGCCACGCACGTCGAAAATACAATACCGCAAATCAAGTATGAACCTGTCCAGGGGGTACCTTCACCGTTGACACTCGACAATTTGGATGAGTTGAATGCACTTGGGGGTACGGATATTTTCTTAACGTCAAAAGAGGGTATCCGTGCGCTCCCGCCCTGGCTCCAAGGCGTGCGGCCCAATAAGAACGGCAAAACCGAAGGAGCTGTAAGTTCTGCGATTATTGTCACAGAACGTGGAGATGGAGTCGTCGATACGTTTTACTTCTATTTCAACGCGTCAGTATACCAAAGAACGTCGGACCATCCTTCGCTAAGAAGACAACAGGTACAATGAAGGCAATACTGTCTTTGGTACTCAGTTTGGGAATCATGTTGGCGACTGGTAGGTCTAGCCATCTCCGCTGGTGGATGCATTGGCGCCTGAGAAACGTTGCAGGGAGCATAATATGATCCGTTTCGAGAACGGCCAACCGCAAGCAATATGGTACAGCCAGCATGCTAGTGGGCATGCTTTTGAATGGAATGCTGTTGACAAAAGGGGAAATCGACCCATTGTCTTTAGCTCCAACGGCAGCCACGCCGTCTACGCAACGGGGGGGTAAGTGTGAACTTTTCGTCGATATGGCGTCGCCACTCGTCTGTCCATCCATGAGGCTGACCTTGATGCCCTTCTGCAGAGACCATGATCACACCATCCCAGGAGTGGAGCTCCCAATTGGGCTTCTGGTCGACAAGTGCGACGAAGGTTTTCTTTGGGACCCGACATTGAGCACATATATATTCAAGTATGACCGAACCGCGAAGCAATTCAGCACATACGACGGGCACACCCCGGTCAACTGGCTCAACTTCGACGGACAATGGGGCGATGAGCAGCTGCCTGACGACGCAGAGGGACAGAAGACACTATTTGGGCAGCGAAAATACTCGTCTGGGCCCAACGGACCCAAGTTCAAGGAGCTCGATCGCAAAAATATTTGCCCGTCCAAGGTCGGGTCGTGCTTTATTCGAAAGAGCCTGAATTTGAAAGAAGAGGAGGAGCGTGAATTAAAACGCGTGCGCGACGAGTCGGAGGCACCGTAGTTCGAATTGGATTTTCCTTATCGTACCATGGCCGTTGTGGAGGGCACTCTTTGCCCTAATGACTGAAGTGAATATATGTGATATTTCCGGATAGATGAATGCCACGGATCTTGCCTGAGTCAATGAACACAGGCTCTTTGTAACTTCTCCCAAAGTTGCATCTTGGGATTCCATGGTTAACATATCCGACACTTGACTCTCTGGCATGAATTGTCGTGTCGTAGGACAAGGGTCCATGTCCTTCATGGGGCGTGCATGAACTGAGCTCCAGCGAACGCACGGATGGCCCTAGCCACAGTGTACTCCCGTACTCTGTCCAATGTCGATCTCTGGCAGATAATTGAGAGCCAACAGCAGCTCTGTGCGGCCTGGCAATTGCAATTTTGGCAACTTCGCGTCGGCTGGGAAGATAATCCTGAAATGATATTACCAGATCGTCTCAAACAGAAACCTTTCATAAAACGGTACTGAGCAATGTACTCCCGATATACTCCGTAATGCGGTGGATGAAAGTATAAATATATTACTGTAAAGTCACGGGGCACTTGGTAGCAATACGGCTAGCCCCGTACCAGGGCCAAACAGACTCCGTTGAAGGTCCACCAATTACAGCCTTCATACGACCGCGATCCTTGGCGCCAAGCCACCATGGGACTCTGTAGCGGCGACGAAAAGCTCCAGATCCGTTGGTACTCCGTAATCTCCTTGTTTTCGGTACCGGTACTCCGTATCGCGCGCTGGTTCGGCCCCAGAGGTCGGCGCTGAAACGAAACCATGGTCACTACTCCGTACATACGTCTTTTTGGCTGGGCGGGCCCCTGAGTTTTGACAGGGGGCAGTCGAGTCTCTCTCTCTTGGAATTAACGAAGAAGGGCAGCCCGTTGTCCAGCAGAATGGCACAGTACGACGGTGCCTTTGAGCAGCGCAGCGCAGGATGATGCGCAGCTTGCAAAGATGCATAGTACATATCTGCTTATGTCTCTGCCGTTATTTGGCCGCTGGGCAGACCTCCATACCCTCCGCGGCATCATCTATTAGGGAGTCTCGAGCGCCGCTTGTAATTGAGAGCTCTCTCAGATTAATACTCCGTACCAGGAAATTTAAAGTTACAGCGTATGGAGCCTGTATGGAGCAGCGATGACCCTTTTTTTTTCCTTCCAGCTGCCATTATCCTCCTCCCTCCATTCAACTTCGTTTCGTTTCTCAGGGAGAACTGAAGTCTTCAATTCTGCGAAAAATCAAAGTCTGCTGGCCTCAGCATCTCAGGATCTTCAATAGGAAGCCGCATGCAGTCGCGAGGCTTGGAGAGCTGACGCGCTTGAAGTAACTTTCCCTCAAGTGAGCCAGCTAAACGGGTCTCCGCCTCCCTTGGACATCTCGGCTCCTCGCTGCTGCTCCCCTGATACTTCGGTTTCGTTTCCTTTCTCTCCCTCTCTCTTTTTATTTATTTTTTTTTTTTTTTTGATTCCTCTCTTTTTGTTTTGAACTTAATTTGCTTCCATATAACACGCTCATTTCTCTCGTCCTTTTCATTTCTTCTCATCACATACTTTCTCTCTTATACTGCCGGGCAGGGTACTCGATTCCTCCCGTCCGTCGAGAGTGGTCATTCTGCAGGTTGATTCGCAGTCAGGAAGCAGCCCCATTACGAGGCTAATACTTGAGACCCTGGCAAGACGGCTTGCCGAGCTCGTGGGGTGTCTACTTGACTGTTGTCCCTCGCCACCGTCCCTCGACGCGATAGCAGGTTTCGATTCTGGTACACACTCCTTTATCGTCCATCCTTTTTTTTGCCTTTGATCCCAGGCTCCAGTCATCGAATCGTGAGTTCGGCAGAAGGAGGCTAGCTCAACGGCTTTCATCTGACAACTTCGCACATCTCGTATCCGACACCGCGTAGCGACAAGATTTCGCCTTGAAGATCGCATACGTATTTCGCAACGTTGCCTCACGCCACGTTTACCCAACTGCCGGATTGACCTATCTCGAAGCTCAAACGCCAAGAGGAAGATAGTGGGGGAAAGGAGACTTGCCCTGATACTACAACTCGAGCGAAGATTCTTGCGAACACCGATCAACCCAAAGCAAAGCTTTCCTACTTTACGCAATCCAGCCATTCTGTTCATGTAAGCTCGACCCTTTTTTTTTTTTTTTTTTTTGTTCAATAGTTGACATGAAGTGTTCACTCTTGTTTGTGTTGATGCCAATTCATCCCCTATTTGCATATGATGTCCTCTAGAGACCTCATCTCTTCATGAAGTGGAACATCAACATCAACGCGTGGCTAAATTCATCAATCCGCTCATTTTTCTAATTCAGCATATTACTTTACAGATTAATATCAGGCCACCCTCGCGTGAACTTTTGATTAGAACATGGCGTCAACCCCTGCTGCACCCCGCACCCCTGGTCGGTCTCCGCCCCCTGACACCCTCCCAGCTGCCGGCGAAAATGGAAACTCGAACAATGCTCAAGCAAATGCAACTCGCCGTACTTCGCTGGGATTTCTGCGCCGTGCAAAGTCTTCGGAGAAGGTGGGTGATCGAAAGCCATCCGGAAAGATGAGTAAGAAGGTATTGAAGGAACAGGCCAAGGAGGAGCAGCTGCGTCGCCAACGCGAGGCCGCCATATCGAAATTTGCACCCCAATTGCCGGACATCGCACCTCCTCCCCAGCTCAACACATTTGGTGGTGAGAACGTTCGCTCCAACTTGTCAGGTCGCGCAGGGTCATATGAGCCTCTCTCGGCCCAGAGCCACCCGCCTGTCCCACCGATTCCATTCGTCGACGTATACGGAAAAGCCGAAAGCATGGCGCACCGTGGTCGTTATAGCTATGCCAGCAGTGCCGTTAGCACCATTAATAGCCCGAGAAGAGTAAGGAGACGAAAGGATCCGACACCATACAAGTGAGAACATCCCTTGTAGCCTCCTTTTTTTTTTTTTTTTTTTTTTTTTGGGGCCGTCACGTTTCGGGAAACTGATGGATTTCCCTTATCAGCATCCTCGTGATCGGGGCTAGAAACTCAGGCAAGACATCTTTCGTCAACTTTTTAAGAAAAGCTCTAGCTCTACCACCGAATAAACGCCCAACCCGCAACCCTGAAGAGATGGATGATCTACCCCAGGCACCACCAAACGGTTATTTCACTTGCCATTATCTTGAAACAGAAATCGATAGTGAACGGGTCGGCCTGACATTGTGGGACTCCCAGGGTCTCGAAAGAAGCATTGTGGACCTTCAGTTAAGAGAAATCACTGGTTTCTTGGAGAGCAAGTTTGAGGACAGTTTTACCGAAGAGATGAAAGTCATACGATCACCAGGAGTCCGTGATACACATATTCACTGTGCCTTCCTCATCCTGGACCCAGCACGGCTTGATGAAAACATTGCTGCTGCCCAAAAAGCTGCCGGAGGAGATTCTAGTGGGTCTGCAATTCGGGTGGTTGGTGGTCTGGATGAAGACCTTGACCTGCAGGTTCTTCGTACCATGCAAGGCAAAACCACCGTGGTACCTGTCATCAGCAAGGCCGATACTGTTACAACTGCCCACATGGCATTCTTGAAGAAGACTGTGTGGGATAGCTTGAAGAAGGCCAACATCGACCCGTTGGAAGTACTCACTCTCGAAGAACACGACGACGACTACTCCAGCTCTCTCGATCGCTTCGATGAAAAGGAGGAAGATGAATTGCGCGAGGCAAAAGATGATGCGAACCGCCGCACACCCGATTCAGAAACTGTCCCGGATGATCCTAATAATCCAGTCCCACCACCCGCCGCACCATCCGCGGCAGAAAAGTCTTTGGAGAAGCAGCGGAAGCGCAGCTCATCCTCGAGCATGTTAAGTGGAGGCTCGAACGCCGAGCCTTTTATTCCACTTTCGATTCTCTCCCCTGACCCGCACAGTTTAGAGTCTAAAGACGGGCCGATCGGACGCAAGTTTCCTTGGGGATTCGCTGATCCATATGACCCAGAGCACTGTGATTTTCTAAAGCTAAAGGATACAGTCTTTGGAGAGTGGCGTGGTGAACTCCGTGAAGCCAGCCGTGAGGTTTGGTATGAGAGATGGAGAACTATCCGCCTGAAGCGAAATGGTAGTTATGGGAACGGTCAGGCTTGACAGTTTGATGATGTCCAATATTAACCTAGCTCATGAGCTGATACTGTCCTGCCATCTTCTTGTCTTCAGATCCTATTGTCCAGGAATGGGCATTTGGTTCCATTTGTTATGGAGATGTGAGGCAATGTGCATTTTGCTACTTTGCATGTTTCTGCTTTCTCTTCTTCCGATGTCTTATATTCAAATCCTTTTCCTTGTGCTTTTCTGCTGGTGTGGAGGATACCCTCTGTGTGCCTGGCTTTTTTTTTTTTTTTTTTTTTGGTGTGAATGCTGATGTAGCAAAAATTGTTCAGTTCAAGAACCTTTTCTTTTCTATCCTCCACTATTTTCCTCTGACACTTTGTCGGCTATGAAAATGCCTGTTTCGATCAAACCTCCCTGTCTGTCTTCACGACTTTTTTTTCATACATCCCATTTGTGACTTGTTCTTTTCTGAGTATCTTTTTTTTTCTCTTCTCATACCCCCTTTTTTTCAAAGCTTTATGTTCAATGCCTCCTTTGATACACACTTTCTACTCGGTATGATTTTTTTGTGTAGAGTATTAAACAAGATACTGCTGCTGGATGATTATTATCATTGTTATTTTTTATGTCAGTAGCTAAACTCAATCCATTTTCATTTCAATTCTTGGAATGAATGTCCGATGGGCTAAACTTGTCATTCGAATGAACATTGAATAAGCTTCGGTCATTTTTGGTGGTACAACGCTGCGGGCCGACCCGCCGACGAATGTCCCACGTAAATATTGTCATTGAAGCTTTTTTTTTGGACCATTAGATGCTGTTCCTTCGGCCATCAGGACGCTGATTGTCAGCTATGCTAGAGATTTTAATCTACGTGGCTAAAGCTTTGCCTTTCCACATGCTGGCATGCGATCTTTCTGTATAGATCTGATAAATGGGGATCGGAGCCTTCTGGCAGCGGAAGCGGAATCCCACTCCGCTCCGCCCACCAGAGACACAGGAAATGAGTCCAGAATTTATGTAATTGGCTGGATGCTTGTTGTTCAACAACCGCCTCCGCTATTGTTGCACAAAACATCAAAAATTTTATTTTATTTGACATGGTTTACAGGGTATAACTAGCATCTAAAATATATTTTCAAACAATATTTTGAGGGTAAGACCTGAAAAACTCGGTTATATCATGCATCGTCGACAAACCCACGTCAAGTACCGTAAAAAGAAACAAAAAAAAAAAAGACATTAGTTAGGCTAGATTGGGGTGAGCAAAGAACAACAACAAAATGGTACCACAGCTCGACCGAGGACCCAACAGATCATGCATGACTCACTCATCATCCATAACATGTTGAGTCGAACTTTTAACCAACTCGATGCAGAACTCAGCCCAATCACATTTCCCATTCCCGTTCTTGTTGATGATTTCCCGAACGATATGATCTTCGACATACTTCCCATATCGCCGCTTGTACTCTGCCTTGGCCCGTTCGAGGTGATGCGGCTCCCAATGCATGCGAACTAGCCGTGAGATGAGAAGCTCCGCACGGTCCCGACCGGTCCCTACCTCGGCTATGGCATGATGAAGGAGTAATGCGTCACGCATCGGACGGTTGAGAGCGCCGTTCAGAATATGGATAAGGGATTCGCCCTGCATTGTACAGTCAAGTGAGTTAGCGAAATGTTCAAAAAAAAATAATTGAGTAAAAGAGAAAGGGCCGCTTACAACTAGATTTGGCGATTTGGCAATCATCGCCCTGGCGAAGTGCTGATTATACATGCTCTCATACATTCGCATAACTTCACAGAGATGCCCGTTTCCTCTTACTACGATGATCTGAATCATCGCTGACTCCCCACCTTCGCGTGATATCAATGCGCGGTGCAAGTCTTGAACATCACGACGCACTAGGTCAAGACTTATCGGGGCCATATCTGCCTGTCGTTTCTCTTCCAAGGCCAGTAAAATGGCGGCGCGGAATTTATCCGGCTTTAGCTCCGCTTTCATGCATTTCTCCAAACTGTCACTGTATCTCTTGTCCTTGAAACAGTTCTTTATCCGGCGAATCTCTGCATTCGGCCTGCCCATGAGAGCCTCGATAAGCAATTCTCTCCGTGAAGAGTTGGATCGATACCAGAAATTGGCCCAGTACGCTTCTGATTCCCACTGCCCAAGAGCAGTGGCATGGCAAGCCTTGCCAAAATTACCGGGCACACGAAGGGCGATGTGTTTTGCGATATTGACACCATGGCCTGTCATCTTGACAATATTCTTGTATTCTGCCCGGAGTACAAGCACTTCCTCAGCCGTAAGGTTGGGAAGGATCTCCAGCAACGGTTTTGGATCAATCTTGTGATGTGAAATAGCCGACTTTAAAGCTTTCGCGTCGATTCTCGGATCATATACCGGCACGTGGTTTGTAGGTATCATTGATTCTATAGCCATCCTCTGTCGTTCCAAGTGGTCCATTTTGTGGAAAGCGTCCTTGCTTTTCGTCTTCCTGATCTTTAGCATCTTCCCTTTAGCTCTCTCGGAACTAGATATCGCGCCGTCATCAAGTTCAAGCTCCGACACATCGCCCTCCATGTCCGAGTACGCCGTTGGCCAGGGCATAGGTGACATGCTTTGGTAAGTACCTTGGTAGGGCTCCAACAATGGGCTGGCTGGTGGCCGATTACCATCGGGAAATCCACCCGGCATTTTTAGGTGTTCATTATCCGTAGAGATACAGAGGCTATGCGGACGTGTGCTAGGGGTCCTCCCTGCTCCGGGCTTGATCTCTACGTACTGAAGATGGCCTGGTCCATTAGAAGACTTTCCTGATTGGCTCATTTCGACAGCCATGGAAGAGGTAGAAGGTGTGGCAGTCTTTTCAGATTTTAAAATGTATTTAAAGTTCGGATCCGGTTGCGCATATTGAAACTGTGCCGGGGCGGCATACTGCTGAGGAGTAGCGGGTATGTTGCCCGTGGAGTGGGCACGGTTATGGCCAGCCAAACGTTGAGAAGATGGGGTTGCCAAATGATGCGAGGGCTGTTTGGACTTGCTCATATTCAAATAATGCTCTGGCGGAACAGTCTGAGTAGGAGGGGTGGCAAAGGTCTGTGAAGGCTCCGTTGTCTTATTCATCTTCAAATAATGCTCTGGCGGAACATATTGGGGACGTGGGATCGTAGGATACTGGGGGACGCGAACGGCGGGCTCCTCATCTTTCGTCTGTTTGAGAGACTGAGAAGTTGGCGCCTCCGGGACGGAGGGTGGAACTGGAGCCGGCGGAGGCGGGGCCGGTGGAGGAGGCGCTGAGGATGGCTTGTTAAGTGTCGCATGGTACGGATTCTGTTCGGTGTGCGGGACGAAATCCGGGCGTTCGCATTCTGGAATTTCTGGCCATTCGTCCTCGTCTATCCCGCTCGTGAAATATGACTTTGCCGCCTGAAGCTTCGCTGCAAGCCCGCTTGCAGTTGAAGACCTTTTTTTATCGCGCCGTGAGTGAGTGCGTTGGAGCTTCGGTTCAGGGTCGTCATAAGTTTGGTAGCTCGCAACTGGATCCTTGGTACGAGCTGTGGATTCCCGCGCACGGTGGCTGGTGTACCCATCGCTTGAATCGGAATTGTAGTACTTTTTTACAGCTTTGCGAAGTCTCTCTCGAGACCGGGATCGACGCTCGCTGCCAGAAACAGGATAGTCATAATATAGGTCTCCATAAGCTAATCCCTCATCGTCTGAGTCTGTGTACGCATCCGAATACTGATGGAATCGAGATGAAGCCAGCGAACGAAGCGCTCGGCTTGCACTTCGTCGGGCGCGCTCTGATTCCGAGTCATTCAGGTACAGATCGGCTCGCTTGCTCCCAAGGGAGGTGTTGCTCTGCCTCGGCGCTATCGATTCTTCGTCGGAAAGGTAGTAGCGATCGCGGGGCGTCCGTCGCCCTCTGTCGCTCTTATAATCGCTTTTATAGTCACTTTTATACCTGTCGTCGTCGGAGAGGTCGTAGTCATACCGCTTCTTGGTGCTGCTGCTTCGCAACGTACTAGATACCCGTGGTTGCTCGTCCATTGAGTCGGAATCATAGTACTTCTTGGAGCTGGACTTTTTGGTCCTGGACTTGCTCCGTTCCCTCGATGGAGAATACCTGCGGCTTTGCGAACGGTGTCGGTGCCTCCCACTAGGGGAGGGCGACCGACCGCGAGAATAGGAGCCAGGGACTCGAAGCATCGTTCGAGGATGCGCCGTGAGCAAAAGACGCTGGACAGTGTGTGTACTTGGCTAGGCAGGCAGGCACTGACTCCAGGAGGCAGAATGCTGGACAGCTTGCGTCCAGGAAGACGGTGGGACTGGGTATTTGAAGGACGATGTGCGCGGATGGCAGAGGCGAGTCACAGTCCAGAGAGCGCAGACTGCAGCAGGCTTCGCCCCCACGCGGCAGACCCCAGACCAGCCACAGGGACCGGGGGGAGCTGCGCAGCCTCAGCTTCAGCCTCAGCCTCGTGTGCTCCAGCCTTACATAACTGGAAAGCCACAAGACACTAGCCACAGACCGCTTTTGACCGTTATATATCACGTGACAAATACTGCAAACCGGCAAACAACGAGATTCTCAACGCTCGCGACCTCATGCAACGATCAAATCAAACAAAAAGAGATGCGCAGTTTGTTGGCAGATGGTTATTGGAAATATTCATAAAAATTTAAATGGATGGGAAGTCATGGAAATTTTATGCAAGCAATAACAATATCAAACATTAAAAATTGGGTATCTCAATCGACGCTGGCGTCAACAATATGTACATATATAGATGCCGATTTGGTAGGGGATATGAAAGCGTAAATTTTTGAATGCTAGGCCTTGTGTGGATGAGAAGATTTTAACCTCTGCCGTTCGCCCCCGCATGCCTGATTCATTTTTCCCTTTTTCCACCTTTCTCGCGCTATTCCTCTCGCTTATCGGGGTCTACTCCTATCTCTTCTAGCCTCTTACGTTGCGGCTTGGTAATGTTAATCCTTTTAAAATTCTTTGGCAGCTTCTGTCGGGTTCTATGTGTAAGCAAAAGCTCTCGTTAGTTTTTCTTTTTCCTCCCCCCTTTAAGGTTGTCCATAGGCGACGGGTGTAGGGAGATAAGGACGAACCGTAAATAATCAAAGGTGATCTGCCGACCCCTATCCTTGAGCTGGACCTGATTCCTATTTTCTAGCTTTGGATTCTCTTCATTGCTGTCGGCCGCTTTTATCCGCGACCAAGATGAGCCGTATTTTCCAACTAAGCGGATCAACTGCCGATCTTCCTCAATTGTCCACCGGACGCGTTGCACAATTCCTCCCGTTGGCCTGTCTTCCAGGGGGGGTGTGCTTTCTCTGCTCTGCAACGACTCGGGCAGGCGTCTGCCACTTGAGCTGGCCACCGACACTGCTCTCTGAGGCCGATCTGCCGCCGTTCTTGATGGAGATCGGCGTCGGATTTCAGTGACGACCCGTGGCCTCTTTGAAGGCCGAGAGGTCGTCTCAAATGCACTTTCTTCATCTTCACTCTCCTCCGAGCGGGCCCGTTTTGTTTTTCTTCCGGGGCCTCTGTCCCCTAGAGGGCTTGGCTGGATAGGAGATATTCTTTCGGCATTCTTTTGTCGGTCAAGAAATGTTGCTGCTGGTGGAGCGGTGTGTCTACTCGCCTCTCCGACTTGTTGATGTGTGGTAGAAGCGGTTGTTTGCGTGCGATCTATAAACTGCCTAAAATGTCGGAGTAGGGCGCGGGATATGAAGTTCCTAATAATTCCGATAGTGAACATTAGAATTAAATAATACAGGATATAAGAGAAAGTTTAAGGTATGATCTTACTTCTGGGGTGCAGCAGTTTCGGGAAAGGAGGCTGCCTGCACCTTTTCAGGGATTTGTTCATGTTCGATTGTCACTGCAGCATCTTCTGACGGCCGGGAGCCTAGCTCTGGGGAACCCTCCCGGCCTCGTGGTGGCCGAAATATCCTCTCGCCCCTGTGAAGGCCCCGGCTCCATTTAGGTGAACTTTCCAAAGGTGGTGTCCGTTGGGAAATTTCGTCAGTTTTCTGCCGGTCCAGAATGGCCCTAGGCTCGAATTCTGACCGAAGTTTGGCGATGGCAGTATTGCAGTCGTCTTGGGCTTTCAATTGGTCATTTATCTGATCGGTTGTCTCTCGTACCCATGACGCAACTCGGACCACAAATTCTGACCATGGGAATGCAGTTTTCAAGCGAGAGATTTCCACCGCTGTGTCATCCTCCCGAAATGTTTCTCGTATATTTCCGATCCTCTCTTCGATTCGATCGCGAAATTCCTCGGGTAGGTCGGTTTCATCAAGGCCGTCAGCTTCCCACCCGCGCAATGGGCTATCCTCGAAGATATCTCCATAGAAGATATCTTTCAGAATACTTTCGGGTTTCTTCTCCTTCCCGGACTCGATCATTTCCAATATGCACCGCTGTGTCCGAATTTCCAGGCCAATCTCAAAAATGCGCCGTGTGGTATCTTCACTGAGTGGTTCGTCCTCTCCCGGGATAAAAGGAGAGGGGAATAAACTGTCGATTATATCTAGAGGCGAATCAGACCGCGTCCCATTGCAGAAATATATAATATCCAACGTTAATTGTGCGAGGTTCGCTTTCTGATATATTCCGGTGGGGCTCCAGTTTAGGTCTTCGATGGAAGGAAACGCGTCTAAAGCTCTGGCGACATTGATAAAATGTCTATCCCCAAAATGCCTTTTATAGCCCAGGTAGCTATCTCCCCAGCTTTCTTCGATTTTGATTTTGACAGTAGAATTGGTAATGTGTCTCTTAAGCCGGGAATACGAAGAGCCGTATTGGCTCCAGAGAAGCAATATCTTGTCTGACCACCTCTCCAATTTAGGTAAGGCATTTAGCATTAGACGAGGGTTCAGTTGATAGGGCATCCTTTGAGCCCTCTGGGGAGCGGACAAACGGATGTCCGGATTGTCCAGTGGAGACGCAGGCACCTCCACATGGCTGATTTTCACACCCTTGCCTCTCGGGCTTTTGACTGGCAAGCTCAAAGGGGCTTTGCGTAGAGTTGGCGAAGGATCTAAACATGAAGTTAGCAGAGAATAATCGCATAGCCAGAAGTCGCAGATCCATGTTCAAATCAGGTTTAAGAAAGTAGCTGTAGCTGGCACAGCTCCTCTATTGTATATCACTATCCCTTCTCTTGTGTAAGATGTCAATGAATACCACCTACTGGAATGGGGGTTTTTTGTCCTTGAAAACCCGGCACTCTGTTTATTAATGGGGGTAACGGAACTGATAGGATTATCAGAATCGGAATCAGGATCCGAATCGCTACCACTTGATATTGAACTCTCTGGAGGTGGCTGATGCAGCGTTGTTCCATCAATATCATCTAGATCTTCCTCTGCTGGTCCCCTAGGGTGCTCGGATGGCAAATGGGGCTCCGCCCGCCATCGCTTGGCAGGGGAGTTAGGAATAATGGAGCTTGCCAAAGGCCGGGATGAGCTGCGTGTTGCGACTGGCATGAGGGGCAAATTACAACAGCTTGATAAAATAAAAATAATTAGATGTCGTAGGGCTCCATGCAGAGACACGGGGTATCAAATGCGGCTTCAAGACGAGACGGGGTTGTGACGCTCGCCATTTGATTGTTTGTTATGGCACCGTGGTCGGGGGTTCCAAATTGGGACATTCATGACTAAAATATTACATAATAGATTGACTGGACGAACTAACCCTAACCCTAACCCTAACCCTCGATCTCGTCGTCGGCGATAGAAGCACCAGCATAAAAAAAAAAAAAAATAAAGGTTTTTACTCGGGTTCAACTGCATGGGAGAACAACCCGTTATTTATAGCATAAGCATCTTCCCTACGAACAAATGGAGGTATCAAATAACCCTCGATTTACCGCAGCTCCAATGCCTGCTGGCGTTGGCGGGACTGGCCTGCGAAGCGCCGTTACTAGCGGGTGCGGTCTAGAACGCCGAAGGTGTGGCACAACACCCAAACTAGTCCAACCAGAGTCTAGTATTGCTCGACGAGTGGATGTTGCGTTCCAAGTCAAGCCACACCCCTGACTTACTCTGCAGCACGACGACACCTGGCAAGATAATCCAACTGCACTGCCCATGCCTCTTTGTTCGTGTTTGTCCGCGAGGGTCGAATGTACAGAGTAACTGCTCATTAATGAATCGTCCGCCCTCGCAAGCTGTCTTGAGGAATTGCCTTAAAAAGCGATTTTTGCTGACAAAAAAGGCGCCGGGCTTTCCGTCGGCAGAAATATTTCGGCTTCACGACATGCCAGCAAATCCCACCCTGGCCTGTTTGAGAAAATTCTGACAGCATTCGATTTTTTCTTCCTAGTATTGATTTCATTGAGCAGCCGTGAAGGCATTGTCTTAATATATAATTTACCGGACCGCAGGCATGAGGCTCCGACGAATTCCTACTCCTTTTCTCCTCCTCCTCTGCTCCTCACTCTCCCTTACCCTCGCCGATCCGAGCGATGTTCCCGGATCTAGCGCGATTACTTCTCCCGAGGAGGCCGTGGCAATCGCCGTTCCTGAAGCCTCTTCGACAAACCCCATCCCTATCCAAGTGAGACGGCTCGACGATGCACCCATCGATGGGAAAGACGGCAAACCTCACGCCGGTCCATTTGTTGAGACAAATGCCGAGCGTCAACGGAAGAAGGACAAGGCTTTGGCAGATAAGGATAGATTGCTAAGGGAAGATCTAAGAGACCCTCCGTCAGAACATGTTGGCCCGGACGGGAAAAGGATCCCACACTCCAACGATGGAGTCATGAATGATAAGAACAGGCCCGGCCCAAAGGAAGGCACCCGAGGAACTGAAGGAGGTGTCTCCGCGAAGAGCAAAGGAAATCAACCGGGCCTTGGAAAGAAGCCCGATCCACCAAAGGAGGTACCGCCTTTGCCTCATAGTGAGCAGCAGAAGATTCCTCCTCAAGGAGACCAGAAAAAGAAAGAAGAAACAGAGCAAAAGGATAAAATGCTGGAGGTATGTTTGCAATGAATGGATTGACCAGAAGCCACCGTATGCTAATGAACGATATAGAAACCAGAACACCTTCCCGATTCGCCTCATTCTATTCCTCCTCCGGCGCCACGCGGAAGCCCGAAGGACGACGATTTGATCGTTGAAGATCCGATGAAATCTCGACCTGACGGCAAAATGAGTAAAGGCAGCGGCGACGATCATGTTAACGAGATCATACAACCTCTACACTCATTTGTCCTTTCCTTTACGATGATCCTGTTCTCTGAGATTGGCGACAAGACATTCTTAGTTGCGGCTCTAATGGCCATGCGACATCCGCGAATGGTCGTTTTCACGGCTGCCTTCGCGGCGCTCATTACAATGACGGTCTTGTCTGCAATCCTAGGCCACGCTGTTCCTACGATACTTCCGAAATCCTACACCAATGTTATAGCTGCCGTCTTGTTTATCATCTTTGGTGTGAAAATGCTTCTTGAAGCCAAAAACATGCGTGCTGATGAGAATGTAAGCGGTGAGATGAAAGAAGTTGAAATGGAATTGGAAGAGAAAGAGCATCAACAGCGACGCATGGGCGGCCGTCAGTCCGCCGTCAGCCCTTACGCTCTAGAAGCCGGCCGTGCAGGTGTGCCTCACAAAAGTCGTTCTTCGAATCATCGCCTTCCGACGCCCGAAAGCCTTTCTCCAGCATCATCGCGCGGTAACTCGCCATCGCGAGCCTCAACCATTGTCAATACGCTTTCTGGCTTGAATAATTTGTTCTCGCTTTTGCTTAGCCCTGCCTGGGTCCAAACATTTGTCATGACATTCTTGGGTGAGTGGGGCGATAGAAGCCAGATCGCTACTATTGCCATGGCTGCCGGTCAAGACTACTGGTGGATCACCTGGGGCGCTATCATCGGTCATGGAGTTTGCACGGCAGGGGCAGTAATTGGTGGAAGAGCCGTCGCTGGGAAGGTCAGCATTCGTACCGGTAAGTCTCAATTTTCCCCCCGTTCCAAGCTGTTGCTATCCATCTTCCCAATGTGACCGTATGTACTGACTGGATTTGAATAAGTCACCTTTGGTGGAGCAATTGCTTTCTTAGTATTTGGGTTCCTCTACGTCCTTGAAGTCATATACTGAACATCCTTCTTTAATGAACACAACGCCGCGAGTGTTACCTTCTCAATCATGAATTACTAGTGCAGCGAATATATTTACCACGAGTCTTGTTTATTCCTCTCCGCTCGCCTTGGACTTCGAAGCGGTTTCGACGTTTAATAGCCAAGGCGTACCGGTACACGGCTTCCCTTCTTCCGTTAACTACTGCTTCCTCCCGATATCAGATTTCCATAAAACAACCCCTCTGTTTTATTATCTTTCATCTCATGCTTCTCTGATGTCTAATATTTTGTTCTCTGACCTTTTTTTTCCCCCCATGCATGCCGTATATATTGGGAATTCTAGACTGGAAAACTGATAACGATCATTGGCAGTTGATTTTTTGTTCTTCCTTTTCAACGCTCCTAGATCATTATTACATACCTGACACCTTTGCTGTTTATCACCCGCTGTAATCTGTGAATTTTGCAATGTTCTAGACTTTTGTTTCTTAGGGAGGGGCGATCCCTTGAATTTTCACATTTGTGCATGCTAATTGATGATTCCCGGCCTATTGTTTCGATGTTTCTCTTTGACTGTAAGGTCATTGTAGATGAGTGTCATAGAGGCATGGAACTTGACGCCCCTATTAATTTACCACTACTTTTCTTTCTGATAATTCTAGGAGCAGGCTCCTTCGCTGACTGAGTCTAGTTGTGTGCCCGTAAAATTTGCGAACTGCGTTGCTTGTCTCGTCTATCTATCTTTCTTGATTAATATGTATGTTGATAACTTGCCTCTTGTTGAGTTATACCTGCTCGTGAAATTCTCCTTAATGTTGCCACACAAAGGAGTTCTCCATACGCTAAACCACTTTCACTCTTAATCACAAAAAGCTACATTGCCTGATTGGGAATCATAGGAGCGATCAGGATGTCAACAAATCAACATCAGCCTCAGCCTCCTTCAACATCGGCCTCCGCTCCTATTCCTTCACATCCCAAAGCCCTTGAACACGAAAGCCATCAGGGTCAGAGACTCGTTCGCGCTGAAGGAGGAGAGCCACATATCCCTGTCGAGATATCTCTAGATATGTCTGCCTTCAGACGCTGCCGTCGCGGCGGCTCCAGCGAAAAAGAAAACATCGACTATAAACGTATTCCAAGGAACGAGATTCCCGTGTCGCTGAGCTTCTTTTACGGCAAACCTTGCCTCAATGCTCCTCAACTCGAACACGTCAAATATGACTCCAAAGCTGATAAGGATCTCTTCGAAAAGAATGCGTTCATACGTGAAAAGCCTATTCAAAGTGATAACCAGGATCAGGATCAGCGTGAGGATTGCCTCTCCCAGCTCAAGGAGCTCGTTAGTCTCGCCGGCAGTTGCAATGATGATATTCTCAGCTCGTGGGCCGGCGAATGTGTCATTTGTGATCAAGCTGTGGCTTTAGCTGCAATCCATCATCCCCTTTGTTTTACCTTCGATGGATATTCCAGCCTTGCGGACGGTCGTGAGATGCATGGAATGATGATCTACATTGCTAAGCTGGTGAAAGAGCTGGATACCGAAGGAAAGATCCAGAATGCAGTTGGAAACACATCTACGACCACGAACCCCCATGTGCATTTCCTATCTGCGCCGGTGTGTACGATAAGTCCCGGATGCCGACTAAAAGCAGGACAAGAGCTGGCTCAGCTCGCTCAGTTCGCAAAGAATCCCGGTGATATTGGAGATGTAGATGAAGGAGAGGCGCCTCCTTCCAAAGCAAGAGACTCGAAACGGATGAGCAAGAGGGAATCAGTCATGGTTGACAAATGGGAGGATCTCGACACCACCTCAAATTTCGAACCTGAAGGTATCCTACCGATTTCAAAGATGGACGTGGCGAGCTCGCAGCCGGTCAATTCCTTGAATCGCGTGCCGTTGCGAGTCGTCGTCTTCTGTGGTAAACCGATCATCGACACCAAGGCGACTACAAGCCATAACTTGCTCAGCATTATGGCCTTCACGTTGCGCTGGGATGTCAATGAGCTTGCCACAGTTTCAAGAAAAATTGTCTAAAAATCATGATGATGGCAGCCAGTTCTACAACGGCCTCGGAGCGTTCCTCGAAACCCGGATCCTGGGTGCAGCAGAGTTCCGTTGCTGTATCTGTCCAGATCGCAAGCTGGCGACAACCCTAGTCCATCGCCCTATCTCGTTTCGGCGGGATAACACGGCTGGTGTTGGGGCACAAGAGACACGGAAACTCATCCTTAAGCTGGTGCAGCTTGTTGGCAATGGGTGTCGATGGACTGCACCGGCAACAGAGGCAGTTCTGGGATCAGACGGCACCTGGCATGTCAATCTCTTTGTAGTTCCGATCTGTCGTCGCGACAACGTTGTATGCGAGGAAGCCGCCCGCATTGCCGCAAAACGATTTCTGGACAACCAACTCGTCGGCATCCCTGGAGGGACAACCGCTTTTAAACTCGCTTGGCCGGAGTTAGTCTTCGACACCAACTTATCCGCCATTTATACCGTGAACAATGCCGGCAAGCTTCCCAAGATGGTCGTCCAGAAGATCGGCTTGGGAGTCATGAGTGACCCCAAGATCGAAACCAAGGCGGCGAAAGAGACTAGGTGTGCTTTAGAGCGTTTGCGTTTGAGAGTCGAGAGCGATTACAATGCTCACCTCCAAAAGTCTCGCGAGAACAAGGAAAGGATTGAAAAGGAGTCCCGGAAGAGAAAGTCGCGCGCCGACCTCCTCGAGGAGGATTTAATCTTTACCTACGCGATCAATCCGCTCCAACTTCCATATGAGCTAGCACCAAGTGAAGCTGTTTATACCAACCATGAGGAAGAGGTCAATACAGATGACGAAGACAAGGTTGATGAAGAGACGCTGCCGATCTTCGAGGCCAGCCGATATGAAGAGGAGGTCTTAGAGCCCCTTCTTTCCCCGTATCTGTTTGATTTGAGGGCGCAAGTTGGAGAATTCGTAAAGGGACGATATGGGGACGACTTCCTTATGAAAGCTGTGGAGCTAGAGACCTAAATTTGAGGTTGACCAGAGGTCTTTTTCTAAGGACATTCCAGGATCAATAATGTATGCTACTAGTGAATGAAAAATGCAAAGGGATGCTAGCTTTGAAGTGGGAGTTTCCTGTCCTTGTAGAGCCTCGTTTCTAGAGCTCACTATAAAGGATAAATAATAATTCTAAGAGCACAAAATCATCATACTTTGGTCCACTTGAAAGGTAGCCAGTAAAACAAAGGGGAACAAGTACTCTGTGTCTTGGAAAACACAGGCTTAGAAGGGTTGTGCATAGCCATATTCCGTAGATCAACTGGTTAACTAGCCAATAGAGATTCATCAGAATCCTCAGGATCACCACGCGTTCCCATAAGGTTCAGGATATCATCTCTATAATTATCAAACACGTCTAACTCGTCAATCCATTGGAAATCAGCAAACAACGAGGATTCGTCATCGCTCTCTTCGATGGCTTCAATGGGGTATACGTCTGCATGATCGAACCGCACTACATTAATCTTTGTCGCCTGTGACTTGGTCATGTCTTCTGGTGCTATCGTTGCTATGTTCTCATCAATGATATTCTGGAAATATCTTTCCAAAACTCGACAGATACAGCCCCTCAGGCAATGGCATCCGGGATTAGACGGCCTATAATCATTCCTTTCCACAGCTAGGATCCCAGCGGCAGTTCTCTGTACTCGGGCTGGCGACAACGGATCTTTGGACATGGCGCTGCGTCTTAGCCTTGAGTAGAGTGATCCCGTTGAGGCCCTGGATTTCAGTGTGGTATCCTTGAATGACATGAGTAAGTTTAGGGAGGTGTTGGCGGCCGTGTGCTTTTGACCTGTGCACAGCTCACTCTGCATAAAGACGTTGTCTCGTAGAGGTTTGAGAATCGACTTTCCTGGCTTTCGGGGAAGTATAGGAGAGTTTGTATGAATCTTTGCAGGATGCACTTTCTTCTCAAGCGGAGGGTCTGCACCATCAGCCGACGACACACTTGCTATTGTGGCCCTATCAGTTGCTGCTAGGCTTGTGGCGCTGACCATCGAATCATCGACATGGTCCACCGAAGAGGCTGATAGTCGAGCTAGTTGAATATAAAACTGCTTTTGAAGAGTGGCGCGTGGGAAAAGTCGCTGACGTGCCCTGCTCCATAACTTGCGGGGACTTCTTGATATATTGTCAAGTGATTCTTTAGCTGAGCGTGTCTTTTGACCCAGGATTTTAGTGAGGCGCTTGAACGCCACCTTTTCCGGTGGAGGTCTCCGACCTCTAGAGGGATACGTGCCAAAGAACGAATATAAAAAGGGTTGGTATCTTGGCGGGGATGGTGATCGATTAAGTTCACGATCGCCGGAGTAGAGAAGGAGGTGCAGCATAAATTTTTGCGCCATGGTTGTAGATTGGGAAAATGTTGCTTGATAAACCGTAGAGAGAACTGCAACGGGTCAAATATACCCAGTTTTCTGTTCGATGGGAGCTCCATGTTTGCTCGGTGGCCACCGAATCACTGTTAACTGCTGTTGTAGAACAATACTTCATTCCTTTATTCACTGGATTTGTTTCTTTGAGAGTCATTGTCAGCATTGTGTAGTCCTCACAGCTGGTCAACAATTGTTACTTACATTAAATATCACTGCCCAGGTGATTTGCGAATGGGAATCCACACAGACCCATAGCATTCTTCTATATGCCTGCTAGTTACATTGTGTAAAAAAACCCCCGTAGTTATACCTCGAAGTTTCGAGGACGGTACGCCGTACATATTGTCTCTTCGTCGTGATATGACTCCCCAGCCACAATCTGTTCAACATCAGCATGTCACTTCGAATTGTTGCATGGCTTTAGGAAACTCACGCTGGTTCTCTTGTCTTAGTCGTTTTCCTATTCCCATTTTTATTCTGTCACACAAACTTCCACGTGCCTCTCTGGATATTCGATACTAGTAATGACGACTTTGTGTACTTGTCGGATCCTCCCTAATTTCCGGAGCGGACAGTGATTTTCTAGATCGTCGATAAAAATTGGTCTGCTGATATTCGTGGGAAGGCGTGGTATTGTGAGCTAATCGAAAATAATTTCTAATATTGATGCTTGTCCCGGTATCTGCTCTCGCTGTTTTACGAAGCCGATCTTGAATAGCTAGTACGGGCACGCGGAGCCTTAGGTAGCGGCTTAGCCTTTGCGTTTTTCAGGCATAGCCGTCAACGAGATTATTCCCATGGAACGAAAATATTGCGTTGATCGATGAGATGTAGTCGTTCGTTTTTGTACGATAAGATTTCTCGGACGGATCCGAGCACGGTTCAACTTACCACGACCTTGATAGGGGATTGCTAATAGGTAACTCGATAATCTGATAAGGAATCCAAATAAAAAAGGGGCCATTTCGGTAATAGTATTTCTTATATTTTTGCAGTAAACTTGACTTGGTGCGGCCTTTTTTAAATAACCTTCATAATCATACCTTGGGTGGGGCAAATATAGAGATTCGTCTTGGTATGTTATCTTCTCTCTTTGAATAAGAATTTGGTAATTTCAGATAGTCCCGTATGGCGTGGAGAAATTTATTCCTGCCTTTAACCGCCATTTTCCGGCAGTTATACGTCGAAAGCAGCGGGCTTTCTTGATGGCTTCACGCTTCTTGAAAACCTCAAGTCACAGCTTCTCTCGGTAAGTTTTCATAGTGATAGACTGAAGAATGACCCCGCGGGACCACGGCACCCTGCTGACCTGCCGGAGCAGTAGGAACAACAACCAAGACCTAGAAGGGTGAGACGCGAGCATGGAATGTGATAGTGCATACTCACATTGCCAGCCGAAGCCGACAGCACCACAACTGCAGGGCGGGGTGTTGCGGGCGTTTCTCCAAGGGAGGAAAGAGGGGACGAGTCGCGAGAGGAGGGGGAGGGGAATCGCGAACCGGCACGAACTACTAGCAAGCATCAGTCTCATCCGCGAACCAAACTCCACGCGGAGACAAGACCTCACAAACACGCGAGGCAAAGGCACAAGGACAAGGGTAGACCTACCAGCCTGTGGCCTTGCGGCCAAGCGAGCAGAACGGCGGGGAGCAGCCATATTGATTCTTCCAATCATCAGAGACCTCCCATGAGCCTGCCTCCCACGTGAAGCAGTGCTTAGAGGGTTCACTTACCTTGGTAAAGATGATGAAGGCTAGAGAAGAGAAGAAGAGAAAGAGAAAGTGAGAGAAAGCTTTCTCTTAAGCTAGCTCCTATTATCTGATGGTGACACGGAGCTAGTAGAAAGGTAGAGACTCTCTCTCTACATATTGTTGTGTCATTGAGACCTGTTCCCCCAAGTAATCGGAAGCAAATCGTTGACTTCCATTTAACATAGACTCCCAGCATGCCTCTATGATATTCCAGCACGCAAATTTCCCCAGAGATTAAGTCTCGGGTCGGGCAGTCCCTCGATTGATTATTTATTTTGTAAAAAGCGTTGGACTCCGTCAAATATATTTGTTCAGGGAAGCCTTGATATTGACCATCGTTTCAGGGGCATTCATTTTGACGATAGGGATTTTAAAAAGAAGCATCTAGTAAGACTTTGGTAGACATTGCTGCCAACTTACTGGCAATTTATAGTATAGGGATATATGTGTATATAGAGATTAATTGGTAAAAGCATGGAAGGTCCATATATGGGTATCTGAGAGCCGATCGGAAGTTGTTGGTATTTGAGGTGTTTGGTATGGATTTCAATATATCTAGGGACGGGGCCCACAAGCCAGATGGGTTCCATATCATATTATTATTGTATGGCGAGGCCGTTATATAAGGGTGATGCATATGGCTCGAGAGGAGGTGTAAAGTATATCTTGTCGAGCTGATGGTCTCGGAAATATTTGCTGGAAATAATCAGAGTAGAGATCCCACTTCCAGGATTCTCCTATTAATTCAAAATTGGTAAGTCCATATTGCCTAGCCATTGTATAGCTGGGCTGTTGGTAGATGGAACAGAGGTCAAGAAAGAAGGGAGGAAGGGGTTTATATAGCCCTTGGGCTAGGAGATAGAAGCATGACAAATTGCGACGAAAGTGAATGGTGATTATTAATTTATTAGCTAGTGTAATAAGGCGATATCGGCAGGGGCCAAGGAGCAGTGAATGGATAACAGATCCTTGGTATGAAGGAGTTAGAAGATTCGACGAAAGTGAATGATGCCGTATCTTTCCTCAGACAGAAAACCTGAAGTGAGACGAAAGTGAATGGAAATTGTTTGACTCAGTTTAAGACAAGCAGCTGACATGTCACTGACTGTGAGGCATAGCAGTGAATTTAATAATTTATATGCCTGTCTTTGTGACGAGGATAAGAGTTTCGACGAAAGTGAGAGTAGTATTTCCTGAGGAGTAAAAGTGAATGGAAGATTGGACGGCAAAGCATCTTGCATGTCACTGACTATGGAAGACAACAGTGAACCTCTTATGTTTATCTTCATGAGAAGGGTAAAAGATTCGACGAAAGTGAAGGAAAATGTTGTTTTCCTGGGACGAAAGTGAAGGAGAATATCAGGCTGCTGGAGGGAAGCGAAAAAGCATGGCACTGGTAGTGATAGAGAGCAGTGAATAGACACTTTCCCTTGGTGAAGAGGACCATGGTTTCCGACAAAGTGACGGATGAGGTCATTCAGATAGAAAATTCATTCTAAGACGAAAGTGAAAAATTGACCAGTGACCCTTTCAGTGAGATGCACTGTGCTGCAGTGGGTACAGGAGGCTCCAGTCACTGTTGGAAATACTGTTCTATGAATGGGAATTCATACTGTGGGCTGTGGCAGCCAAGAACCCAAGCGATATTCCTGTGGTGGTGTGGATGTGGAGAAGTGCGGAGGGGCATTCCTGCAGAGCGAGTCAGCCAGCGATGCACGATGCGACGAGAGTGAAGAAGGGAACTTGGGGGCAAGCATCTGAGCAAGATCGAACTCGATCGTGGATAATTGGAGGTTGGGGGAGGTCGAAGGTTCGAGAGAGTCGGGAAGTTATCTTGTACGGAGCAGAGTTTTAACTTCGCTCCTCTGGGCTTCACAGGACAAGCCACCTTGCGAGAGGAGATGATCTGACGCCGGCTCGTGGTTGGCAGTGGAATGTTCGCAGTTCCATGTTCGGGGTGGTGATTGGCGAGCGGCGACCAGCCAAGTCTCCGCGGATTGACGGCGTGTTTTGCCGTGTGCGGACCAACGCCCGGGCAAGCGCTCTGCTGGGTGGAGCGATGAAACAACCGCCCACAGACCTCAAAAGAAAGATGCGCGGAGCTATGACGACACTGCTCATCTGCCACCCACGCGGAGAGGAGTGGACATGTCTGATCACGCGGCGGACATGGGGAACTGCGGCCGAAATCCAACCCGAGATGCAAAGAACGATGAAAGCTTTGGACGTTGGCGGGCCTTTCTGCGCACACCGTGAGCGGCCCGTCTGAGGAGAGCATTGAATGCTGTCATAGCCGTAGATCCAACCGAAACCAAGTTGTAAACCGTCTGGGAGGAGCCCAGCCAACGGACGCTGGGCGAGGAAGCACCTTGGAGCGTGCAGGCCGCCAGCTCGTGGCCAACCCGCCGAGCATTGGCGTTGTGGAGTGCAGCACGCCACCTCCAGCTGCAGCCGATGCGCCCGGAGGGATTTTGCGAGCTGCGCATCCCGAGCACAGAGAACCGCGACGTTGATCAGTGACTGTTCTTCCAATTGCATCTTCGCATTCTCCCGACCAAGGCAAGACCTTCGCAACGTTGTGTGCTTCGGTCCCTTTTTTTTTTTTTTATTTTTTTTTATTTTTTTTTGGCTTTTATGTTTCCTCCGACGTTTTGCCTACGCGAGAGCCGTCGTGGAGCTGGAGAGCAACGCCGCTAGAGACGCCCCCTTGTCACATGCGCTCCACCGCCAGCCTGGGGCAGTTGGACAACTCGCCGGGAGCTAAGAAACAAAGATAAGAAAAGAGGATGACCACGCGCAGCTCGAATGCTGCATCGTTGGTCCTGGAGGCTTGGGAGATGTCTGTCCCGTGGTTATATATATTGAGGTCCCAGATCCGCCCTCGAGCACGCCCGACCGTGAGCTAGATTTCGCACCTCTCCGCCCGACAACCCCCCCCCAAGGCACCTCGAACCTTTGGAAGGTGAGTCAAAACCACAGAACCCCCGAGCTTATCGAGCATGCCGCTTTGCCAAAAAAAAGAAAACACTTCTCCGCTCCAAATGCCAATCCTTTCCTAATGATCCTTCTAGCCAGTGTCTTCCCGCCCTGTCCCTGGAGTGTACCGCTTAAATACGGTGCTTTCACTCCTCGCCCTGCTCGCCACCCTTCAACGGCGTCAAAGCTCCGCCAACTAGACAGGTAAAAAAGCTATTTCGCGAAAGAAAAATCTCTTTGGCCAGCTGTGTACCTAGTCCAAGGGCGAATCACACCCTCCAGGCTCCACAAATGGCCCAAGACATCCCTTCAGATACCATCGAGATCTCGCACTCTAGAAGCAACGAAAACACGGCCAGCAACGATGGCGAAACCTCTGAGCACAGGGAAAGCTCTGCTCCCCGAAAGGTTACGTGGAAAAAATTCTTAGGAGTTGAAAAGGACGGCCCTGATTTGGAGGCCGTTCTAGACGACGACAACAACTATGGACCCCGGGATAGGTGGACTATGGGGATCCTTAGCGACAAGCAGACGGAAGAAGTTCCCGGTAAGTCACTTCAGATCACACCTCCGGTCCCCGTAAGCTTCTGATTTAATATTGTTATCCTAGGAACTATTCTCTTGCTTACATCCAGTCGGAACGAACCGCTCGGCCTCAGACAACAGCCTGCCAGAGTGTCTGCCTCGTCTCTCCCCTCGCCTTATCCCCCTTCTCGATCCTCTTCTCGAAATCCGGCCCCCCAGCAGAAACGCACTCCGGACGGCAAGATTGTGCTGGATCCCCAACCGGAGGAGTCGTTAAACGACCCTCTGAACTGGCCACAGTGGCGTCGAGACCTCGCTCTGCTCTCTCTCGGTTTCTACTGCATGATAGGGGGCGGAATGACGCCCATCCTGGCCGCTGCGTTCAACGACGTTTCGGAAGAGTATAATGTTTCGTTCCAAAAGGTCGCACTGACCACCGGGCTCTACATGCTTGGGCTGGGCATCGGCTCGGTGGTGATGTCGCCCACAGCTATTCTTTTTGGCAAACGGCCGGTATACATCGCCGGAGCTACGATGTTCATCATTTCTGCCGTCTGGTGTGCTCTTTCTCCAACCTACGTAAGCTTGGTTATTGCTAGAATCTTCCAGGGCATCGCTGTGAGCCCAGTGGAGTGTCTGCCTTCTGCTACTATCGCGGAAATTTTCTTCCTGCATGAGCGGGCGTATCGGGTCGGCATCTATACTCTTTTGTTGTTGGGAGGTAAGAATTTGATTCCACTTGTCAGTGCGGCGATCACAGAAGGGCTGGGATGGCGTTGGATATTCTGGTAAGTATCATCAGGTCGATTTTCCAATTCTTGGGGTCAAGAGGGCTGATGACAGTTCAGGGTTGTTGCGATTACTATTGCATTTGGCCTTGTATTAGTATTCTTCTTCGTGCCAGAAACATTCTGGGACAGGACTCCTCGGCCGCGGAGCAAGCGTCCAAAGGCACGCAGAAGCGTATCTGATATCGTGGCTCACTCGTTCCGGGGTCGATCACCTGAACCGGTCACCCCAACTGAAATCCGGCAAAAAGCAAGAGATGCATCTACGCAGAAGAAACAGAGAGACCTCCGTGTCGATTTTGCTGATGATGTCAAGTCGGACATGAGACGAAGCGGCGAGCATCCGCGGGATTCTGACAATCAAGTGTTGGATGAGAAGCATGTTGAGGGTGAACCAGCGGGCGATACGGTTGCTGAAGGGTATTTCTCCGTTCCACCAACGTCAGCTCTAACTCCACCTAGCACCAAAGAAGATTCGACAACGCGGAAGGACGTCTTGGACCTCGAGTCAGCCCGTTCACAGCCTGTTTCTCGAGATATCTCCGTCGATGCTAGCGCGGATCCGCTTCATGCATCCCTGCAGCAGATCTATACTAGTAACCTTCGTTCCAAACCACCTGTCAGTTTCTCTCAGTCACTGAAACCCTGGAATGGCCGTATCGCCCGCGACAATTGGTTCCGCGTCATGACCCGTCCGTTTATCCTCTTCGCATACCCCGCCGTCTTATGGTCGTCAATGGTCTACGCTCTTTCTGTAGGCTGGCTGATCGTCCTCTCCGAGGCCGTAGCAGAAATCTATCGCAACAAAGAATCATACAATTTCTCAGCCCTCGCCACCGGGCTGGTATACATCTCTCCATTTGTCGGCGGAATCCTCGGGACTGTTGTTGCGGGCAAAGTTTCGGACATTATCGTCCGCTGGATGGCCCGTCGTAACGGCGGAATATACGAGCCGGAATTCCGTCTCGTGATGTCCGCTCCCATCGCGATATGTACGGCGATGGGACTCATGGGCTTCGGGTGGAGCGCCCAGGAGAAAGAAAAATGGATTGTTCCCACTGTGTTCTTCGGCATCCTATCGTTTGGCTGCACGCTTGGAAGTACGACCAGCATCACGTTCTGCGTAGATAGCTACCGACAGTACGCCGGCGAAGCGCTGGTCACCTTGAACTTCAGCAAAAGTACGTTCCTTAACCCTCTTTTACCCTAGAAGAGATGAAAATGTTCTTGTACTAACTAGATTCTTGTCCAGACGTACTTCACGGCTTCGTCTTCTCTCTATTCTTTGTAGACTGGTTGCATTCGGATGGCGCAAAGACGGTGTTTTTAGCCCTGGGTGGCATTCATTTGGCTTGTATGTTGTTTTCGATCCCGATGTATATATACGGGAAGAGGGCCCGCATGTGGACGGTTAGAAAGAGGTTGATGGAGAAGTTTTGAAAAAAAAAAAAAAAAAGGGGTCCCTCGAGATGTATACGTTTATGGTGTATTTTCTTTTCTTCCTTGCTCTCTCTCTCTCTCTCCTGTTAAGTCTTGCATGTTGGTGGATTTCTCGATGAGTGATGATGATCATGATGAAGACTCCTTTATTTGCGTGTTATTCTGGGATGATTGATTTGTTTTACTCTGCTCGGTGTTTCTTTTCAAAAGAATTCTGCGAGGTATCATTCTGTTTGGTGTTATCTCCTTTCTGCACTCACATCTGTTCCTATGTGTGATGAGCTTATGATTGCGTATGACTCCTTAGCCTGTTGTATTTCACTCTGTACTAGACAGCCGAGTGGTCGTGAGGTGGTATGATTTTGCTGAAGATATCTGGCAACATAAACACACGCATTAGAAGTGGTTGATATTGACACGGTCCTTGATTCCTCCACTGCTCTTAGCTGCACTACCAGTAGCTATGATAGCCCGATATTTCAAAGGAATGTCAAAAGCCTTGATTTGTAAAATGGAAGTCATACCTGACGACAATCTCAATAGTTAAACAACAATTCCCCCCCAAAACAAAAACCAATCCCTAATCATACCTCAGTAACGTTCAATCAACCAAGTCTTCCTCTCTCTCTTGCCCATCTTGCTCAACATATCGTGCTCGCCTCTTCGAACGCCGATATACTTTTCAACCCATTTACCCAGGATGCTTTGAAGATCCGTATCGGCTTCTAGCGCAGCGAGTGCCTGGTCCAATGAAGTTGGCATGCGGGCTTGAATGCCCAGCGCTTCTCTCTGGGCGAGAGAGAGGGAAGCTGTATCAACTATGAAGAGAAACGTGTTAATCACGGCATGACCCACCCTTGGAATCAAGCGAGGGGAATGTGAAGATTACGAAAAATGGAGAGGCTACGAACCACTGCAGTCTTCCGTTTTTAACTCCAGCTCGGATCGCATCCCCAAATAACCACCTGCAATTATTGCCGCAACGCCCAAGTATGGATTCGCCAATCCATCCATGGACTTGATCTCCCAATGGCCACCGCGTATGCCTCTCACCGGTGTCTCTCGATTTTGCCGTCCCCATGCAACCCAAACACCTCCCGCCCAGATCCCTTCCTTCACACGCTCGTAGCTGGCATCCTGTGGTAATGTGAATGGTAGGATGGCAGGTAAATGGTTCAACAATCCAGCAAGGAAAGAAGCTTCTTTCGTGGGTGGATTGATCGAGATATGAACATGTGCGGCTGTTCCGGCTGCAGAAGAGTACGGGCGTGGGTATAGAGTTGCTCGGAGGCCATGGCGTTCAGCTAAGTGGACAATTGTCTGCCGGGCTTTGAGGAGTGTGTCTACCGCGGCCAGCGGCGAATCGGGAGGGAGAATGAACTCAAATTGGCCAGGGCTGGATTCAGCATGGAATTGCTCAACGTGGATGTCTATTTGCGCCAGCTCGCGGACAATTTCTTCAATAAGGGGTAAAGCACGGCGGGTGTCGGATGTCATGTTCGACCATGAATGATTCGTGAGCCAAGGTTTGTAAACAGTTAAACCTTCATCGGAAGTGAATTTCTCCATAAAGACCACTTCAACTTCAAAACCACATAAAAGTTTGAGGTTGAATTGCGTTTCACACCTGTTAACTATATTCTCGAGGGTTAGCCTCGGACAACCATCCTGCGGTCCGCCATCTTCGGTCTCCCAGAAGGTCATGACGGTGGCGCTGTTTGATGAGAGGCCAATGTTGACACTCAGAGTGTCTAGATCGGGCTTTAGATAAAACTGGCCAGCAATAAGTGGATGCGGAGGGACTATTGCGTCGGTCTGGAGAATATTGAATACCGCCAAAGTAATTCCAACCCTGCGTTTTCCCCCAGCCAATTTCATAAACTCTCGAATCGAAAACATGCGAACACGGATAGTAGCTGTGTAATCAATGAATATAGCCCATATAAACTCTACGTGTGGATTGCTCCTCAAAAACGTGTCCAAAATCGAAGATGCCTTTTTGGACGTCACCAGGGATCCAGAATTGCATTGAGCAGTATCCGAGAGAGAGAATTTAGGTGTCTGATTAAGCTTGTAAAGTAGATTGGAATTGTTAAACATAATATTCTTGGCGGCATCCATTGCTTGGGAGAAAGTAAAATCTTGCTTCTCGACACATTCGACGAGAACCTATTGAAGCGAATTAGCATTAGTTTATGATAACGGGATGTATCACCCACCGTATCCATTATCTCTCTGAATTGCTTATTCGCCAACAAGTATGTCTCCGGATGAAAATGCCCGTCGGTGCTCCAGAGAATCTTGCATGTAGGGACCAATTCCAAAGACTGGCGTAGAATTGATAGCTGACCATCTCTACTGATCATCGGGAATACTTCTCCAATATCTAGATAGGCATTGCTGTACATAGATGCCAGATACCCGGCTTCCCGAGTATATGGGTACGATGAATGCAGTAACACAAAATCAACGTCACGGAATTCCTCAATAAGAGATTGGAGATGCGCTGGATTGGACAGGCTCAAATCAATGTCAGTGTCACCGAGGCCTGTATGGAACTGGATAGGTTTCTTTGAACCGGTTCCAGCCCATTTTCGTTGAATGCAACGAAGGGTCATCCGGAGAATCCAGTCATTTAACGGTTTGTCACAAATACGGCTCTCTCCATTCTCGAGGGTAGCAGAGAGGATGCGGAAAAATGACGTCTGTAATTCGCCCTGAGAGGGCCATTTGATATCTTTAAGTCCAGTTCGATAGCAGATAACCGATTTAAATCCGGCCACATTAGGATCATCTAGCGAATCTTGTATGGCCTTCACAAATCCTTCTCGAAAGTCAGGATAAGAGAAGAAGTGGTCTATCTGCACTGTTTGAATAGTTATCGGAGGAACCCGGTTTCGCAGGTCTTGAACGTGCTTTTCCATTTGCTTTGCCGCAACGGCTTCGATTCGGACTAGGGTCTTAGTCGGGCTACTTGTGAAAGCGTCGTGCCATGAAAAGACCTCTACCTCCCGACCGTCGGTCAGCCCGTCGTCGATTAGCAGTGTATGCGTTCCTTCCAAGCACCGTTTCACCAGCCCATTATACTCGTTTTCAACTACTTTTTGCCTCGCAGCCTTTATAGACTCCCACTCCGGCTCGCAGCCATACAACCCGGCAAGCTGATTGACAGCTCTATGGTGGGCGAGGGTTTTGGTGGCGTGATCGATCAATGCCTCCCCCTGGGCTTCAGAAGTCACTGCCTCTAGCGGATACCGGGCGTAATCGGTTGCAGTATCCTTTCTGAGGATATTGTGGGCATGGTTATCAATGATAGGATGGCTGTAGATAAGGCATCGCAGGTCTTGAAGGTCAGCCATTTTCCGGTCTCCAGGCCGCAGGGCGTTCGACCTCGATCGTGCTTCTTTGGTGGATAATCACTAGTTACTGGGTGAACTACCTACAACGAAAGCTTAGGATACATTTAATCAGCTAAATGGTGTGTGAATGAGGGAAGCTCACCAGAAACTCTGCAGCGGGATATCCACATTCACCATGGATGTGAAGTTCCCATGTTGCGAAATCAGCCTCCCCCTCCCCTGCTAGAGTGACACAGCATGACATGCCACCAGCAGCCCGCAGTCTTGTTGTAACCAGCCATCACTTGAGGTAGTTGGGCCAGAAACAAAGTCCAGGACAACAAAATGCACGGAACGGGTGCGAAGACTGCTAACATTCGCTTGTGTTGGTTAGCTATCCGAGTATGGAGCTCTCATCTAAAAGGCTCTCTCGAAGAGGCAAAAAACTTTGACGGCTGCCCCTGAGCTGACAAGTTATTTCAACAAACCTGACTAGCCCGCCAAACCCCACACGCTTCACACGATTCCTGTTGCCCGAATCTAAGCCCAAAATTCCCTGAGCTACTATTCCAAGCTTCCCACTACATGACTGGCATAAAATCTCCTTTGAACACGGAGTACTCCGTATGTGGGCAAAGAACAGAGAGCATCCTTCCAGAGACACACACCACAGTCTACAGAACAACGAGTACCCCTCCATTTCCTAGTTAAGGGCACTTACGGTTCTTCCGAAGCTCCGTGTACCGTGGGGCCGGCTACTTGCAGCTAAAGGAGACACAATCACGGAGTATTGTTGGATAAACATCTCCGAAGAATGCGCCGCTCGGCGAGTGAAGCGCCCTTCGTGGAAGACTGAAAAATACGTATAAACCTTCCTTAGCAAGAGCAAGAGCATCAATCTCGCTCACTGCTCATCAGAACAGACCAAGAAAAGCGATGCCACTGAAAACACAGATGAAGACTCTGGGCGAGGCGAAAGAGTCGGACGCGGCCTGCATCGCCGACATCCACATCGCCGCATTCGAGACCAACGTGCAGTTCATCGCGCAATTCCCAACCCCTCCTGTCCGCAAGGGTTTATGGACATCACTAAGGGACAAGGCAATTAGCGAAATACGCGATCCAAAGTGGGTGGTCCTAGTTGTTCGCAACGAGGAGGATCAAGTCATCGGCTTTGCGAAGTGGTGTCGCCCCATCCTGAAATCCGAGAACTATGAGGAACCGCCCTGGCAATGGCCAGAAGGAACAAATATGGCCGCCTTAAACGAGTGGACGGCGAAGGTCGAAGCTGCAAACGCAAAGATCCTCCACAATACGCCCTGCTACCGTGAGTGATCCCAAACGTCCATTTATACCAGCTTGAAGTTATGTTCAATACCCAAGTTGCTTGCCTTTTTAATGCGCCTCACCTTCTTATTTCTTCGTGTGGTATTTTGCAGGTTTAAGTTTCTGTGCTACGGATCCTCGCTATCAACGCCAGGGAGTGGCTTCTTTGCTGGTAGGATGGGGTATGCGTCGCAGCAAGGAAGAGAATATTCCCGTTGCCCTCGAGAGCACACCCGAGGGAACAATTTTCTACGAAAAGCTCGGTTTCAAGGCAGAAGGACGGATCTCCATGCAACTAGATGGTGTAGGCCAGGATGGCGCATCCGTACTCTATGAGGAAACCTGCTTTGTCTTCTGGCCGGATTTCGTAGGCTGAGTTCCGCGTACGGTACGATTCGCTACCGCAGGTTAGGGTCAAAGTGGTGGGAGACATCGCCTCATATCACGAATAGAGATATGCATTAGCACCAGCAGTACTTCTGCTTTCCAATCCAACTCAGCGACTTTTCCTGCTCGTCCCCGTCCCCGTACCATCTCAAACAACAGATCCCATCATTCTCTCGCACCACTCTACGATGGTCTATCCCTGTGCGTTTGATTAATTCTTCGGCCAGGGGCGAGGGATCCCACAATTTCACATGTTGTAATTTCCAGTTCGCTGCCTCAGCCTGCGCCGCTTGCAGGACTGCTCTAAGTTCTTTCACCGGTAAATCGGGCCGTTTGTTATCATCGGAGAAATCGTCCAGAAGTAAGGTATTCTCAATGACTAGTCGTAAGATGTATAGCACGTTGCCCGAACACCCGTCTGGAGATTTATAAAACCGATGGATCCAGATAGCCCATACTCTATTGCCCGGTTCTCCTGCAATGGCCCCTTTAATATGCGGCTTTTTTGCCAGCAGTTTCTCGCAGTCAAACTCTTCTTTGTGGTGATGCCAGAGCATATGATCATGATCAGGAAGAATCATGTGTCTAGCTCTTCCGTCCTTATATGGACGAGCCATAGCCTGGCGGATTATTGATTCGTCATCTGCACAGAGCTGACCTACCTCTTCAGCAAGAACACAAGTAGCACTGCGGCTCTCAAGTGGGGCGGGACTGAATTCAATGTGGTAGCTCGAGAACGGTTGCCATCCCACAGCGGCATAGAACTTGCTCCCAATATCCGAAAAAAGCACGCTTGCAGCGACTTTGGTGAATCCCTCCACCTGCCAAGTCGCCAGGACTTTACCCAACTCGGTCAACATCCGTGAAGCGTATCCTCGACGTCGATACCGTGGATTGCAGTAGACGCTGGCAACGCCATGCGTGATTGTCTCGGTGACATTTCCGTTGGCATCGCTGGTCAATGAACGCTTGCGAACTGATTCACACGAAGCCAATATCTGCCGGCGACCAGGAGGGAGTGTCTTATCCACCAAAATCCACTGTGTCATTCCCTTGTTCTTCGCGAGTGGGAGGGTCGTGACATATGCGCATCCTTCTATAAATTGGGGTACAGTCAGGGCGTCTTTCCAAGCAACTGACTGGAGTTTCCAAATGAAGCTATTTTCTTGGTCCGTTGGATGGCTGAGATGGAGGTCTGGTGATGTGGCATCCGGCAATGTTGCAATGTCATCGTGCACTGCCGTGCTTTCAGGGCCGCCTGGATTCCCAGCAAGTTGCTCTGTTGTCTTTAGAGCAAGACCACCCGAGGGTTCGAGGACTGCTCCCTGTAACTTCGCGTCATCCTCGCCCATCTTCGGAGTTTTGACTGCAGAAGCGATATCGTCTGGGGTGAGAACTGATTCGAATAACTTAAATCTATCCAAGAAAAGCTGTCCCTTGCACTTCTTCATTTGATTCCAGGCCGAAGAGTTACCGCATCACCAGCAACGGGCTAACATGCACCCCTCACCTTGGCGCTTATCTAAACTCACGATCTCTGCGCCGAGGTCGCTCCATTTCGCCGTCCTTCTCGGCTTGCTTGCTCGTTGCATCGCTGGTGCGTGCAGCGGGCTCGTACTGGGGAAACGCACATCGCGAATTTGAGCGTCTATGATAAACGCTGGAGTTCTCAACTCATGCATGAGCGCTGCAGGCGGACGAGAGACTCTCCAGGCGAAGAGAAGGAAGAGTCTTTGGTTCAGGACGGCACGAGCGGCTTGACAATATTCTTGCCGACAAATTGGAATAAAACCCTCTCCTCAATGTGCTGGTAAGTTTATCATTAGCAGTTGTGCATGCCCACCTCGTCCTGCTTCGACACGGATGCCACGAAGGTTAGTTAAAGCAGGCCGTTCCACGTCGGCGGGCGTTCTTGGCGCCAACCACGCTTCTCGCAGGGCTGAACCAACCCCCGGCAGCAAGACACTCTGTGACCACTTTTCGGAGACGCTTCCCGCGCATGGAGCGGTGACTATTAACGTCGACTAAGTTGCGGGTGAGTTCGCCAGCCAGCTGACAAACTCTCGGCTTAACCAATGCTGGTCATGAGGGCAAATCTTCACATACCCAGCACCAACAAGGGATAGGGACGAGTCACCGAGCCGGCCACCCCTCGCAGCGGAGGACCACCACCCCATGGTTTAGCAATGAGTTGATTGTCCGGAGTTCTCCGTACGAGGATTCTCACTTCAAAAGTAGAAGCTTGCAGTTACTCCGTACTCCGTACATCCTCTCCACTACGCGACTGTTGGTGGGGGCAGACCAACCACAGCCTCGTCACGATGCCAGACACCCAACCACTTTTGCTGGCTTGACGAGCGAGGAACACTGGAGACCAGGGGCTCTTGGCTTCCGCGTTAAGGATCCTGTCATACATCCGACATAAGGCTGAACGGAGCTCAGCCTTCAGCCCTCAAAATGATTAATATCCTGTTGCTTTATTTAGAGCACAGTTCTCAGCCTAGAACGGCGGTAACGTCGCAACTTTAACTGCTCAATTTTGATTTTCGGACAAACACTCCGGGGTCTCTTTTGCCGGCTCTTTATTCGACGGCAATAGTGCAGATCAAGGCCACTCCGGGAATCACTAACCTCGACGTCGGAAGATGATTGGGAGCCATTGAGAAATGTTGGTCCTGATCAAAGTTCTTTTCGAATATTCACCCGCTCGTTATGCATGCGGTATTCAGTCATATCTCCATACTACCGGCTCTATGGCCTGTTTAAGCTTGAGCCGCGAGGCTCATCACGAAGATTCTACCCCACTATGGTGCGTTGATAGCGTAGTAGGTGTGTATATAAACAGCCGATTGCTCTCCAAATTCTATTCCCCACGTCGAATCCTCCAGAACGCTTTTCAACAGCATTTCAACTACTGAATATCTATAGTTCGTTCAACTATCTCTGACTGGGGTGTAAAACCACCATGGGAACTGAGGCTGGTGAAGGCCGTCGCCTTGTCCTTTGTTTCGACGGCACCGGGAATAGATACAAAGGAAATGAATCCGATACTAATGTCGTCAAAATATATGAGATGCTGGATAGGCATAATAAGAAACAATATCACTACTATCAACGTGAGCATTCTAGGGAACACACTTTTTTTTATTTTGTGTTGATTGCTGACCTTGCTTTCTTAGCCGGCATTGGAACATTTAGCACTGGGTCCAGCGGCTCAGGTTTAACATGGTTTGGTCGCATGAGGGCTAGCATGAGCCAGTTGTTTGACCAAGCCGTAGGTAGAACCTTCGAATACCATGTGAGCTGCGGATATAAGTTCTTGATGAAATATTATGAACCCGGGGACGATATCTACATCTTCGGTTTCTCTCGCGGTGCATATACCGCCAGATTCTTAGCAGAAATGATCGAGATGGTTGGCCTGCTTTCTCAAGGCAATGAGGAAATGGTGCAGTTTATCTTTGCTTCCTTCAGCGGAGTGCAGCAGACAAGAGGAAAGAGAATAAAGACGAGAAAGGAGCTGGAGCACGATGAATACTTGCAGAAATTCAAGCGAACATTCTGTCGTCCTGATGTCCGAGTTCATTTTCTTGGTCTCTTCGATTGTGTGAACAGCGTTGCTCAGTTTGAAATACCATTCAGAAGGCACTCTTACCGATATATAGCAAAGGTTAGTACACGGAGGAGTAGCGGCAGTAGATATTGATCAAAGGCTAAGGAAGAGTACAGGCTCCTGCAAGACACATCCGGCATGCTGTCTCCATCCATGAGCGCCGTCTCAAGTTCAAACCTGCTCTTTTTGTATTTGAAGAGCAGTCAAAGAATGCTGACATCAAAGAAGTCTGGTTCGCAGGAAATCATTGTGATGTCGGCGGCGGATTCCGATACGAGGGCGGCTTAAAATGCCTGCTATCCGACATCCCGCTAGCCTGGATGGTTGAAGAGGTTTTTGCCCTAGAAGATACACCAGCCCGCAAGCTCGCTTTTCAAAAGTCCACCATCGAAAACCTCAAGCACGTGAAAACTGGTCGCGAAATGGGTGAAGACCTGTCTTCATTTTCGAAGCCGCCGTTAGACGCACCTCTCATCAACATACCAAAGCATCACGATTTTCTCTCAATAAACCGTGGAGCATCCTGGGGTAAAACATTCTTGTGGTGGATCATAGGTAGGCTCTAAATCGCCCACTCCGATAGCGACACATTTTCTAACACTCATATAGAAATCCTACCGTTCTTCACACGTCTCGAACTTGAACATGATGAGTGGAATCCCCGCTACTGGCCGCCGAACTTTGGAGCCGAAAGAGATATCCCGCAGGATGCAGAGATCCATAATTCGGTGGAGGAGATGTGTAAAGCTGGGTTGTTGAAGAAGATGCCCAAGCTTGGCGGAGATGATGCGCCACTCCTCAAGGATCCTCTTATAGTATTCCGCGTCTTTATGCCGTGGAAGTGGCGTTTCATGCCAAAAAAGCGTATCGTGTAAGGCCTGCCACGTCTTAAGAAGTTCAATGTTGCATTATGGAAAAATAAGCGAGGACATTTGCATGAGGAGGTCAATGTGCAGCGCAGTCGGGATTTGAAATGTATGGGGTTCTGATGTTTCGGTTGGCGTATATCACGGTAAATAATGTATAATGTTAACTCATTTCTAGTCTTCTCGATAAATATATAGGTCAAGTAAGTAGATAGAATTCAACTTTCTCATGCATTTGAAACGGCCCGAGGTGTGTGATTAACACATAGCATGCTTATCTTAGCCGGGACTTTCGGGCCCCCAAAAAAAACTCGCTATCATGGGCTCATAAGTACTGTAAAATATGAAATGTTTTTAATATTGGCCTTCCAGCGTAAATGTTCCGGTCTTGGTTATCAAGTATTCATTAACAGCGACATCCTTGCCACTCTCCTTGCCGTAGCCTGACTCCTTAATACCGCCGAATGGTGACTCAGCAGCAGACGAATTGCCTAAAAGATGAATCAGCAAATAACCTCCTCTCAGACAGAAGGGGAAGAAAAGGCGAGAGATTAGGGAAATGGACAATACCTGTGTTCATTCCAATCATACCCGCCTCCAGGTTCTCCAACATCCTCCACATTCGATCAACATTCTTGGTAAACGCATAA